AGCAACTGAAACTTCCTCCCAAAATAATAGATTCGGTAGACAAGGCAAGACTGGCCAGCTCATTCCCTGTTTTCTTAGCTCAGCTGCACGTTGCTGCCATCAGGCAAGCCCCACTAGGGATAGTCCCTGCAGCTCCCTGATCCTAACACCCTGCCTCAGGAGCAACCACGGTTCTCTTTAGACCAACTCACCCACCGCCAAGGATGCAGCTCAGCCTCACCATTGTCTTCTGGGCCCCTAGGAATCCTCAACTGCTGTAGGGCAACTTCCCCTCTCTCCTGATGAAAAGCAAGTACCACCCTCTTGAGAAGTGAAGATGGCTCAGGTTGCTTTAGGGACCGCCCCTCTCCCCATAGCCTGACTGGAGTTACACTCCCTCCCAAACCCTCAGGAAAGCCGGCCTGGGCTTCTACTGCCTTAGAGCAAGAGAAAAACCCTTCCCCAGACTTCTAGATCCTACTACCTGGTGAATTGCTACCTCCCCCTGCTACTCAGCCTTTCCTTCCCCATTCCTCCCCCACTCCCATTGCCACTACCAGACCACTTTGAGCATAGTGATCTACTCTCATCCCTGAACCTGACAAAAGCATTTCCCCTCCCCCCCATCCCCTTCAGCCCCATCCTGGCTCACTACACTGAAAGAATAGCTCCCGATCTTGTTGCTTATTGATTGATTATTGATAGAAGTATCAAAGGGTAAATGAAATTGGATCATAAATGTATTAAAATAAATTAAAGTTATAAAGATGAGGGGGTAACTAAGGAAATTGCAAAATGGTGTTTGAGGGCTAAAAACATCCATGGATGGAAGTGGCAAATAACAGAATAAACAAAGTAAAATAAAGAACAAGAAATAAAAATAAAACTGAAGAATAAATATAAATTATAATAGAACTGAACAAGCAAGTCATGGAATGCAGGAAAAAATAATAGATTTGGAAGACAAAAAAAAAGAAATACAAAAAATTAAAATGAGATACCCAAAAATATGGAGTGGGGGAAAGGGGAGGGGGGAGAAATATTGTATCCACTTATCTCAATAGAGAAAAATTTTCCAGAGTTCACAAGATCAGGTAACCATCTGCAAGTAGAGGAGTCACAGGATCTCAGCCACACACATGTAGGTATACAGGAATACATATACATACATACACCCACATATAGGTATATATCAAATACATACAATTCATATGTAAGATAAACTTGGAAGGGAAGACTCTAGCAACTGGATATGTGATCAGAAAAAGTTTCAAGAAACAGGTAAAATTGAGTTGACAAGATTGAAAGAAGATTTGAAGAGAAGATTGAGGGAGTATATTCCAGGTATGGGTGACAGCCCCTGCAAAGGCATGGAGCCCCGAACAACAAGGCAGCCATTTTTCTACATGTTAGAGGAAGGGTAGAGCAGAGTAAAGTACAATAAAGCTAGAAAGGTAGGATGAGGCCAGGTTGGGGAAGAGTATTAAAGAGTATTAAATGTGAAACAGTGGAATTTATATTCAATCTGAGAGAGCCACTAGAGAATAGTGAGTGGGGTGTAGGGAGGAAATGGTGACATGAAAATCACTTTGGTGACTGTGTGGAGGATGGATTGGAATGGGGAGTGAAAAGGTAGGGATACCAACTATCATACTATGGCAATAGTTCAGGCAAGAGGTGATGAGTGCCTTAACTACCAATGGTATGGAATAGAAAAAAAAATGGGACAGATGCAAGAAATGTGAAGGTAGAAACAAAACTATTTGGCAACTGATTTGGGGATTTCCAATTCGGCAAAACTACAAAAATACAAAGAAAAGGAAAAATTCTACAAACCCAAGGAAAAAGAAGGAAATTACATTTTAAAATACTAGAATAGAATAGTCCTTTCAAAAACAGAGGAAAAACATCAAAGGGCATACATTTTTTAAAATAAACTTTTATTGTTACCTACATTTCTCACTGTATTCTCTCCCACTCCCTCTCAAAGAGGCATCTGTTTTAATAAAGAACATAAAAGAAGAAGAAAAAAAAGATTATCAAAACTAACCACCATATTGAAAAAGTCTGATGTTATTTACTGTGTTCTAAATCTGTGGTCCTCTACTTCTGCCAAAGAAGGGAGTCTGGGTGGGTGGTGAGGATAAGGGTGGAAGCAGGAATCTTCTCATATTTCTTTTTGGGGACCAAATATGGTTATTATAATTTCTTTGCATCATTTCTATTGTATTATAGTTATTGTTTCCATTAAAGTCTCGAATGAATGAATGAATTAGGGATAGAGGTGATTATAAAAGATAAAGATAATTTCAATTACATGCATAATTCAGGAAATTTAATAGGCCACTTGATTGCAGAACATTAAGGGCCTTTAGCCTTAATGTTTGCTGTGACTTCCTAAACCTTTTTTATCTAAACATTCTCTAAGACCAATGTCTGAGATACAAAGATGTTCCCCAGGTCTCTGAAGTTTGACTTTTTTTGCATCTTCAATTTTCTTTGTCTTATTTGTCCCAGGCTTCTAGATAATAGGAAATCCAGAATCTTCTAATAAGAGAGTCTGTAGAGGGAACTACTTTGGGCTTTGGGAGAGAAATGCTAAGTACAGTTTTAGAGGACCACACATAGTTATATATAAAACCATAAACGCAACATTCATATGTGACCATACATAATCACCCAGAATGGTAGAACAATGGGATTCTGGAGTTACAAGTGGCTTTAGAGATCATCTGGTCCCATTCACAATTTCATAATAACACAACCACACACACACACACACACACATATACAGACACACCCTCAGATGAACTGAAGATTAGGTGCAGGCCTCAACTATGGTACAAATTTTTTTCTAGAGTAATTCATCCCAATTTTGAGATCAATCTTTCCTGCGGTTTAAGCAAATTCCTTTTAAAATACTGAAACTTTTTTTCCCCAAAGCAATTTAGGTTATTGGAATCACATAATATTTAATGACTTAAAGCTGTTTCGTAGATTTGTAATAAATTCATTTTGTTACTAAATTGGAAACTCTTACTCTCATTACAATACTGTCATCTCCATATGCAAAAATATTTGGTTGACAATAGTCTTCTTCTTTAAGGTCTTTTTTTCAACTATTTATATGTATTTATTTACATGCTTTGTCCTCCATTAGAATGCAAGCTACTTGAGGGCAGGGACTATTTTTGCCTTTCTTCATATATGCCAGGGCTTAACACCCTGCCTAGAACATAGAAAACACTTATTAAATGCTTATTGACTGATTGGAATGGTGAAACAGTGTAAATAAAGTGAATTTTAGTGTGTGTAAGAAGGATTTTGTTATTCTTTTTAGATATTTACAAGATCCTAAATAATATTTCCCACAAATTGTGGTGGAAAACATCTCCACCACACTTACGTGGTGAGATGTAGGAATGACATAATGTGAACCTTCGCTGTGCTAGGTCATGATGATATTGCTAAAGTTAACCTGTGAGCCTAATGTTGGCAAGATGCCTTGTCTGTTGCCCTATAAAGCAAGTGGGCATTGGTCAGTGAAGGGAGGGAACCCATTCTGGGACTTGCATAGAGGAATGCATGAACTTGCCTTGATTGGCCCCCATCAATGCTTGGTGGGGGGGGGGGAATCTGTATTTGCTTCAACTGGCCCCTACTGAGGCTCAGGGGATGAAGAGTTATATTTCTATTGTCACCTGCCCCTGCAAGAAGTGTGATTAGGGAATGTTGTAGGAGTTGGTGCTCTCATTAGCAGCAACTCCTTTTGAGAAGACTAGAATAGCATAAAGTAAGCTTATTTAACCCTTTGGAAGCTTTCCTGTCTGACTGGATCTAAAGCGAACCTGTCCTAGAACACCTGTGTTTGGAGAACAAACCATGTCCAACAAAGCAGCCCACTATGCTTTGAGCAAGACCTAAGATCATCATGGGATCAAGAATTTGACCTCAGAGGAATTATTTGGTTCAACACTCTCATTTTGCAAATGAGGTCCAGAGAGGCAAAGTGAATTGTGTAGCAGACAACAGGCCAAGATGCGGACCCAGGTCTTCTGCTTCTAAATTCAAGGCTATGTTCTTTTTCAAGTTATTTCCTGACCATTTAAAAATTGGAAATGAGAATAGTGCAGTGTAAACTAAGAAGCAGGACTTAGTTTTGTCTGCTTTTGTCCCTATACTCCATTCTCTCTGCTAAGGCGAGTACAAAGGTATGCTTCATCCTTGAAGTCATGACTGGTTGCTAATTTGGGCAATTTTAGAATCTTTCCTGGTTCTGCTAGCTTTAATCTTCATCCATTCATCTTATCTCTGAATGCCACATTCTAATACTGCACCTAGATTCCCTCATATTCCTATACCATGATTTGTTCAGTTATTGGCCAGTTGATGGGTACCTATTTTCCATCCTTAACTAGACATTTCTAACTTTACACATAGGGTCCTTGCCTGATACTAATGTCACTGAATCAAAGGAAACAACATAAGTGACCTGGAGTATAAACTCTTTTCCAGCATGGTCGAACCAGTTTAGTTCCAATAATGCACCATTGGAGTTAAGTGTGCCTGTCCCCCCATGTCATCCTCCAACTGCTAGTTTTTTTAAGCATTTTTGACCATCAAGCAAATGTGAGATGAAACTTGTCTTAGTCTGAATTTGGTTAGTAACTTGAAGCACTACTTTTTTCATGTGGTCGATAGGTATGGCTCTTATTTATAACAATGTCTGACATATCCTGAGTATTAGGAATTTTTTTCCAAATGGTTTTACTTTTGATTGTTTTATTAACACCCATTATTTACAGAATTCTCCACACCTCCAATATTTTTATATCACCCTTTGGACATCTATTTGGAGTTCATTTTGGAATATGGTGAAAGATGTTGGTCTAAGCTTAATTTCTCCTATTCTGCTTTCTAGTTTTTAAGTGGCATTTGGATACTTCAAGTCTTTCCATTTTCGTAAAACAAAACAAAACAAAACAAACCCCCAAACAACCCACACACGCATGCACAAACCGTTCAGATTACTTACATTATACTTTTATTTCAGAGAAAAAGTGCAATTAATAAAAAATATTTTAGCAGTACTTTCTCATTTAACATCACATTTAAGTCAGAAACTGCTATAGTCAATTCTTAATATTCCTTGAAATAAGTTGTTCCAAGATGGTTTCTTCTGTGGGTTTCCTCCTCCTCACTTAGCTAAGCCACTGTTGCATCATGAACTCAGAGAATTCAATGTTAGTCTAAGAAAATATAAGGAGGAAAATAAACTTGCTACTGCAAAAGCAATAATGCATTCCAAAGTCCTCAAAGGTTTATTTGCAGATTGCCTGCAACAGTTTCCTCTCTCTGTGCAGTTGACAATACATTTCCACAACTTACTTTGTACTTCAGGATACTTAAGACTTCTCTGTTGCATTTATCAAATATATAAATTTCTCATTAATGTAAAATTAAACTATCTTAGAAAAACAAGTTCAAGTGATAGGCACAAAACTACCATATCCGGGAGGGCCCTGAACTGTTTTAAATCTTTGTGACTAGGCTTTGCCAGTCAGTGTTCTGCTAAGTGCATAATGGTGGAGAAGTGTATCCACCAACAGAGGTAGAATGTTAAAAACAGATGGAATTACTGTGGAATCAATATTCTCCTAAAATCCCCAAGCCCCAACCTATTTAATTCACAGGTATGATTTCATGTTCATACAGGAGAGAAACAGAACAACGAGAAATTAAATACCACTTTCAAGGTGGTATAATTAGGAACTAAAAAAAATCTGTAGAACAATATGGACTGCTCAAGTATGTCACTAGAAAAGCAGGCATGGATAATTAGGAAGGATAGTGAGATGCAATAGCAGAAGAACCAAAATAGGAAATGTCAATAGCACCACTGTGCTACTAAGGCCACTAACAAGATGTAAATAATCCAAACACAATCATCGAAGCCATTACTATTCTGACCCCCCAAAGCCAGTTCTCCACCCACAGTAACTTTCTTTAGGCAAACTTACAAATCAAATTCATCTCACTTAAATTACATAGGGATAAGGTTTATGCTATCTAGCTGACAAGTTTAGGGGGAAAAAGCTTTGCAAGTCACAAACTGACATAAATATAAGTTGTTATTCCTGTCTACCTAAGCCTGAAAATTCATCACAAGATCACCCAAAGTCAATAGCTTTTATGAACCTAATATACACTTGTTTTAAGTGTACCACTTGTATGTATCCTTTGCAGGATTCCAAAGTTCCTTTCGTTTATTCCATTAATACCTTATTATCTTGGATACTTCAGGAATGAAACATGTAACAAAATCCACTGACAACTGAAGTTGATTCCTCAGGTGCCAAAATAATTTCAACCATTTTTGATACAAAACATTCTAAAACACCAAGTCTGAACGTGGACTTTTTTTTTTGTGATAAATTATGCATAGCAATTTCTGCACTAAGAAACAGTATTTCATAACACCTCTGAAGCTAGGCTATCAACTCAAGTATTAGAAGGCTTTCTAATAAGGTATTTAGGGGGTGCAATGACTCCAGACTGCTTGGTAGAATTACTCAGCCATTATCTCTTCCCTGCATCTCATCTAAATGTCTAAGACAAGTCCATTCCCCACTTTAAATCAGCTATTGTTACATCAATAAACAATGTGGCCCACAATTACATCATCATTATTTGAGCATAACAAAAGGCCTCCTGTGCAATTAGGGGACATAGACTATTTCTCTTCTGGCAACCTAAGATTAATAGTGAAGCCAACAGCAAATACAGAGAAATCTCACCATCATTCAAGAGTCATTCTACTAGCATTTTGTACATATCTGATGGCATTCCCAGGAAACTGACAGGGTGGACACTTTTGAATGTTTGTACTTCTTTGCATGGTTGGGAGGCTGTTGGTAGGGAAGAGTGGTGACATGTATCACAAAGAAAAAAAGCTTACAAATTTACATTCTATTTTAAAGTCATAACTTGTACTTCTGATTTGAGACTTACCCATGATGCCTTACTGAACTACAAATTTTTGCTTTGTTATTGACTACAAAAAGTCCCACAAACCATATTAACTCTAATAAATCTTTTCAGGGAAAAAAATGTGTTTAGCACAGCAGTTTGCAAATAGCATATAATCAAGAATATTAAATCTAGACGGGATATTAGAGAATACTGTTCAAATGAAGGCAATTAAGAAATACTTGATTTAGATACGGCTTAAAAAATTATCAGGTTAACTTTTCAAAGCATAGGTGTTACCACATGAATGGCACAGGTAAGGTTATTTTCTACCTTGTTTTCCTCAAAGAGGGGAAAGTATTAGAATACCAAATGTCTCCAAAACCTCATCTAAATACAAAACTGTCTCTTTAGCATTTATAATTGAAAATAATATAAAACATCCTTTATTCAGGACAGCACTTACTGAGAAATTAAAGGCTACTGTAGCAAATCTACTTTACCCAGGATTATCTGGCCTATTTGGAAATCAACATTTGCCTTCTTATGGCTAGGCTTTATTTTTTTTAATACTAGACCTACCTGTGATTTCTTAAGTATAAGGAATTTTAATGAGGAAACTCCTCTTAAAGCTGTCAGGCAAATCTTTTAAAGCCTAGTTTAGGAGAATAATGCAGAAATTAAATTGCTTGCCCTGGGGTCACACAGTTAAGCAAGAGAGGCACAACCTGAACTCAGGCTTTAATGAAGCCAGCTCTGTGGAAAATCTTATCCTTCAGATAGCACTAACCATTCACATTTCCTAAGGATTTTTTTCCCTTAAATTTGAAAACTCTCAAGGAAATCTTGCAATTAGTTGAGAGATTAACTCCGACTGAAACTAAGTCCTAAGGGGTGGTTTAATATTAAAAAATGGAATACTTCACAGCTTACAAGATTTTTGTAGATCAAAAGCAAAATCTTCTAAATTTTATTACTTAGAAGTTCTACTCTTGACATTTCAACTCTCTCCAGATTTTGTTTTCAGGCTCATTCTAAAATTATAATAATCAAATGAGTCTGATGCTCAGTATGAAAAGGATGAATCAGTATTTATCTACTCTATAAAGTGCAAAATAGCTCCAGCAGGTTGGAGACCACATCCCTCTGTTCCCACACAAAAGCTTATGGAAATATTAATAAGCCAAAACCAATCGTAACTATCAACTATCAGTATTTGTAAAATGATGAGTTTATGTCCAAATACCATAACCCAAATCAACTCTCAAGTCCAAGAGAAAGCTAAGTGAGCTCCTCCAAAATGATTTTACAAAGCTGACCAAATTAGAAAGGGTGGGGAGAACAACAGAACTCATTAGTATCTCCAATTAATTTGTATTATATCTCTCCCTAATTTCTTACTTCAATTTCCATTTGTATTTATCTTTTTTAATCCTAAATCACTTGGTACTCAAGCTAGACTCTTGATCACCAGCCACCCAACTCTTCCCCTGACATTCCACATAAATAGGTAAGAGACTCACTAATTATTTATATTTAAATATTTAATGCCTAACAGAACACTTAGCAATTTATTAATCTCTATATGGAAAATAATCCATTGCCAAAGACTCAAACTTAAGATGCTTTTATTCAGATTTAAATACTTTTTTTTCTCCCAACACTGTTGTCCAATGGTTCTTTCCTATCAATGAAACCAATTTTTGTTCTACTATTCGTGGTTAGGATCAAGTTATTAAATCCCAGGAACCCAAACATTATTGACAAATGCTAATAAAGCTGTAATAAAGAATTTGTCTGAACCCCACAGACTAAGTTAGAGAATTGAAAAACTACAGTAAAACTTCATTAAGAATTTTTTTTTATAATAGTGCAGATAAAGTACAGGTAAACTTCAGACTACTCTAGCAAAACAAAGAGTAAAGCAGATTTAGAATGAAAAAAGATGTCAAGGGGGAGGTGGTGGGGCGGTTTACCTAACCCATACAAGGCCTGTTTTTGAGAGAAGACACAGGTGCTCAATTAAAAATTTTCTTTCCTCTTTCCCAAGGTCATTTACTTGCTAATCTTAGGTTAACCTTACTAGCTTAGTTCAATCCAGGGCTACTTGAAGTTACTAAACTAATTTTTCTACAAAGGATTCATATTTCAGTCTTTTTGCTGATTTTGAATGGCCTTTCACCAAAATCCAAATGAAGTTTTCTTGTATCTAGAAGTAGAGCAGAAGGCATGTAGGTAAAGGTTACAAAAAAAAAACTTATATCTAACCAAGGGAGTGGTGAACGAAATTCTCAGAACTGTTGTGCAAAACTTAAAACACGAAAACCTCCACTATGTATTTTAGAATCTAAAATGCAAAAGAGAAATTATCTGCAAATTTATATGGATGAGTATAAGTTCAAATATTCTAATGATGCTTGGTTTAGTTTTCTGTGAATCTGATGGTGTTAAAATGAATGTTAATAAAAATACACAAAATTTGACCATCTGAAAAATCCAACCTTTCCCCTCCTGCCATTCCTACATCTTGTTCTTGATCCAGTAAAAAATACTAAACTTTTTTTTTCTTTTTACTATTCTTAAGAATAATTTTTTCAAGGAAAAAAATTCTTAGGCAAAAAACACGTAAATCATTTGGGGATGACAGATGTTAACCATAAGTCATAAACTATCTATTTAAAATACCCATCTAACCCTAATCTGACTTTCTTCAAACTGCAATACTTAGAATTACTTAAGTATTTCCAGCAAAAGACAAAAAGATAACACCAACAAACCCATTTTTCTTAGGATAAAGGGTTTGCTTTCTTTCTCTAAATGGTTGGGATACTGACATCTGCCCACATTCTAACTCTGTTTCCCCCAAGGCCATCAGCACATACTTTTAAGAAAGATGGTATTACCCACCCTGTGGCCAACGGAACCTAATAAGGTCCGAAGAAGAATTCTGATGACTTTGGTACCATTAGTACTGTGTTCTACCCAATGAGCAAATTGATCACTGCCTATTTAAGAAAATGTACTTTTTGTACTGAAAATAAATTAGTGCTGAGGGAATAAAAGAATAGCTGAATGCATCTGTTGTTTAAAAGTTATGAAAGTGAAACTAAAATGTAAAGTATGGAATGGGATGTCAATGATGATATTATTTTGCACAATTTAATTTTGTTTAAATTTTCTCAAATCAGGTAGCCATAAAAGGAAAACATAGTCAAGCGTGGGCCCCGCCAAAAAGAATCAAATCTCTAGGTTTTTCACTAGTTAAATTGAGCTAAAACTTTCTAAACAGAATGTACTTTCAGAAAGCGTCAATAAAACTGGCAAACTTTCAAGTGGTCTTCCTTTGATTGAATCCTTATACATATATACAAAACATAAAGGGAATTGAAAACCAAAATCATTTGGCATTTCAGTAATTTTGTGATCTGGTATCTTTTGGATTACATGTACTCATCTTTTCAGCTAAGATTTCATTGACCAATTACAGCGCTCACTGTTGTAGGACTTTGTAGAGTTCTTTATGTACAAATAAAGTGATCTCATGAAGACCCTCCATACTGGTAATACAGTACATAATATATACAAAGTGGATTTCTATAATGTAAAACCAAGAACTCTTACCCAAAAGGTCTTTAAGAGAAGGGTGATCCATGCAATTAATCAGCTGAAATTTATAAATAAAAACCAACATCTATAATCTATACATAATATACAAATGGTTATGCACTTAACTGTATTGTATATGTCCCATAGAAACAACTTCCCATGGGAAAATACTGCTACACTTTCATTTGCCAAGGAAATGAAAAGAGCTCAGGAAATCTGTTTAACATGATGATGCCAAAATAATGGTTATTATTATTATTTTTTTTTTTAGCATTTCACCTTTCACGGGACTTGTCCATAAAATCATGCAAAAGCATGTTAACTTCACTGTGGAGAGGAAAAATAAAACCAACAACCAAAAAATACCCTCGATTCTGCTCCATCTCATGTGAGATGCCTCATCAAAAAAAGATTTCCTTAGCTCTCAGGCACAACAAATCCAAGCAGGAAATGGAGTATCAAACACCAGTAATAGCTCTCCAAGTAATTTGGCTTTCAAATAAAACATTTTCAATTTCACTTACTTAAAATGTTATTTTACATAAAGTTTTGAAGGAATGAAAATGGTTTAGTTTAGCAACATCTGATTCTTTCCTCATGTTTTAGTAAAAATCTCACTTGAAATACCTGAAAGATGATGCATAGCAGCAAATGAACAAATACTTCACATGGAAAAAAGCAATCCCACAAAATGTTAAAAATTCAATGTACACCATATTTCTCAGAGTTAAAAAGATCTATTCTGCAAATATTCAGTTTCTAAATTCTAAAACTGTTTATGGAATGTTTCAGAGTGGCCATCGTCAGTTAACAAAAACTGTGATATTAAAGAACTTCCATGTTATCCTAAGGAAACCCTAAGTAGAGCTTTCATGGGGTGGTGACCTCCATCGAGACTGTAGATTTTTCATTATGCAGTTAGTCATGCTACCCAGTTTCTCTTGCATTTCAAAAAGTTGGCTTCCTGAATAATTGTGCAGATCTTCTGAATTTAGCTGAAGAGCAAGAGCACTGATCTGGGCCACAAGATTTCTGACCTGCTGACCATCGGAGGTAACTGGCTCAATTAAATCTGTAAGAGAAAATAAAACAGAACAATTCATTTGGCACTTCAAATAAGCAAAGTATTGTATCATTTACTGAACACTTAATGACCCTTAAAATCTTAAGAATTCATTTTCTATGACCAGTAAGCCCTACTGTACCAAAAGATTGAAAAATTTACAAAAACAATCTTAGGAGAGTAAGAAATCAATCAAAAGAGTATCAAACTTTAGATGTCCACAATTTTTTGGTATCTCCAATGATGGTTTACACTTGCACTTTGAAAAGGTATTTGACACATAATTTTACCAACTGATCCTCACAACAATCAAGTGAGGTGGACAAAAAATGGGAAACTGACCCTCAAAGGCACACAAGTTAGCTCTATTTCAAAGTATTGTTCACGGGGGCAGCAAGGTGGCACAGTGGATAGAGCACTGGCCCTTGAGCCAGGAGGACCCGAGTTAAAATTCGGCCTCAGACACTTGTTACTTACTAGCTGTGTGACCCTGGGCAAGTCACTTAACCCCACTGCCTAGCAAAACAAAAAAAGAAAATATTGTTGGTATTACTTCAATTTTACTCTATTTCATGCTTTACCTCCCCATCAAGAATTAAGGCACAACAGTACTGACTTTGATGACTTAACATCGGTCTCTATTACTTGTGTGGAGATGGGGAGGTGACCAAAAAAAAAAAAAGCCAAGCTTGAAGGCTTATTCTGAATTACAACAATGTAAACAACACTTATAAATGAGGAGAAACATACCTGAAGCAAACGTTTCTTCATCAGGAGAAATGGGCTTATTTTCCATTCCATTTAATGATTTCTCTGAAACCTCAATAAGGGTAATTTCTTCTAGTCCTCGAGACTTCATCTTGATAGATGTATATAGGAATTTAAAAAATCAAATTTAACTTTTAAAAACAAAAAATTGAAATAAGAAAACATAAAAGACATTTTTCAAGCTAAAAAGGCACTCAAAGGGAGCAAGTACATATAAGTAAGGCATAGGCTGTGAAGCAGAAACTGTAATGACTGACAACCTTGAAAAACTTAAGAACTGTCAATGCAATGTCCAACTACAAATTCCAAAAACCCAATGAAAGAATATTACCTACCTCCAAATAGTGAGGAGATGTGTTCAAGACACACAAGGCATATTTATGGACATGGCCAATGTGGAAATTTGTTTTCCTTGGCTATGCATGTTCCCTACAGAATTTTTGCTTTTTTTCCCCCAATGCAGGGTGGGAAGAGGATGGCTAGCATGGGACATGTTTAGATAGGGAGAAAAAAAATATTAGACATCTCAAAGAAAATCAGCTTTGAAAGAGTGATGACTGCACTCACCAAGGCACAGATGATGAGACATGCAACCCACCTCCAGATAGAGAGGTGATGGTCTCAAGGTCCAGAATGAGAAAAACCTTTTGGGACACGGCAAATATATGGACTGATTTTGCTTGACTATGCTTACTGGTACTAAGGATTTTGTTTTTCCTTTTTTCGGGGGGGGGTGGGGGGGTGGAGGAGAGAAGCAAGCAAAAATGTTACAAAAAAAGGTCACTAAAGCATTCTAAAAATGAAAAGAGAAAAGCAGGAAACAGAAACATAGACAAGCAGTACAGCTTTGAAAGTAGCAAACTGAATTTATTATGTACTTAGGGAAGAAATGAGCCCTGTGGGTTTACATGTAATCTCCCTTTTCTGTTCTACTATGTGGAAATGTTCATTTTGGAGGGTAAGTTTGGAATAAAGATTTTTTAAAAAATAATAAAAAAAAAAGGTTCTAACAAAGCAATGGAAAAACTAGAAAATCAGTCAAAAGTCAGGCTGAGATTGAATATTCAAACCTCCAAAATGTGTATATATCATATGCAAAGGGAAAAAAATTGTTCCAATAACCCTCATATAAAGTATCACAAATATAACCTAATATATTATTCCACATAGACAAGACTCTCTCTACAGGAAAAAAAGGGTGGTCACTCATATAAGATACGTTAAGTGTTAAAAATTGAAATAACTATTAAAAGCTCCCTGAGATAAAGGACATTTGCACTGCCCTTAGCATCTTGCAATGCTGGAATAAATTTAGTCCCCCCCTCCCACCCTGCCCCCAAAGAAAGAAAAATTCTCATAATTACTGGGGAAAACATTACCAAAATGTAAACATCATTCTCAGACAGAAGTTATTACAAATGTACGTTTGAATTCAGTATTAGTTAAGTCTGAAGTCTCTGTATGATGATTTCCTTAGGTACTTTATCATATAATGGTGAATAAAATTTTTTTAAACTTTTCTTTTACCTGCTGCTCATGATATACTCTGAGAGCCTTCTTAACATTGGAAACTTTTGGAGAACGGATAGGGAGAGTTTTTATTTCAGTTGCCGTAAGAGTGCTCAGATCACCAATTGTCTTAATATTCTTTGCTCTAATGAGCTGTCCCAAGCCTCTTGCCCTGAACAGTAGAAATCAGAAGGACAAATAATCACCTCATAAAATGCAGTTTTACTTACATTTAAATTACATAAATTACACTTTACTTTCCATCCCAACATTCTCTAAACTGCTTTTCCCACTTTAGTTCAATCATAGCTCCAAATTATTTTCTCTTCATATAACTATTACATATTTTAATCTACTGACATAAAACAATTTTTCCCTATGCAAGTGGCAAGCTGTGTCATGTATTTTTTTTCTTCTTCCAAATCAATATCCATTATCCCTTGCATCTATCAAATAATAGTCCTGGTCTCATTCAGCCATCTTTTTTTTTTGGGGGGGGGGGATGAACAGTCTGGAGAACAGTACTCTTGTGTAATAAGTTGCTAGCTCTAGGATCCACAAAACATGACTTCATAACAGGTATCCTAGGACACAAAAGTGTGTCATAAAAACCTAAAGGAAAATGTCACAGAGAACGAAGCTCTCCTTTCAGTTTTGGTTCTTGTGGCTCTTGACCATTTGCCCTCTACCAGCCCCTACCATCATGATTCAAAACCACAAACTCCATGAGGAACACAGACAAGATGCCACAGATGTGAGTTCAAGCACAGAATCAAAGGGGCAACTACTTTTCATCTTAATCTTCAATTGCAGTCAAATGTTTTAAATGTGCAAAAGATACAAGATACCCTAAACTAATGAACAAAAGCCCAAGTAAATGTTAAGCTGTTCAATACCTTTGGCATGCTCAAAATAATACCTATGAGTATCTCAGCAGTTAAAAAAAAAAAGAAATCAACATTGGAATGCGTCATTCTCTCCCCACGTTCCAACTCTCCTCTGTAAATAAACAGGTGGTGAGGTCAATACTTCTGTGCCCTTACCAATCACCAAAAGCAAGGAAGCCTCCCTAGCACAATACAAAGACCTGACTTGTCCTACATAAGAATAAACCTAAAAAGCCATCTTTCTGAGTTCAAATGTGGCCTCAGAGACTTCCTAGATGTGTGACTCTGGGCAAGTCACTTAAAACCCTGCTTGCCTTGGTTTCCTCATCTGTAAAAATGAGAGAAGGAAATGGCAAACCACTACATTATCTTTGCCAAGAAAACTCGAAATGGGGTCAAGAGGAGTTGGACATGACCGAAACAATAACAACAACAAAATGAACACCTTCCAAACAGTAGTCTATACAGAAAGAACAGGATTTTTGGTTCTCTCTTGACTCATATTGACCTGATGAATTCATTAAAATCACCAGATCTTTATACCTAGCCTTATTTCCCCTAGTGTGTAATTGTCTGGTTTTTAAAGTCTGTATCTATTTTAATTTTAATTACTACTGGTGATTCTGATTCTACAGCTGAGACCACTTACCACATGTTTGAAGTAATCTGAGGTAAAATAATGTCAACAGGTGCTCCACAGCTCACCAAGGCTGGGTATATACTTTCATTAGAACATTGAGGAGATTCTTTGGTCATTTCAGCAATCTGAACAATTAGATAAATTGTTAAATAAGGATTACATTATTGAAAACAAACATATAAAGTTACATGAAAACTAAAGAAGTCTTACTAAGCACTTCTTTGAGCTCTTAAATTTAGGGCTACGTGATCCTGGGGACAGAAATCCTTTGGTTGGAGTGGCATTATGCTAGATAGAAAAAAAGGAGAAAAAACTCACTCAGAACCCTAAATAACTATAGAATTCAATTTTTAAAGTTCAAAATAGGTATTTTACAAAATATTCAATGTCATTTTGAAAAATTACACAACATAGTTAAATCTATTTAGAACAGTTCACTGACAACTGATTTTTAGCTTACCATAGTTCAAAAAACCCTGCAAGTCAAAAGACAGCTCATTTTTCATAGGCAGGTATATTTACATTGAACTCAAAGAAAGAAAACTTTGATATATTTTTAGATACTGGTGGCTTACTTACCTTGGACTGTGATGTAGGGGAACTTTTCAGACTTTTAGCTGTTGAAGAATTATTTGAAGAATGTGATCTAACAACTGGGCTTCTCCTATCAATATCATCTGCCAATCCTTCTTGGTAAATTGGATCTGCAAATGAAACTCGTCGAACCTAAAAGAAATAGTTACCTGATAAAATCCATTCTAATTAACCCCATAATGCTAAATTTTTGAAACCTTCCCCCCCCAAGATCAACAAATGACTAGAACTGATGAATATCAGTGGTTAAGAAATCGTGTAATATTCATGTTACATAGAGAAGCATATTGAATCCAAAAAATTATTTCACATTTAAGGTACTGGGTCTGTGGCTGGCTATTTTCCAGAGACCTCTTAAATTAAACAATTTGGTGGTGATAAAATTAGAAACCATAGAGGTCAAACCATAAAAAGAATTCCCTACAACCGTACTATTTCATTTTTTCTTTCAGAGATTATAGCTTCATCATTAACTGTTGAATTCCATGCAAAGAGGCTTTACTTGCTCAAGTTTTCATTTGAATAAAGTACAAAAACAGTAATGAGTAGTGAGATTTATCTGCATTTAAAAATTTGGGGGCTTAGCTACCCAACTGAAAAGTTTCCTTTTTCATGTAACAGTCTAATTCATAGCAACATTCCTGACATTATTTTGCCCTATTTATTAATTGATCACTACGAGACTTCCTTTGATAAAATTGAGTCATGACCTGAGTCATCAAATCTCCCTGGGCTTTTAGGAGGTTAGATAGTTTAATTTTAAGGTCCCTTCCAACTACAAATCTATGACTACTTTCAGGGTCCTCCATTCCCCTTATAGCTGATTATCTATACTGTTCCCAGCCTCAGGGAAAGATTGTAGGCACAAGGACAGCCTTAACAAAATCTGAAATGTTATTTCCTCTAGTAAGATTATAAGACTCTGGAGTATGCCTGACATATTACCTATTACCTAGTTTTACCTATTTCTACTTTCTGACCATGTGCCTGACAATGTCTGATAATACTACTTATGCTAATTTTTCTCACCTAAATGCTTTCTGCCATGGTTTTCCTTGCTGGTTTTAGGGTTTCTTCAGAAGTTTATCTTAATATATAACATATAAATTTAATATATAAATCAAGCCATATCAAATTTTGCCCTTTTGTGTTAACTTTTGTTCACCTTGCTCTGTAACTTAGTGCATTTGTATAGATATCAGAGGTAATAACAGGTTTTATTTTTGGTTGCTTTCTTGAATTTTGTCTTGCACTCTATTAATTACTCCTATATTATAGCTTTTTTTCTGTGTTTCTTACTTTGGGTGATTACGAGTAGGCGTTTTGATTAGTTTTACAGGACTCGAAGCAAACACCCAATTCTCACATTTTAGTTTTTCTAGCATCATCTACACACTCAGAAGCCGAAGTGCTTCACAATAAATGACTTGGAAAAATAGCTGGTCAGAGGGACACCTAACTTACTCTTACATTAGTGTCTGGTTAGTCTCTCATTTCAGGATTCTAGTAATATAATTGGCTGTATAATTTGGGGTTCAGGGAATTTAGATTTGGAAAGAACCTTGAATGACCATCTAAAGACAATTTTATAGAAGAAAAAACCCCCAATAATTATTAAGTGCCAAATGTGTAGGAGATCACTTTTTGAATTACTATCAACAAGCATTTTAATAAGTGCCCACTATATACCAGATACTACAATAGGTGTTCTCCCTCTTGGGCAAACATGTACATATTTAAATATACACCAAAAAAAAAAAGGTTGTTTTTTAGCTCTTTTTGGGGGGTGGGAGGAAGGGCATTAATAGCTTAGAAAGGGGAAACATCAAGAAACGTTTCATGTGAAATGTGGTACTAGTGGTAAGCTTTGAATGAAATGAGGCATTTTAAGAGAGAATTGAGGAAGTGCATCTTCTAGGCAAGAAAAACACCCTGTGAAAAAGCAGAGGCCAGTTGGTTGGATCATAGAGAAATGAAGGACAGTAATATATAATAAAAGCTTTGAAAAGTAGGCATTGAGCAATGAAGTAACAGGATCTGACTTGTAATAGTGTAAATTTAGGTAAGGCATAACTTCTGCCATTGAGGTAATTACAAGGGAAAGATGAAAACAAAAATACTCAAACAGATAACTATAATACACAATGAGTACACTGAGAGTGTTACAAACTCGACTGTTACATGCGGTCAGTTGTGTTAAAGGGATCACCCGAACTTGTCTTTTTGAATTGCCATATTTTCCAGAAACACCGGAGCTTGCGGGAGGCCTTGAACATGTCAAGTTTGAAGCACACTTCCCCTTCCTCCACCTCGAGCTAAAATAATTTGTTGTTTGTACCCCATGCTGGACTCCCTGTGTGTCCTTGGGACTCAAGACTGGGGCCAGCCAGTTTGTACTAGACTGGGAAACTGCTTGTTCAGCTGGGACCCTTGCACATAAGCAGACCATCCTAGCTTCAAAGTCTAGTAGCTCCCAAGGGAAAAGAATGCAGCTTTTACCATCTTAATTATTCATGATTTCTCCTCCTCTGCCACTCCCACTTAGATGGACATTTCTGTTTCTCCTCCTCTCTTTGTGGCAATTTCATAAATATGAAAGCTTCTGTTTGGATTGTGAACTCTTTGCTCTTGCTTAGGGTTCCATGTGCACGTTCATTTCTTTTACTTTCTTTTTTGGAGGCATTTGGGGTTAAGTGACTTGCCTAGGGTCACACAGCTAGTAAGTGTCAAGTATTTGGTCTGAGACCAGATTTGAACTCAGGTACTCCTGACTTCAGGGCCAGTACTCTTATCCATTGCGCCACCTGGCCGCCCCCACATTCATTTCTTTTAAGATAAATCTAGTTGCAATGCAATGTTTCATGGACTTGTGATGTCGTTTTTGGTTAACAGAAGGCAGGTGGTTACCACCGAAAGGGAGGGAATTTAATTTACCAAAGTTGCTCAGTGGAACAGACCTGATAAGACCACAAACAAAGCCAAAATATCTAAGTAGCAGAAGAAATACAACTGAGCTATTCTCTACAAATAATCCACAAAGATCTAGAAAATGTACTAAACCAAATCTTGACTGGGAGAATCAAGCTTAAAAAAATCAGAATGAGTCATTTTTCCAGCCTAGATTAACATAGGGAAGTAAAGGTCTGAGGATACTAGGGCTGGTCCTAGCCAGAATCAATTACAACACCTGTCAAAGGTGTGCACTGGGGCAAAAAGAAGCCGAGATCTGCACAAACAGATCTGACCTTGTGCAGGAAGCTGAAACAGGTGCCAACAGCTCTGTTGCTCACTACTCAGTGCTAAGTCACAGATCCAATACAAAACAAGGAGTATCCTGGTTCCTAGAAGTGGCTGTCCAGGCCAAATAACAGTCACTGGGCTTTGGCTGTGGACTAATTAAGGTACAATGTCTCAGCTTCAGTCCTCAACATGCAACAAAATAACTGAGCAAAGAAGCCCAGACCAAAAAGGAGCCTGCAATTGTTACCTGCAGAGCTTTCCAGGTAGCTGACAGCTATTGTCCATCTGTCTCCTGGCACTTCAATCAAAGGCAAAAATTCAGTTGTATTGCTCTCCAGTCAGGAAGATTTACAGAGCCAAGATGAGAAAGGCAGAGCGCAGACTGCACCATGTATCAGACCACTTTAGGTGCAGGTCCCCCAGCCTGTAACACAACCCTCAATAACCTGGCAAGGGTGGGAAGAAAAAATGCAACAGAATACAAGCCCGGCTTAGAATTTAAAAAGGAGTCTTTCAGATTTATGGTTAGGGGAAGAATTCTAAACTAGGTAAGGAAAACAAAGGAGATCATAAAAGACAAATCTGAGAAAATAAAATTGTAGTTTTCATACAAATGAGATCAATGTAACTAGTACAAGGGAAATTCTTGATTGTAGAGAAGTTTTCACATTAGGAAAGTTTGTTATCTGAGATATACAGAAAACTGAAGCAATAGCAATGCCTACAAAGCCACTGAAACATTCTTTTAAAAAAATGCATAGGAGAGAATCCATGCTGCGAAGGAGCCCCAGACAAGCAGAACACTTCTGAAAGTAATGTATGGCATTTATTATATACTTTTTCAAAAGGGAAGGTGGTACAAAATGGAGAGGTGCGCTTTTATAAAAACAACTATTTTCTATCATATATATGGAAATGCTCCTTTGGGGGTTTAAGTTCAGGATAAAAAAAATTAAAAGGATAATGAAAACACAGTTATGAAAGATACCTGATCCCATTCTCATGTTTCACATAATGAGCTTTAATAAAGTCACGTGTCATGTAACCACTGAGTTTATTATGGATGATGTTGTTCTATACCTTTTTTTTTTTTGGCTCGTTTACTCCCCAGTTTTACCAGCAATAATTATTAAATGGGGAATTTTGACAATATTGTCGGGGAAAAGATGGAGATAAATGGATTAAGTATTCATACAATCAGCTGGGTTCAGAACTAATTAGATGGCCAGCCTTAAAGACTAACTGTTAAGGTATCAATAGTCCCATGACAAGACATATCCAATAGGCAACTCCACAGCTCTGTGCTTAACCCTATACTACCCAAAATTTTTATCAATAATTTGGATAAAGGTTCATCAACTATGCAAATGATAGAACAATGGGAAAGAAAGCTAATAATGGATGACAGAATCATGATCTAAAAGGATCTTAGCAGGCTAGAGTACTGAGGTGAATTTATTAAAAATGGAAATTTATTAAAGAGAGATAAGTGAAGTCTTGCACCTGGGTTAAAAAAAAACATCAAGGCTAGACAGCAGATGCTCTGAAAAAAGACCTGCATGTCAGTCAGAGTGTTTGCAAGTGCGATTAATTAGTGGTATGTATGGCAAGCAAAAAAGTTAATCTGCGTTAAAATGGTATAGCCTGCAGGAATTGGGAGGTGATATAGTCCTACTGTACTCTGCATTCAGACCTCATCTGGAGTACTAGCTTCAGTTCTGGGCACTATGTTTTAAGAAAAATATCGATAAGCTAGAGAATGTTTATATCACATAGGATGGTGAAAATCTTCAAGCCTCTGTCATATAAAGACAGGTTTGAAGAACTGATGTTTAGCTAGGATAAGAGACTTACAGTAGTCATGATTATTCTCTTTGAATATCTAAAGGGCTGTCAGGTAAGAAGAATTAGATTTTTCCTCTTTGGACCCACCGGGTAGACAAATGAAGAGTGGTGGGCCGAAACTGCAAAGAAAAATTTAGGCTTGATGTCATGAAGAAAAAAACCAAAACCTAACAATTAAGAGTTGTCCAAAAGTAGAATTAGCTGCCTCAAGAGATAGTAGGCTCCCAATCCTTGGATATCTTAAAATAAATTGGTTTCTTTTGGATAAGAGGTTGGAATAATCTCTGAGGTCCCTTCCAAATCTCAAATTATTCACTGAATTCTCCTAGTGGAAAATATGCCCAGGCAATGGTTACAACACTCAACTATTTCTGATTTTAAGACTCATTTTGTGCCTTGCCAATTTTCAGTATGTCAGAGATAACCATTTTTAAACTCCTGCATTTATTAGCTCTACAAATTGTCTTCATTTTTACTCTGTCCAACAAAAATCTCAATATAATGAGGTATTTTTCTGCTTGTGAAAAAGGAAACCAATTACACTATAATTTGCCCAAAGTCACATAGCTAGTAAGTGTCTGGGGCCACATTTGAAATCAGGAGTTCCTGACTCCAAATCCAGCTCTTTATCCCCTTTACAACCTAGATGCCTCTAGAAATCCTTGCTCTAATTCCTAATGAAAGGCAAATACATACAATGCAGAAGGCTTTAGGAAATAAATTGCAATACTGAAGATAAGGCAAATTCCCTAGACCTCAAAACCCTTCAGGGAGAGCTTGATTAAGCTAATCTACTCAAAGAAACCTGAATAAAGGAGAATTATACAACTTTGCTAAGCAAGCTAAAATAGGAACACGAATTTTTACAAATTTAACTGACAACTAATTATAAAATTAAAAAAGGTAATTAGTTGTAAACTAGTGTCATAAAGCAGAGTGGTTATATGGAAGTTAAAACGATACTTTAGACTATGGAAAGTCCAGACAGCCTACATCTATGTAGATGTACAGTCAGAATCCCAAAATTCAAAAAGCTCTCATATGTTTTGGCACTCAAATTTTTGCATGTAGCAGCAGGCTATAAGATCATCAAAATATAGAATTTAGCCACGGAAGGACACATACTTATGTAGCATAACCCCGTTCTTTTACATCTGGGAAAGTTGAAGCTCAGAGAAGCGATTTACCTAAGATCAAAAACGTAATAACTGGCAGAACCAAGATTTAAACCCTATTCTTCCAGCTTCAGAGCTAATGCTATTTCTAGTATGCTTGGCACTAAACTCTAAAACATGAGCAAATGCTCATAAGTGATTTGTAATAAGATGTTGCCTGTCCTGCTCAGTTAGAAGGTACTTTTTTTAGGGGTGGTTACCATTAGTCCATTGATCTTGCATTTTCTCACTACAATCTGGAGCAGAGAATTCAGGGTGAGGTTAAAAAATAGGTAACTGAAGTTCCTTATTGGTAAAAATGCTACAATCATATGCAGATTGAAAGTATGGAGATATATTGCAGAAATACATGCACACCTACACATGTATGTACCCAACAAAAGCCAGTTTTTACTGTCTACCTTATTAAGAGGTGATGGGGCCTCCTCTTCCTGTTGTCTTTTTACTCCTCTCTTCAAAATGCTGGTAGAAGGAGAAGCCAAAGGAGACCACATACAGCGTGTCTGCACTCCACTTGGGCTATCATTTTCAAATTGAGTGTCTACTACCCTTAACTTCTGAGGAGAAACATTACTTTCTTCTGTTATCAGCTCAGAAACATTTGCAAGTGTTTTTGATGGTTCTTCCACTTTCTCTGGTTCCTCCACTTTCTCTGAGATATCCTCAATTTTCTCTAAAATTTCATCATTGATTTCTTCTACCTCAACATGATCTTGATCTAATTTAGTTTGTTCAGTGTCATCAAAGTCTGCTTTTACCATTTCTGGTGTGCCAGATTCTGCTTTTGCTTCTACAGTATTCATTTTCTCAGGTGACTCTAACACATCAGTTTCAGCACTTGCCTCAAGTGCTTTGGCCTGGGCATTATCTGCTCCAGCCTCAGGCTCAGCCATGGCACTTTCCTCAGATGTGTTAACTTTCATCCTCGTCTCAGGAACATCCACATCAGCACTTGACTTAAACTTGTCCATCTCAGTTGTAATAACAGTTTCATGCTTTATTTCTGCTTCAGGATCAGATTTTGCCTGTACTTCAAGTGTACTGTTTTCATTATCAGCATTCTTTCTTTCTACGTGCTGACTTATTTCCTCTTCTAATAAAGTTACTGGTTGTTCTCTCCTAATCTCTAGAACAGCTTTCTGTTCAAAAGAATCTTGATAACTATCAATTGGTAGACCGGAATTGATCATTTTATTAGCCTGATCAGAAGGTTCTTTCACTACAAGGTCTGTTTCATTATTAATAATGACACAAGTTTTGTTTTCAAAGTTTACTCTTTCTGGGGGAGGATGATCTTCAAAATTAGAAATTTCTTTCAATTCATTTTCTGATCCAGTCACTGAATCATTCAAAGCCTCAGTTTCTTTCCTGTGAAGTAATGGTACAACAGCAGTACAAGATTCCTTTAAAGGTTTTACTTCTAAGTTTGTGCCCACATAAGAAGTTTCCAAAGGACATTCAGTGGCCTGTATACCTAGTTTTTGTGGTTCATCCATTTTTGTATCATAATTATCTGTGTTTTTTAATAAGGTAAAGAATTTTTCTTGAAGTTTTGACTTTTCTCCACAACAATCACAGCTCTTTGATCTTCTCACCCTCCGACTTCTTTTGTGAAGACATTCAATTGCCTGTAGGGGGTTTCCAGAAAGCAAGGAGGTATCTGATATATCTGATACATCTGCCCCTGGAGAAATAACACTAGTGTCCACAGAATCTTGCTTATGAAGTTTTTTATTTATATTTCTAGTCCTTAAAATTAACTCTGGAACACAAGAGTTTGAACCGGAATCCTCTACAAATGTGCTAATTTTATTTTTCTCCTCATTTGTGTTCTCTATATCACTAGAAACTTCTGATGGGTCTGTAGATACTATAGAAACATTAATAACTGAAGAGTCCTGTGTGTTGTTCATATCAAAAGTCTGAGATGACAATCTTATCTCCATGCCCAATTCAGAACTTGTTTCACCTTCATTTTTAGTTTCAGATCCTAGATAGTCCTTACTTTCTATTTTTCCCTTAGTGTTTTCATTTTCAAGACTACTACTCTTATTTTTCCATTTTCCAGATTTTTTCTTATTAGAAAGTTCTTCTTTAGTCTCTGAACTATCAGATTCAGAATTTTCAATACTAGAAAGCAAACCTTGGGATGCTCTCCTTGTCTGATACCTTGTTCGTCCTCTTACAGGTTTTTGTGAGGAATTATCTGAACTACAGTCCTGCAAATCATCAACATTTGACTTCACATTCTCAAATTCAGGTTTTAATTTGTTAATTTCAATGTTAGTTTGTTCTGAAGTCTTCTCAATTAAATTGTTTGCTTTCTTACTTAAATGTTCTTGTTCATCTACATTTTTTTCAGAAATTGGTTTCTGCTTTTGTGATACATCATCCTTTATTTGTGATAGCTTCTTCTGAACAGACTTCTCCTCTTCCTTTCGCCTTTCCTTTTTTTCTTGACTGTTTTCTTTATCTTGTTTATCTGGAGTACATTCTATATCTAAGCGTCGTCTTGAAGACCTTCTAAGTGTTTTCTGATTAGATGATACCTGTATATGACCATCATCATTATTAGATATTTGGTCTGTTGTGGGTATTACTTCTGGAGGTGTATTTTCTTTGGATTCCAAATTATTTCCTAAATCATTTCCTTCTGTAATGTTTTCTACCACTTCAAGACTTTCTACTGGATGTTGAAACTTTAGTTCTTCACATTCCAATACATTAGCTTGAGGAAGAGTGTCCTGGGTATCCTCTGTATGATCCAGTGAATCAGCCAACTTATTTTCTACAGGCATTACAGAACCACCAGATTCTTGAACATTTTTATCTTGTTCTGATCTTAACAGCTTAGGTCGTTTACTTCCTGTGTGTTCTGTTTTATTTGGTCTTCGAACTGTTTTTTTGGTTCCATTTATGATTTTTTCCCTATCAGTTTTTGAAATATTTATTTCTTTGGTCTTTATTTTCATTGAGGCACTTGCTATATCCATATTTTCTTGGTTCTCTGACACTGAAACAGCTCCTGATACAGTATTCAAAATAGAAGGACTAAAGGGTCTGTTTTCTGATGTATCAAATTTTTCCAAAGTAATAAAAGACTGTCTTCGGCTTATAGGTCCACTAGAAACTGAGCTATTACTGGTATTCAAGGTATTTTCACTGATGCATGTGTTTTCTCCTGAAGGCTCCTTTGAAACAATTTTAGAAGAATTTTTTTCAATGTGCTTTTTTATATTTAATAATAAATTGTTCTTATCATGGCAACTTTGCATCTTATGTTTTGGGATAGAGGGTTTTTCAGGATGCTTCTCAATACTACTATCCACCATGCTACCTTCAGTGTTGTTCTTTGCATTAGCATTCTCTCCTCCTTCCTGTACAGAAAGTAAAATTTAAGTTATCTTATGAAAATCATGGTCTTGCCCAAAACCTCAATTTATACAAAAAACACTTAACATTACAAGTGTTGTAAAAGTAGCTATCACTTATTAATTCAAAAGTTGCTAAGTCTTCTTTTATCTACCTAATTTCCTTATTTCGAAAATGATGAAAATATCTGCATAGCTGGTTTCAGAGGGATATAAGAAGTGTTCCAGAACTGTAAAGTCATGCTACTATTGCTAATATGTGGCAACAATATGCTACAGTTACACGTTCTATTTTATTTTACTTCTACTCTATGAATTATAGAAAACAATCCACTAAGTGGCACGTGGTTTTAGATCTAATGAACACTTGGATTATGGCTATGGGTCCTATAATAACATTAACAAAAGACTACACTGTCAATCTTGGAATAAAGGAAATACCAAGATATAAATATGAATGGCGAACAACTTCTGAAATCTCCAAAATAAATTAGTTGTACCTTCATGATAATCTTTGATTCTTCCTTTGATTCTTCAGTTAAACTTGGATTTTCCCTACGGCAAATAAATATGCAAATTATATTTCTGTTGTGCATTATTATTTTTTTTTTGATTTGAGAAATCAGAAAAGGTCTTATGGAAGGCTTACTTAAGCTTCAATTACTTACAGAGTTTCTTCTTGAGTATGGTAAGAAAAACTATCTTGTGATACATCCAGATTATTGTACAGAGTAGGAATATCACTTCTGTAAAGGAAATCATTTTATAATTAAATGAAAAATGTTCCAATTATTATTACATACTAAACTTTGCAAACAAATGTTAAAACAAAAGTACAAATTTTCTTCCCCTCTACATGCAAAGCCAAAAAATCTGTTACATTATTTACCATACTGCCAACTACAATATAACCTTTGGTTAGTTTTAGTATAAAAAGGTTTTTAATGACAAAAAAATAGCTTCAAATTTAGTACCTAAAATCAATAGAGAAAATCCATTTTAAGTTACCAATAATGTTAATTATGCTTACGAACCTCTTTGTTCTAAGTACTTCTTTCTGATGTTCAGTTAGAATTCTTTCCTTTGTTTCTTCTCATTGGGAGGTATAAACACAAAATCAACAGATGAACAATCTTCCAAAATGACATCTTTTTTTAATTTAGGAGACAAAAATTCTAGTTTCATCTACAAAAAAATTGAAGACAATATATTAATTTTCAGGTTTTATAAAAATTTCTTATTTCAAGACCATTCACTTACATTTTTCTACTAGAAATACAATGTAAATTTAAGAAATTAAATGTTTTCCACATTTAAGTATCTTACTCTTTTGCTGCTTTTGTAGAAGGAAGTTTATTTTAGACCACGATAAGATAATGTTTGAAATCTATGTTTACCTACATCATATGGCTAAAAATATTTCTTAAGACTACAGAAAGAAAACAGTAACATATATTTATTAAATTAGCCAAGAATTTCGGCACCAACTAGAAAAACTGGTAAGAAAAAGCAAAGGTGCTACAGCAGGCTTGGCAACTTTAAAGTATAACAATGAGATTTTCTGTAAAAGAGACATTTTCATTATGCTTCAACAGAAGACAGTACTGGGGCCAAAAAGTTCAAGGATGTCATCAATGCAACCAAAATATGTTATGGTATAAGAAACAATACAAGGTCTTCAATTACAAATCGCTCAGGCACGGATCCCCAGGGATATGCTCAAGTTCTAACCTTATCCTTAGATTGTTTTACTTTTATTATTACCCTCCATTTTGCATTTTTAAAGATAAAGCTACTTTAACCTACATATTCTTTAGTCTATAATTAATCTCAAAGGTGTTATGTAAAAAGAAGAGAAACTGACTCTTAAAGACAACCAAAGAATAAAAGCTTTTCAAAGGCAAATATATTTGCAAATCTGGGCACCATACATCAGTCTGCTGGTAATTTAATTGGCTCTTAACTTTTGATTTTTTTTTTCAGTTTTAATTTCTTTTTAAATGTGTTCATTGTGATAAGAAAAATTTACTTCTCAAAATGTATAATAAGAAAGTGTTAGTTCTAAATATTTTATATCATGGTTCACATGACAAATAATGAAAATAATTACTGAAACACCTTCAGGGCAGTTAGGTGGCACAGTGAGGAACCTGAAGTCAGGAAGACCTGACTTCAAATTCAGCCTCAGATGTTTACTGGCTGTATGATCCTGGGCAAGTCATGTAACCCTGTTTGTCTCAGTTTCCTCATCTATAAAATGAACTGGAAAAGGAAATGGAAAACCATTCCAGTATCTTTGCCAAGAAAACCAAATGGGGTCACAAAGAGTCAGACATGCATGGCTGAAAACAACTGAACAACAATAATAACTGATACACCTTTAACACTATCTGGAGAACAATCGCTAAATAACAACAGAGAACTCTGCCACCTCTTATTATTTTTCCCCAATAGTTTTTCTTTGTCCTAACTTCTACAGTCTTCCCTGATCCATTTCTAACCAGCCACTACAACTGTTGCCTTCAAGCCTATGCAACTCCTTCTAAGATTTACTTCCCAACAACAAAAAAATCTGACTGACCTTTTTTTTTTTGGTGAGACAATTGGGGTTAAGTGACTTACCCAGGTCACACAGCTAGTGAGTGTTATGTCCCCCCACCCCCCTCCGGCTTTTTTTTCTGACCAACTTTTAAAAGGGTCTATTAAATTCACTTTAAATTACCTTACCTTAGCTGGTGATTTTAGATCTTTTCCTTTCAGATTCTTTGCATGTAAAGATAAAAAATCTTGTTTTCCACAAGACTGTATTTCTATACCACTTATCTTTGTGTCTAATTGTGAATTTTCTGTCTGTTTTAAAAAAAATCCATATTTCAAAAAATTGTAAAATGTGTTAGTTTTGTCTAATAAAGCTATTTTCACTTTTCTATACTATAGTTTAATATTATATTTTAATACCATATCCTAAACCAATGACATAGCTGAACTACACCCATAGTGACAAACTTAAACATGTCAATCTGATTTATTATTAAATCCTCCTAGAGTAGTGAGTTCTTAATTTTTTTGTGTCATGACCTCTTAGGTAATTTAGTAAAATCTATGGACTTCTCAGAATGTTTTAAAACACACATAAAATATACAGTATTACAAAAAGAAGTAAATTATTTTCAAAAAAAATTTTTTTTTCCTCGTTCAAGTTCACAGATTCCTCCTTAGGTTAGAAATGCCTTCCTTATAATTCTAAAATTCCAAATATAGGCACAAAAGACCCATCCATCTTTACAGAATAAAATGCTAAAACACCATATGATATCAATATCAGATCCATTAGAAATACATTTTGGGGTCTTTTTTATTTCCCCCCCTGTAATTCACTATCTTATTGAAGCTCAATCACTGTGTTGGTTGGAGCAATATTTTATATCAACAAGGAAAAGCTATTCAAAGATAAAGCTTGAAACAAAAAAAAAATAAAGGGATATTATTAATATATTAATTCCCAGAATGCCTAAATTCCCTTGGTATAAGAAGTTTTAGTCACCACATGCCAATGTTTTTAAATGAACAAAATTAGTTATATAGTAATAAAAAGGACCATCAATTACACTGAAATAGTAATACACACACACACACACACACACACACACACACACACACACACACACAGACTCTCTCTTTCCCCCCCCTCGGAAAAAAAACACCCCACCTACACAGAACCTAGGTAAAGAACTCTTATCTTAAAAGGAATAAAGTTTTGCCTACTTCATAAAATACAGCAAATGTGTTTTACTTCCATTTATCATTTTGAATAAATCTTAGTTAATTATAAACTTAAGTTATTAGACTCAAGAAATAGATCCTTTATTCATATCACTACAAATTTCACAGATCCTAATGTAACATAATTACGAACTGAAGGTTTGTATTACTAGAAATTACATTTTTAGCCTGTAGTCTACTGAGAGAAATAGATCTAAGTTTCTTGTTCCTTTAATAATAACCACAATTCTGGTGGGTAGTTAGGGAGCCAGTATTTTTCTTCCTCTACTGGAAGAAGATTAAGTTGCTGCTTTTTTAAAGCTATACTGATTCACCTACAACTCTGTTCTCCTCTCCTTTTACAATAACAAAGAATTAAAATGAAGAGCTCTTCTACACCAGTGGTGACAAACTCAAATAGTAATAATTTCTGCAACCACATCAACTTGGAAAGCCACAAATTAACATCATCTATGTTGTACTGTATTTTAATTTGTTTTGTTTTAACTTACCCTAATTCATTCTAAAATGGTTCAGGCTCAGTTTTTTTTGAAGGGAGGAGCACTCAGCCACTCAGTTCTTCAAAAAATATAGTAATTAGAGAATTAACAAAAAACAGTACTTACTCCCTCCGAATAGAGGCCACCAGATTCTTCTATTGGTTCAACTTCAAAACCAGGTAACAAAAGCAAACATTTCTGTTTGGCTTGTTTCAATACAGTTCTTCAAAAAGAAAAGGGTGGAAGGGAGGAAAGAGTGGAATTAATTCATAAGCATTATTAAGTCCTACATACAAATAAGTACATTTAGACAAGAAACTTTATGATAAATACTTATCTTGTCCTTCTCCCCCCCCCATCAAGTACTCTATACTAAATTATAGGTATGTCAATACAATTAAATTCACTAAATAGAGAGAACCTGAGTGTCTGTGAATAGAGGTTCCTCTATCAGTGGCTAGTAATACTAAGGTAAACAAAAATTATCTTTTATGCAGTTTACCACACAAGCTGCCAAGTATAATCAAAATATTTTTACTTGGGTGGGAACAAACAGAACTAGAAGGGAAGTACAGAAAAAGTCTAGGGAAAAATGTTTAACCCCAAACTCAGTTTCCCCTTTCTGAATCTTTTAGCTAAGGAATCCTCTCTCCCAGTTACTTAATAACCTAAGCCTCTTTACTACTTTCCCTATGAAATCAAGTTATAATGACTTATCATTAGTTAACTTTCACTTAAATTGTATGATTGATACCAAGACAAAGGAGGCTGACAAGTGTTACCCTTCAGGAAGCATAAAAACCAGAGTCCTCTTTTATTAGAATTTCAAACTAAAGTCTCTAGGGAACTCGAGGTGAAGAAACTCCCTTCAATACAGAACATATCTTCTATGCAACTAATAAGTTTTTGCTACAGCAAAGTTATCTACAGCTGTGGTGTCAAACCTAAATAGAAACTGGGCCATTAAACCGTGTATAAGGACCCTTGCAGATCACTTAGTTTTAAAAAGGCAATGTTTATTTAGTTATTTCCCTACATTTTAATCACATTTTGGCGTGTTGCTATTTGACACCTCTGATTTGGGTGAAGTGATCTGACCAAGTCTTTCTGCTTTCCAGGAGGGTTCTCTATCCAGGGTTCCTGGCAGCTTCTATTTCCTACACTGACATTCTCTTACTTTAAGCTTGACTACCTGAATTAGGTCACTAAGATGAGGAATCTCAAATCAAAAGCAGGAGAGAGAGAGTTGCTGCCAATCAAACAGAATGACAAGAGCAGATACAAAGATTTATTAAATTTAACACCCTAATAGTCAATTGCTTATACCCTTCAACAGGCTATTGGAGTATCTCTGTGGCAGGGGTGAATTCCCAAGGACCCTGGATAATAACAGTAATGAAACCTGTGAGGTTAATTAAGTACAACCTCACAGAATTAGGAGTCACTTTTACTGAAGAAAACAAGCCTTCTATATTCATTAATATAAACTCAATAATAGTTTCACCTCTAATCAAAGTATTCATTTAGAACTTCAATCTATGAACATTATTATAGAAATTAAAATTTTCATCTTACTTTAGTTCTTCAGGATACTCCAGCAGAGTCTCTTTAGCAAATGTGTCATTCCAGAACTGAACACTCTGTTTGCGGATCTGTTTATTTTTGTGCAGAAATATTATGCACAATAATGGGGAGAGTTGTTCTAAAAGCTCATTGTTATAAGTGCCATTGTAGCGAAACTGAAGACATCTAAGAATCTCTCCTAAGAGCTTTTCTAACTAGGAAAAAGCATAAAATTTAGAAATATTACTTTTTAAGTTAAAATAAAACAAAAAACCCCAATCAAATTAGACACTATTTTCAGAACATAGTCTATTACTATTTAATTTCAAAAGTTATAGGAGGTAAGATATATGGTTTGCAAGTACATATAGAAAATAACTTGTACTTATTAAATCTAAATTGTAAAGGATTTATAAGTGATGGGAAAGCAGGAAGAAGTGATGACATCTGTCAATTTTTTACCTTGTTGTTGAGGCAATTATACACTTTAGGCACATCACTAAGCCTGGGACAAAAAAAAAATCAAGATGAAGAAATGATTATCACTTGGCAATTCAGGCTGTAATTATACAGGAAGCTATATCCTAAGTGGTTGGCAAAATATTACTTTGTGCTTGATTATCCCCAAAATCATACATACGTAAGTTTTTAAATAAACTTAAAAACATAAATACACTAATGGAGCTTGCTATTTAAAAGATATAAAACAACAAACTTTTTTAAAAGTTCCTTATCTCTAAATTTGCTTAAAACAAGAAATGCTTTAACATATTTACAAATAAAATATAAGGAGATTCCCCATAAATCATAGATCTCAAACTACTGCAGAAAACCAGAATATAATTAAATTTATTTTAGGTCAACTGTTTTTTCTTTTTCAGACCTCTTCTAATAAATTTTCAAGTCTGAATACATGACTCTTTGCACTGCTAGGGAATGTATGATAGAACATGTGTCATAGGATCACAAATCTAGAACTGGAAGGGACCTCAGAGATTATTTGGTCTAACACCTTCATTTTGTAGACAGAAAAGCTCAGGCCCAAGGTGGTTAAGTGCCTTGCCCAAAGTCACACTGGTATTAACAGTCACATGAGAATTGAACTCAGGTTTTCCTGAGTTAGCTAAAACATTAGGTTTTAGAACTAGAACGATCTCATATCATATTATTCAAACCCCTCATTTTATAGATTCAGAAATGGAAACCCAGCAAAATGGACTGACCTCTTCAAGGTCACACATGAAGCAATTGAACCAGCACTCAAATCCAGTACTATTCTTCAAATCTAGCAATCTTTCCAAGATACCACACTCCATATTACTATTACCACATCAGTTACTAACATGCTACATTTTTAACATAAAGCAGGCCTAACATAGCGTGGTTACTATAATAAAAATACCTTACTCTAAGGCATACGGATATACATATAGAATATCTATGTCAAATGACACACTACATAAAGTGCTTTTGCAAATATCATTAACTATCATTACATACGCTGGACATACATTTTAAACATGTCAGTCTACATTTCAAAACACTTGATAGTTTCTTCACCATTTAAAGTTTATTAAAGTAAATAATCTTCATTAACATCAGTTTTAAAAATTTGCTTCCTAGAAACAAAAACTTACAAATGCAATTCTCTCCAAATTTCTGAATGAAACTCAATATACTTACTTCGAATTTTCATATAACAATGCCAAAGGCTTTGTTAAAGTTGCAAAGATTGTCTGTATCACTGAAGGCAAAGACACATGGCCAAGAATAGTAGAAATAATGCTGATAATTGAACTACCAACAGAAAGGAGTGTTTCAGAATGAAGATTCTTGATGCTGACATCATGGAAAGCATCCATCATTTTCAGGATAACTTTAAATAAAGAAGTCAACTTCCCTAAAGGTTCTTTTTTTTTCTTGGACCAATCTGTAGGTGTCTGTGGTACTGAAAATAGAAGCAGTTTGGTTAAAGACAAAAGCCTTTTCAAGATTTATTCTTTCATAGAATACTTAATGTCTTGGCTCCAAGATGAACAATAGTTTAAACAAGTTTAGGTATGCCATACTTGTCTAAACGATTGTGTTCTTTGCGAGCGTGTCCTTTCTCTACGTATATAAACTTGTAGACTGTATGGAACAGACTACAAGTTTACATATGTAGACGAACACACTCATTCACAACTTGAGGTACATAATGAAGATGAAATAAGTACAAACATTTCCCACTTTTAAAAAGGCTCATAAGTAAAAAGATAACATCTTCCTGAACAAATGGATAATTATTTTCTTGGATCTTCACAACAACCTGGGAAATAGCACAACTGGTACTTTCCAAGTAAGAAAGCTCCACGGCATGAAATCGCTCTCTGCCCTATACTACACTGTAGCCCAAACTCATTAAGAATAAAATAATGAAGAAACTTTTATTGAATGTCTATGTGAAAAGGAGTGGCAATTCAAATAGGCATAATACATGGCCCCTGCCCTTGCTAAAGTTAATACGATGCTGCAGAGATTTGGTGAGAAATACCACAAGGCATATCCAAAGTGGTAAATGAAATGGTGGGACTAATATTTGCTGTAGAATAATAATGCTTGAAGGTGTGATGAGTACTATCATCCCTTTACACAATTCTGGACCATGTAATATGCTGGTACAAAAAGGGGATATATGCCAAAGTTATAAAACATTCAAAATTTTATTTATAAGTTAAGCAGAGCTCGTTTTAATTGAAACCTGAAGCTGTCTCTAATCCTTGGGTACAATATCAAAGGCAATGCTTCAGCCAATATGCTGGATAGATCCCTGAGCTATGAAATGATAGATTTAGAGTTAAATTGTCTAGTTTAATACCTCATTTTCTAGATTTATAAAGTGAAGCCAAGAGATTACCATACAATATTTTTCATATTCGTTTAAAAAAAAAGGCACATCAATACTCACATTTAATTTGGGGTTGATGTTTAGTACTGTATGGTGAAAAATCGATGCATTCAACTATTACTGTAGCAACATGGGCAATCCTATCCAAAAAAGACAAGTTCTAAGGGGAAAAAAAATTAGAAACATCCAATCGTTAATTAGTATAGTATCTTAGGCTAAATGAAAAGCAGGTAAGTTTGTCAATGGTGATTAGTATCATCCATTTCACATGTCTGCCTTTGCCAACGTTCCCCAATGATTTACTCTTGTACTTTCGTAGCCTAATTGAAGTCTCCCATCCTAAAAGTAATTTACCTCTCTCTAGGTCATCCAAGCTGTTGTTCAACTTGACTCCATGGTAAAAAGTATTCCTGTCTGGCTCCCCATGCTTAAGGAACGCAAGTCCTGGCTGTTCTACCCTGTACCCACATACCTTTATGGCTCTGGATACCTACTCCTTTCTTTCTATTACTTAATGCTCGGTGAATCTTCTCAACTGGAGTGTTACCTTTCAACTAATTCCCAACCAATCTCCCATTTTTACAACTGCCTATTCTGTAACTGTTTCAACTAATTCACATTCAATTTCTAACCAATCACGCACTTATAAGACTTCTTGTAATTTACCTACTGTCGATATAACCAATTAATATTAGTCCCGGTAGACCTTTAAAAGAATTTAGTAATAAAAACTTACTGCAAAAGTGTTGTCATCTAAGGCAGACATCATCTTAAGACACAGTTCATCACAGCATAAGTTTTCTTCTGCTGTTGCTACCAAAGCTGCACAACGGGCAAATGTTCGATACAGTTCTGACCAAGTTCGAAGTAATGATTTGATAGTGGGCTTTTAAAAAAGATCAAGTAGAAAAACTAGGTTACTGCCAATTCCATTAACTGTATAAGTCAATCTCTGTTACTTAAAGTTAAACTATACCAATAGTATCCTGCAAAGAAAAAGAAAAGTAGAAGCAAATTTCAGCTTCGGTAACTCTTTACAGAACACAAATAAGTCTAATTTATCAAAAAAGGAAGAGAGAGAAGAAGAGAAAGAAAGAGAGAGAAGAAGAGAAAGAAAGAGAGAGAAGAAAGAGAAGAAGAAGAGAGAGAGAGAGAGAGAGAGAGAGAGAGAGAGAGGGAGGGAGAGTGGGTGTATCTCACAGTGATAAGTCAACATTACAGCCTAAAACTTTCCCAGAAAATGTTCTACTCTCCCCACCCCTCCCAAAGCCATAACCCATAAACTTACCAATGGAAACTCTTGTGCTGGAAAAACATGGGTTATTGGTAGCATCAATGCACTATAGACAGCACTGAAATTGTGCTCCAATGCATCTCCCTGATTTACTTCATTGGTCTGAATAAAATATAAGAGGAAAATTCTATTCAAGCTGCCAAGATAAACAGCCAATTTGACATTATTATGAGTACTAGAAAAGAAGTTTAAAATGGAAGAAATTCTAACAGGGAAGCTTATTTTATTTTCTTTAATTAAAAAAAAAAGACTAAATGAGCAAAATACCCTGTACATAATGGCTTTCTTGTAGAAAGCAATGTTTTTCAACACAAAATGATTTCTGTTCTCATGGGAGATGTAAATGTACATTTTCTTGTGCCATAAAGCTATTCGAAGAATTCATATACTAGGTGAAATACATCATAAGAGCAAATCTAACAATACTCTAACTCTTACTTTCATTGGTCTCAATAAAATACAAAAGAAATATTCAAATAAAAGAGCTATTCTAATAGTAACATGCAAAGTTACTACACAGTGATTTTTTAAAAAGAAAATCTGCGAGACATGAGAAGACATTTCCCCACACTGAATAAATACTTCCTATAACAGACTTTTTCAACACATTACTTTTGAACTTCTTCACTTCTTTATTATAAAGGACGGCTCCTGAGGAATGGGAGAGGGAGGGTCAGGGGAAAAAGATATAGTACGAAATGCAGGTTTTAATTTACACAATCTTATCTTCCCAAGTCACAAGTAAACTAGTTTTTGGAGCCCCTGATTCCAAACTTGTAACACTTAAAAATCTAAATCAATATAGCCAGACCACATTTTAGAGGGAAAAGTCATGATTTCTCTTAGACTAATAGGATTCGTGAAAACACAGGTGTTTATGAACTGTGGAATGTGTTCACCATTAGAATGTAAGCTCATTAGGGGTAGAGACTGTTTTATTCTTATTTGTATTGCCAGTGCCTGAAACATTCATCAGCAATTCATATTTGACTGACTCACATCTTTCAAAGACTTTAGAACTCTTACCAGCGCAATGACTACCCATTACTCTATAATACAAATGCTGAAACATGTTACTACTTGGGAGAAAAAAAGACCATGCAATGCTTTCCATTGTCCATCAAATAAAGCCTCCAATCCTTTACCTGCATTCAAAAGCTGGTGGCAGTCTTTTATCTTTTATCACTCTTCTTTACATACTCTATGCTCTGGCCAAACTCTTTATACCGTGAACAACACCTGACTTTACCTGCTTCCAGTCCTTCACTGATAACCCTATTATGAAATATTTCCCCATCCCATTCTACCTTTTAAAGCCCAAGAAGTTGTCTCTCTCTTATTGTGAAGCATACCTGATTACACACACCAAGTTCCTTCCCCTTTGCTCATATTTAGAATGTTTTTGCACTGTCTCTGTTATCACTCATCAATTGACAAGTTTTACAGATCCTACTTTGATAATACCTTGCACATTCCATCTCCTCTCTAGTCAGCTGGCCACCACCCCACCTCATCAACTCTTACCAGGATTATTTTAACAAACCTTCTAATTGCATTCCCTGCCTTAAATCTCTCCACTCTCCAAACCATCTTCCACACAAGTGCAAAGGTGAAATTCATAAAGCACAGGTCTGACCACATCCTTCCGTACCCAGCAAACTTCCATGGCTCCTATTGCCTCTAGCATTTGTTACATACTCCCCTTGATTTAGCTCTGGAATCTGACTCCAAGGTACCTTTCCAGCTTTATTATATTTCATGCTCTCTAAAGTCCTGACAAACTTGTCTTCTTATAGTTCACACACACACAACATGCTATCTTTTACCTCTGTGCTTTTATACAGGTTGTGATGCACTCCCATCTTGTCTCTCAAAATCTCAGGGCTTCTTTCAAAGCTCAATTCAAATGCCACCTGAAGCCTTTCCTTATCTCCCTCATGGCTAGTACCCTTCCATTCTAAATCACTTTGTCTTATATTTATTTTGTCTACGTGCGTGTGCAGACTGTGCATACAAATTTGTACATATTTTCTCCCCAAAGAGAATGGTAGTTCCTTGATGTCCGAGACTGTGTTTCTTCCTATTTCTAGAGCCTAGTATATAGTTAACACTTACTAAACGTTTGTTGACTGAATCTTTATATTTCTCCCCCAGAGCTTAGCACACTTCTTGGATAGATATTACAATGTTAGCCAAACTGAATACATATAAGATGGAAGGGGAAAATTCTGCTTTAAAATTCTTTAGTGGAATAAAGAAATATGAGAGGATACCTGGTTAATCAGTTCCGTTAATGGGTTGACTAGAATGCTCCACATTCGCCACAGATGCTCTTTGTTATCAAGGTGCTTTGCATTTTGATTAATAACATTTAAAACAGAATCACTGAAAGCTAGTGGAGAAGTTGGGCCAGTAAGAACACAACCTACAAGCGTTTCCAGGTTTTGAAAGAACCTAAAAAGGAAAAACATTCTACTGAACTTTTTGCATGCATTAAGGCTTTATACAAATTTTAATTGCCAGAAGCACTCTAAAACAAAGGAGATCAAAAGATTTGTACTCAACCTTTGTTGTCCTGCCCACTTCAATTTTTTTATTTTAAAAAACCCTACTGAGAAACATCATCCCAATTTCCTAACATCTTTTCAATTATAATTTAAACAAATTGTTCTTCCTAGATAATATTTGACAAAGGCCACAATCTTAGTTGAATCACGATTGGGAAAGCTCACCTTTCATCAGCCACACCACATTCCAAGAGGTTATTACTAAAAATTAATTGAATTAAGAACAAAGCTGGAGTTCCCTGTATAGAAAAGGAGAGGAATACTAATAAATTTGAATTATAAAAATTCTAAGTATTTTTACAAGTTATTAAGTATATAAATGTATATATAGCTATCCATATAAACAGTAGCCCACCTTACTAATATCATACCATCTGAAATTTAAGTGTATCATACTTCCAGATAGGACACATCTTAAGTATGATACAATAAATTTAATCGGTGCCTCTTACCAAACAACAAATTAAAACACTATCTCATGTGGGACAAGTAAAAGGACACTTAACAAAACAACCACATGTTCTGGGACTGCAAAATTTATTTCTTCATTCTTTAGTGAAATGATGACTCTTCACCTTTTATAAAGAAATCTGTGTCAAACACTTTTTCACTTTCCAAATTATTAAAGCTAGCCTTGCTATAACCTAGCAGTTTTTCTTGATCATTATTATTAAAAATTAAATACTATGAAACCATGGCAGTTTAATGAAAATGTTATGTCAACACTTCCTTTTTTTTTTTTGGGGGGGGTGGTCTAGGCAATGGAGTTAAGTGACTTGCCCGGGGTCACACAGCTAGTTAAGTGTTGTGTCTGAGGCCACATTTGAACTCAGCTCCTCCTGAATCCAGGGTCAAAGCTCTATCCACTGTGCCACCTAGCTGCCCTCATTTCGTTTTCTTGCCCAGACCTTTCTATAACAATTAAAAACAAGTTTTCACTAAAAGTTATAATATATAAGATAGTTATATAGCATAAAGCAAAAGGCCTTTTCTCTTCCATAAGGATCCACACATTAGTAAGGTACAATCAATTTTAGCATTCAAGCAGAAAATCCCTGGATGATACTATGGCAAATGTTATGAAGATACCATAAAGCAAAAGACACTGTTCTTGCTGCACCCTCCCTCAGCTTTCCCCCACCGCTCCATAGTTCACAAGGCAATCAGCTTGAAGCCATTTCTTAGTGAAACACTGTTTCTCTCACTGATGTGGTCACATACGTACGCACACGCACATGTGCGTACTCGTACACACACACACACACACCCCCCATGACATTTAAGATACTTGCATTAAGAAGATCCATGTTAGCAACTTGATATGCTGGTGAACCTAATACTTTCTGAGGTAGTCCTTTAATTGTAATTTCTATGAGGACCTAAGGAAATTTTTTTTAAAAAATGGGACAAAAATTATTCCAAAAGAAGACCCCAACTTGGCAAAAGTGAAATACAAGTTTCCACAAAGACACATGATTGCAAAAGTTACAAGTCTGACCAAAAATAACTAATGAGTTACTTAATAGGATATTAGGAAGACATAGACAGATTTAATAATTTACAAAATTGTCACATCTTCATAATGCTTTGTTAAGTAAGGTATGATAAGCAAGTTTTACTCATTTTTACAAAGAAACTACACAAGGCAAGTGAGTTGACTGGAGCTAAGGCTTAAGTTTCCTGATGTATGTAGTTCAATGCTCTTTATATAGCATAGTATACTAGTATTCCAAAACACTAAATAAATCAGCAGATTCAGTATGAGTTCAAGCTGAAATCATATGATGACACACAAGTTATGGAGGGCACTTCAACAGTTCATTTATTTCCAGCACCACTTTCCCATATGATTGTAAAGAATTCACCTGCAATGTAACTTTTAAATACCTCTTGATCTGCCAGGTGGACTTATTTAAAATCTAATCTACTCTCAACAAATTTCCATTTTCCATGTAACCCTTACTATTCTATTAAAAAAAATGTTCCCTAAGTACCTATTTTGTGAAGCACAAAGGGCTAAGTATACAAATATGAAAAAAACAACAGTTCAGAAAATTTATAATCTAGTTGAGAAAGATGACATGAATAAACAGGTAACCATAAAAATGACAAATTTGTAGGTGTACAGGAGAAGCAAAAGTATGGAGGGGGGAGGGAGGAGGGAGGAGGAAGAGAGGGGGGAGAGGGAGAGAGAGAGAAAGTGAGAAGGGGGTGGGGAGAGACAGGTAAAACACAGAGAAGGTAAAAGGAAAAACAAAATAAGGCATTGGATGGCCCTGTTCCTGTTATTAAAGTAGGGAAGTTACTTGATAAGACAGGTTAGTATGGAATGAAAGATTTCCACTATAACTGCAAATTAATTACAGTGGCAAGATTACAATAACCAAGCTGGATTTTTTACAACTATATAATAGTATTTCTTCAGGATTTATTTTCCAGTAAGTGACTGATTCATTTGTTCAATCATATAATAAGAAATTTGCATAAAACTATGAGCTTATAAGACAAGCAATGTGGCAAAAAAAGGTAAAAAAATTTTTTTGCTTCAAAAAAACTGTTAATAAAACACTTACCAATGTTTTTGATACAGGAAATGCATCAGCTGTCACTATGCTTTTCAAAGACTGTAGCAAAAGGGTCAATACTTCTGAGCCCTGTCTTTCTTTTTTGTTACCTAATAGTTCAGAAATCACAAGTATGTTGAAAATTCATTTAAGAACAAGTAACAGTTTTCAGGTAGCTATTCAGAACTTAAAAATCTCTTTACTGTATGAGTTTAATAAGGGAATAATTTCAACATTAAAAATAAAACTTAACATGTTGAAAGAGACACATTTAAAACATAGATGAGCCTTTAAGGTTTTGACTTTTCACTGCAAGCAGAAAGTGATAGAAAATATCAGTTTAGCCATGCCTGTTAGCTTTATAATTACACTACCTGATTCAATAACTGATTTCACAAAGCAAATGATATCTTTCCATATGGCATAAATCACAGCATCTACAAAACAAGAATAATTTGTTTTTGTTTTTAAAAAAGGGAAGTCATTCTGAATACAACACAGTGCTTTTCTTAAGTCCCCAAATAACAGTTTCTAAAATGAAGACTTAATGATCTAGAATTTCTAATGAAATGCTTACCTGAAGCATCTTTTCCAACAGCAACAAAGCTGTCTTGAACTGCAGCTATGAGAATATTTGCATGTTTGCAAAAGAACGAAGGGCTATTGATCAAAGGATGCTGAAGAGGCTCTAAAAAAGGGGAAAGATAACGAAAATGTCAAACTGGAATCTTTCTGTAATATTCTTCAGTAACAAATTGATTCTTTTAAATAAATAAAAAGCAAAACTATACCATTAATCCATGTTTTTGACTACATTAGTTTTGCACATTTGGCAATACATAAAAAGTACTGGAAAGTACACTGAGAGATTTGTGTAAGTCCCAAAAATATTTTATGAAAAAAAAAATACCTAAACTCAGCACAAGTTTGTTTTTCTTAGCAAATTCCAAAACATCTGGACCCAGCAAGAAGTGAAGTAACATTTCAATTCCCAAGAGTTGAATAGATGGGATGGCTGCCATTCCACTGGTATTAAGAGACAAATTCATCCTGGGTGTAACAGGAGTTCCAAATGGGAACGATCCTTGAGAAAAATCAGAAAATTCCTTTAAGTAGTTTACATTAAAATAAAAAAGTAGAAAATATATAATTGTTCTTCTGGTTCTGTTTACTTTAGTCTCAGTCAATTCATTCAAGCCTTCCCAGGCCTTTATCTTTTGTCATTCTTAATGGCACAATGATATTCCATTCCGTTCATAAAACCCAACTGTTTAGCCATTCCAATTGATGGTCATACCTTTATTTTCCAGTTCTTTGCTATTAAAAAAAAATAAACTGCCACTTATTTTTGTACACACTGTACTTTTTCCTCTTTCTTTGATCTCTTTGGGGGTACCGGTTTCAAATGAATAATGAAGCAAGCTCTCCACATTAGGACAAAGAAGTGATGTACTCAGGATTCAAAATGAGAGAGCTTTTCAAACAATTTGTTTTGCTTGATTATGCATTTGCCAGGAGGCCTTGTTTTTTTTCTTTTTAAATTCAATGGGGTAGGAGAGAAAAAGTAGGTCAATAAGGCACCTTTTCATAAATTGCTGAAAGTAAAAGCAGAAAAAAAATCAGATGAGCAGCACAGCTTTAAAACCTACAAGCTGAATTTATTACATAATTTTTAAAAAATCAGTACATAAGATGTTAGAAATTTTATGTACAACCATCTTTTTCTGTTCTATATGTGTGAAAATGTCAAATTTTATTTGGTGCTTAAGTCACAATAAAAAAAAAATCCAAATTTATTTTACACTAAATGGAAGATTGGAGAAGAGGAAGGACAGGGAAGAGCTTTCATAATGCCTACAACTGTCACAAATTTTCATATGGGGTTCTTAACCTAGAACATGTAAAATTGGATTTTATTTTAAATATTTTGATAACCATTTCAATAATTAATTCATGTTATACATTTGTCATTATATACATGTTATGCATTTTAAAATATTATGTTAAGGGGTCCAGTCTTCATGAGGCTGTCAAACGGGGTCCATGACATGAAAAAGGTTTTGTCTAGTGGAAAGCACCTGGAGTTATGGATTTGGAATCAGAAAACCAAACTTTGATTCTAAGGTATACCAATTACATACATCTGCGACCAAGTTATTTTTCTGATCCTCATTTGTGATATCTGATCACATGGGTTGTTGGGAAAAAAAATCGATGAAAAAATAACTTGGTTTTTCAACATAAATGTTTGTTTATCCATCTGGCCATATTAATATGAGCTCACATTATTACTCTTACGAACATGCTGTCCTGGGGGCAGCTAGGTGGCACAGTAGATAGAGCACCAGCCCTAGAGTCAGGAGTATCTGAGTTCAAATCCAGCCTCAGATACATAACACTTACTAGCTGTGTGACCCTGGGCAAGTCGCTTAACTCCACTGCCTCGCCCAAAAAAGAGAAAAACCGTGCCCAAAAAAAAAAATGCTTTCCTTTATCCTTTATACAAGCTAAAGACTTGAAGAAAAATCATTTTGGGGCAGCTAGTTGGCACAGTGGATAGAGCTCTGGCCTTGGAGTCAGGAGAACCTAAGTTCAAATCTGACCTCAGATACTTGACATTTACTAGCTGTGAGACCCTGGCCAAGTTACTTAACCCCAACTGACTCACCAAAAAAAGCAAAAAGCAAAACAAAACAAAACCATTTTGTTATAGTAGGTTGGTTCCTTACCTTGACGGATTTCAATTGCTCTGATACTAACATGATTTCTGAGAAGCTATTTAGGACTGAAATAATACAGATAGTCTACGACTTTATTTTTTTTTGGGGGGGCAGGGCAGCACACAAGGCAATTGGGTTTAAGTGACTTATCCAGGGTCACACAGCTAGTAAGTATCTGAGGCTGGATTTGAATTCAGGTCCTCTTGATTTCAGAGCCGGAGCTATCTACTGTGCCTTCCCTTCCCCCTCCCCACTCCCCCCATTTTTGTTTCTTCTAGTCCATGACTCTTAAAGAGAGGGAAATTAACTAGTATATAAACAAAAAAAAAATCTGAAAGACTAATATTAATACTAATCTAACCCAAAGAGTTAATATTCATGCAGAAACTTAACTGCTCCAATTATCAATATACCTCTCCTCCAAACTTCACATTCAAATAAAATATACTGCTTTTTTTGGTACATGTATATACATCTGAGACATGTTTATTTTTGATTTATTGTTAAAAAACAAAACAAAAAACAGGTACCATGGCATAGCTAAAAGCATTAAATGTAGAATCTGAAGACCTGGATTTAATTCTTAGCTCCATAACTTTTTTTTTTAAGGCAACTGAGGTTAAGTGACTTGCCTAAGGTCACACAGCTAGTGTCAGGTGTTTGATCTGAGGCTGGATTTGAACTGAGGTCCTCCTGACTTCAGCACTGGGTGCTCTATTCACTGCACCACCTAGCTGCCTCTAGCTCCATCACTTATTGCTGTGACTTAAAGTCACTTATTTGTTTCTTTATCTGTAAAGATGGCTTTATATATGTGAGTTAATACAGAATAGGGACCGGTCATAGTCAAACGAACTCCTTGCTCAGCTCCACACCTAAAAACCTGTCCCCACATCATCGACCTCTGCTCTATTCAAATAGAATAAAGTGGCTCTCCACCCTTTACCAAAGTTCATTTTTCTAGTTGCCACTGAACATCACTGTTTTCCTGTAGAAGTTTGTTCCATTGATCATTTCCCTCCCACTAGACCCCTTATCTACTGTCTTCTTTTCCAATGACCACAATCATTCTTAGGTTTCATTAATCAAAAATATTCCCCTTCACCATTCTACAATCTCAAACATCAATCCTTTGTCTCCTCTGCCCTTGGCTGCTAGACTGCAAAAAGTCAATTCTATACATCTTTTACATTCGCATTCATACACTGCAATTAGGTTTTTGACTTTACTGAAGCTGGTACCTCTCCAAGACAATCCCTTAACTGCTAAATCCAATGTCCTCTCTTAGTTCTCTTCCTCTTTAACCTTTCCGTAACACTTAACACTTGATCACTCTCACTGGTAGATACTTTCCAATTCAACATGTCTGACCACCCCTCAGCACCTTTCACTAGTTTATAATTCTTACCTTAAGTGTAGGTATACCCTAAAGCTCAGTCTCCTACAATTTCTCTTTGAAGTTCACTTTTGAACTCATTACCTTCTTTCTATATCTGTCCCATTTCCTCTATTCCTTTCCCTATTGCCTTTCTAGTCACTTGGGTTCATCTGATTCTTCTCTTGACCTCATCTGCCACATTTCTTGACTACCAGCTACCTCCACAATACCTCTTACACTGATTCCTTCCAATTCACTCACCTTCACAATGCTCATCACCCTAATTCAAGACTAAAGTAGTGATCTCCTAACTGGTCTCTATGTCCTTCATGGCTCCCATCTCTATAACAAAGTCATCACCATCTTTCCAATGTACTCTCTGATCAAAAATCTTTAAGCAGAGCAGGCACAAATATTCTCATACACACACACACACACACACACACACACACACACACACACACAGTGCCTGTCTCCATATCACAGAAACCCATATTCAGAAACTAAACCTTCTTAATGAAACAAGAAATGCTTCTGAAAGATGAAACTGAAGTAGTTTCTTCTATCAATATCAAACAGGACCCATGAGACAGTGAAAAGATCATTTAAAGTAAATAAAACCCAATTCTAATTTCTACAACTTCAAAGATCTAGTTTGAAGATTGCAGGAAAAATAAAATTACATACAAAAATTTATAAAAAGTAAACTTTTCAATGAGTAAATGATTTGCCCTCCAACACTAGGACAGTGACTAATCTTCTAAATATGCAAGTGTAATCATTTTTCACCCTTATAGCAACAAAAATTTCATATCCAAAATCTTGTAATCTTTGGTGGTTGTTTGGTTTGGTACTGATTCTGGTTAGCACTTGTTAACTTTATATAAGAAGAATACTAGGAATATTAGTTTCCAATTGTTAAGTTACAAATAGTATTTTACTGTATTAATAATGCATAACACAGCATGGTTTTAATACTGAAGGCTAATGTTGAACCTAATCTTCAAGAAGATGAGAAAATGCAGTTCCCTTTCTTTATTGAAGACATGGGGGCTAACGGGTGTGCAATACTGAACATACTTTCCTATTCAGTTGATGTGGTAATACGTCTTGAACTATTTCCTTCCCCCACTTCTCTTTCTTATTGTTATTCTGTCCAAAGGATGGCTCACTGGTAGAGGAGAGGGAGACGGTCAGAAATGAAGGGAGTGTAAAAACAAACAAAAATCAATAAACATTTAATAAGAGCTATTTATAAATCAAAATGGTATTTTTGAGTCTAATAAAGTAACTGAAAAGGGGTCATCTTTTTTTTTTTTAACGCAGAAGAGAATGGTAGGAAGGCCAGAAAGAGGCACAGAGAAGCAGGGTAGTTCTGAAAGTCTTTTCTGTTCTATTATAGATAGTAATGTCCATTTTAAGTGCTTTTATTCATATATTCCTTTGTGCCTAAAGGTAACTGCTGTCAAAAAACAATTACAAGAACAAGTTTCTACTGCATTAATAACTGCTGACAGTTAACTATTTATAATGAGTCTGTTCCTACATTCATATATTAACTTTTCTAGGATTCTGTATAAGCTGTTCATCTCAAATGGCAAATACATATTACTGATCAATATTAAAATAAATCTATCTATACATCATCATAAAACCCAGTACAATCAGCTCCAAATGATCAAGTTACAAAAGCAGAATTCTTCAAACAGCAGTATTTGTGATTAGGAAAAAAGCTTTAATAAATAAGACCAACCAAAATGAATAAATGCCGGCGTTTGAAGTAAGAGATTTAAATGGGTATTTTCTATTCTTTTCATAATCAGCTTATAGTTTTAAATCAAAGTCTATCCTGTACCTGCTTTCTGGTTAGAAGTAACAGGGTTTAAGCCTGCATTAGCTGCTCCACGGGATGGAGTTCCTTGGGACACAGTATGGCAGTCTGTGCTTATTGTGCTTTGAATCAATGGTACACAAACCTATGGAGAATAAAAAGGAAACAATGTATATTTACACATTCAATGATGTAATCCTATTTGGGCATGCTCAGAGTCCAATGGTTCCATGCTCCAATCCACAGAAATACATACCACTAACTGTCTAGGGCTTACTAAGTTCCTTCAGCCAAACATCAAATACAATGAGGTAAAGCAAAGAAGGATAGAATATAAGGATAAAACACATTCAAGTTGGGAAAAGACTACTCTCTCCAAGAATCCATGGATAACTCTGACTCATCTACAATAAAACTTATCAAATTAAAAATACTCAATTAAGAATTTTTCAATTTTCATTCATTTCATGCCAAAAGCCATGAAACTCAGCATTCAACAACATCTTCATCAATGAAAAAGTCACAATTCTAGGTTTAGTTTATTGTCTGTCCAAGGTGTTCTGTTTGTAAAGAACACAATTTCCTCTAACTGGCATAACCTTATCTCATAATTCCTAATGGTTAAATCAGGCACTACTTATACAGCAGAAAATGCAACACAACTTATTTAAAAATTTTTGCTGACAAGAATGCATAGAGGAGTTAAAATACAATGGTTCATACTCTATGTTTTGTTACCTGTTCAAAATTTGTAGGAAGATGAGGTCCAAGCCTCATTAGTAGATACCACCAGACTTCCAGTTTTGTCAGTGCTAGAGCTTCTGTTCTCACATGGATAGAGCTCAAAGGCTGCATTAGCAATTTGAGTCGCTTTGTGCTGCACAGTATATCTTTAGATTTTTAAGAATAGATTAAAAATATACAGTTAATATGAGAAACAATCACGCATTAATTTCTGTTTAAAATAGCATTTTTAGTAAACAAAATTTAAAATAAAGGCATACACCTAATCAATAATTATCCATAAGAGATTAACCTATACAGAGAAAAAACTCCTTGATCATTCTTATCGCAGTCAATTCAATTATTCAGGGAATTAATTTTCTGATGGACTACAATTATTCACGTCTCAAGACTAGCTTTGGCTAACCATTTCTGATTTTTAAGCGTGACTTCCTCCATTCAGTGTTTGATAGGTTAACCTGTATGTATTTCCACTTAAAGGTCTTTAAGGGCAAAGGTGCTGCAGTACTGCTTCACTGATTCCTTTCTTTAAACTATTCTTATGTTAAATCACTACCAAAGCATTTTAATGACACTAATGGATGGCATGTGAGCCACCCAAAATAATGTTACACCACTAAAATGAAACCGCATAGAGACTTAGCTCTTATTACATTTGCAAAGTACTTTAACATACAAATTTGAGCTTCATAATTCCCTATTAAAAAGGTACTACAGGTATTATGTCCATTTTAAAGATAAAGAAACTCAGGTTCAGAGGATAAGTGATTTGACCATGATGACACATGTAGGATCAGAATGGAACTGTGGTCTTCCTGATTCTCTATCCAGGAATCATTCTGTTGCCTGCTACTACTGATTACGGGCCACAACCAAGTTTTATATAAGGATTTAAGGGTAAAATAGACACATCAACATTTAAAAATCCTAAATTAAAAAGAACTGAGACAAGAAGATACAATTTAATTTCTTCTTCTTCTTTAGTTGGCAGTAAATAATAAAAAAATGAAATGTTTAAAACTTTTTAACTTACCTGGATTTAATGCAAAATTATCTATCAAACTTTTCCAAGCAATAAAGGCAATCTTCTTTATCACAGGTGCTCCACTACGAAATCCAAGTTCTTCTAGCTGTAACAATGAGTTGATAAAACTCCCACTTCGATGAAGAGTCTAGAGGTAACAAAATATCAAAAGTAAAAATTTTTCAAGTATTTATATTTATTTGCAAAGAGCACATGAAGAATGCCTAACATGGAAAGACTTTAAATGTGCAAAAATCAATGACTATATAACATGAGACACTCTAAGGAAGTCACTGATAAGAAGAAATGCCCCACATACATCAAAATCTTTAAGTAGTACTTTTCGTAGTTGCAAAGAATTGGAAACAAAGTTGGTGACCAGGAACTGAGAAGTGTCAAAATAAACTGATACATGATTGTAAATAACAGAATATTACTCTACTATAAAATGACAAACATGATAAAATGATAATAGAGACAACCGTAAAAAGCCTTACAAAGTATACTAAACCAAGAAAACAACATACATAGTGACTATAACAATGTAAGTAAACAATTGGTAAGAAACGTTGCAAAATTACAAACAAGCTTGACCTCAAAGAGGTCCCCCCACTCCTTTGTAAGGTGATATGTATACTTTGATGTAGAACTATGCTTATAGTCACCGTTTTGATGTACTGCTATGTTTTGCTGACCCCCTTCCGCCACTTTTCCTTTCTTCTTAAAATCATTTGTTCTTAGGGATAGCAGAGGACTAGTGGGGGTGGGGTACTAAGGGAACTTTAGTAAATGTTAAGACAAAAGACAAACAACACGACTGCTTAAACTGGTAGCCCAACTCCCACATACTAATTCTACAACAAATTGTGGTATGTAAATGATTAAATGTTGTAGTTGTTTAATTGTTATAGTCATGTTTGACTCTTCATGACCTCCATTTGGGGTCTGCTTGGCACAGATAATGGAATGGTTTATCATTTCCTTCTCCAACTCACTTTACAGATGAGAAACCGAGGCAAACAGGATAAAGTGACTTGCCAATGGTTCCAAAGCTAGTAAGTGTCTGAGGCCAGATTTGACTCAGGAAGATGAATCTTCCTAATTTTAGCCCAATACTCTATCTACTGTGCCACCTAGCTGTCCCAAAACAATAAAAGATTACCGTGCTGTTAAAAAATAATAATAAATACCAGTAAGTACATAAAATAAGCAGTCAAGAAACAATATACACAACTACAACACAAAAACATAAAGAATGTGACTTTTTTTTGGTAGATTGATTTTGGGGAATTTCTCTTTCATTTCACTTCTTTAAAAAGTCTTTGATATAAATAATAGTTTTCTGGAAAGGGGAAGAAGAGAAAGAATATAAGAGATTTGAAAATAAAAGGTATCAATAAAAATCTACTTTTGAAATTCCAACAGACAGATCAAGCAAATGACTTTATCTTTATCTACCCTAGAACTGAATAAAATCAGCCAGAAGTCCATAGGCAATAGAAAAGGGGGAACCACTAAGAGAGTCAGTCAAAGCAAAAAATACAGAAGCCTCCAAACAAAACAGAGATAGGCCAGAAGTGTTCTAGTCTGCCAGATTTGTATGTGCAGGGTCAGCAAGAATAAAAGCCTCCCATAAGAAATTCAATGGTTGTTGGAAACCCATACTGTGGACTGGACCACATTAGCAACATGGAACAGCAATATCAGTCCAGATGTACTAGTGATCAGACTGTAAGACCCTGGGTCCAGGGGCACCTGTTTGAATAATGAATAAGAAATCTGATGAGAAACTAGTTAAGTAACCTCATCTATCCCATAACAGCATAAAGAGTGGCCCAGATATCCATGGAAAACAGGAAAAGGGGCTGCCAGAAAACCAGAGCCAACAATGGCACACATAAATGGCCTTTGTTGTGACCTCTAAGAGATAACATATTCTGCTACTTTAGTCTAAGAAGGAGCTGAGGTCTCCCCTACAAAAGCCCCTAGGGAGGTTGGAAACCCATCGTTGTGACCTTAGAAAGGACAGGGAAGTGGTAGTCACCATTTCCAATTCATACAGTTCATCCTCCCTTCCCTTCTCCTTCCCTCCTTTCCCCCCAGCAGTCCTTAGATCAGGAAAACTCTGTCCTGAGATGCAATAACCCGAGATGCCAGAGGACCCTGAAGATACAGCAAAACCTACAAGCACAAAGACACAACCTAAGAGACAGAGGTCAATAAAGCAATCTATTTATTTACCTTTATTTATCTATCTATCTATCTATCTATTTTTTATTTTTAGGCAATTGGGGTTAAGTGACTTGCCCAAGGTCACATAGCTAGTAAGTGTCAAGTGCTTGGTCTGAGGCCGGATTTGAATTCAGGTCCTCCTGACTTGAGGACCAGTGCTCTATCTACTGTGCCACTTAGCTGCCCCTCAATAAAGCAATCTAGATAGATAACAAGTAAGGTCTTCCACCTATGCAAAATTACAGCAAGAGGTATTCCTGACCCTGGCACAAAGCTGCTCCAATTCAGGAATTATAACTAGAAATGAGTAAACAGAAGACACTAACTACTCTAAAGAATTATAGAACCACTGACAATCCAAAATCCAAACCAGAAGACAGTAACCCCACAACATATTCAAGAAAATACTCATTCAACAAGGAACTACACGAATTCATGGAAGAAACTGATAAAACTAATAAAAAGTAAATGATAAAAAATTAAACAAAAGCTCTGAAAGAAAAAAACAGAAGAAAAACAGAATAGAAAGTGATAACTTAACCCAAACCAGAATAATTCCATGAAAAATAAAAAATACTAAGCAAAATCATAAGACTGAAAAAAGAGAAGAAAAAATGTATAACTATCAGCTACCTAAGAAACAGATCAAAGGGAAACAATTTAAGAATAAGATCCCCTGAAAACCATAATAAAAAAACTTAGACTTGGGATTTCAAAAATCATAAATGAAAACTTCTCAGATTTATTAAAAATTGGAAGGCAATGACAGAATCTATAAAAAGTGTCAGGAAGAATAAAGCCTAAATCCAGAGCTTGTAAGTCAAAGATAAAATCCTATAAACAAGAAGAGAAATTTTAAGTACCAAGAAACCAGAGTCAGGATGACATAAGACCTGGCAGGTTCTACCATAAGAATTGATCTTTATGTAGAATGTTCCAAAAGGCAAAAGATACAGACCAGGTAACTTAACCAGCAAAAATGAGGATAATCTTATTGAGGAAATATGGAATACAGTACTTTCAAACATTTCTGGTGAAAATAGCAGAGCTCAGATTTTAAAACACATACACAAGAATCAAGAGAAAACTAGATGGTAAATTTACTAGACTAAACAAAGAACACTATTTGATAATGGAGAACTAACAACACTCTAATAGGAGAGGTCAAGAAGCATTTAAGTGCCTACGATTTATTAGGCACTGTGCTAAGTGACAGAAGGAACAAGTGTCCCTAAGGTAAAGGTCTTCCATTGAGAGAGTAAAGTAAGACAGAGGATCTGGCATTGGATTGGTTCTATTCTGAGGTCTGAAGAGGGTAAACAAAAGGGAGAATCAAAGGAAAACACAAGTATTAAAATAAGGAAAAGAAATAGAAAGGGAGTGTAGTTTTTTATTTCTCATAAATGAGATGTGTGAGGAAAGTATAGAAACATAACAGTAAGGGACGGAGAACGAAGGGATCAGATAAAACCCACTCTTTACTAAAGTGGGCAAAGGACAGGTGAATACAAGCACACACAGTGATATAGAAGTACATTAAACTGAACAGGAAAAGATCAGAGATAGGAAGAGGGGAGGTTAAGGAAGATAATACAGGGGAAGGAATAATAAAACAAGCAAAACAAACCAACTTTCGAAGGTAGATTCTGAAGGAGAAATTAGAAAAAGTAAAACTAAAAACTAAAAACTTGAGGGTTTGCCCATCAATTGAGGAATGGCTGAACAAATTGTGGAATATTACCTGAGCCAAAAATGTTAAGCTATGTTTACAGAATACTGGTAAGACTTTTATGAAATGATGTAGAGTAAAAAGAACAGAAACAGAATTAGAAAGAAAAACAACTCTGAAAGTCTTTTCATAGAAATGGTCAACCCTAACTATAGAGAATCAGCAATGAAGCCTGTTACCTCCCTCCTTACAAAGGGATAAACCAATGGTGCTGAAAAAGAATACATTTTTGGACAAGGCCATTCTAGAACTGCATTGCTTCACTGTTCTTAGAAGTATTTTGCCTCCTTTTATAATGGGAGAGGGCAGCAAAGGGGAACAGCAGCAATGCAAAAGAGGGCCACTGAAACTTTTTTTTTTTAAATTCAAAGAGAACATAAATTTGAGAGAAGGTACAGACAAGCAGGACAGCTTTGGAAATAATGCATTTAATATGTACTTCTTTAAAAAATCAAGTTGTATATGGAATAGAGATTCAGGGTTTCGTATATAATCCTTTTTATGTTCTTTGTAATTCTTTTTGTATTTTTTCTTGTTTTTTAAGTTGAGAATTAAAAAACTAAATTTTATAAAAGAAGAACAGATATCATGACCACAAGATTCTGGAACATACTAAGAATTTATTATCCTGGAAAAGTGTAGCTCTTACCTTTCCAAGAAGTTTAACAAACAAAGGCCACAATTTCAACACATATGTCTCATTTTTACTCATGAATAGCTTTTGTAGTTCTGGAATTAGTTTCTGGAAAAAAAAATTTATAGGGAAAAATGGGTGGTGAAAGGAAGAAAAGGATTATAAAGAAATAATGGTTAAAAGCTCAGCTCTCAGTCAATAATTTTGTTCATAAAATAATTTTTAAAAAAGTCTTTTTTTAAATAGTTAAACCTTAGAAAATAAAGCAACTTATTCATCCATCACTAACACCCCACTAAGAAAATTTCAGTTTAATAAATCTGTAAAATATTATATGTGCTTTCAGTTATGAAGACACTTCTCTAAACAAATTACGTTATCAAATCCTGGCATAAGTCTACACCATATTAACATACAGTGACTAAATTATTCAATATTTCACAATAGGCTTGATATTCTCCATTCCCTATTTTAAAGATATCACAAGTTCTGGGCCAAGTGTAGCAAACTGAAGCAACTTCTAAAATATTAACAACTTTACAATAATCACTTTTAACAGTTATCATTAATATTAGCTGAAACTTATTAAGCCTACAGGCTTGAAAAACAGGTGATATAGCAATTCTCCTTCATGGGAATTGCAGGAGTTGAGGATAACTAAGGCCCCTAGTTTTGTCTCTCTCTTCATGGCATTCAAATTCCTGCCTACCTCATACATATCACTCATACCAACTATCCCTGTATAAAATTCTTAGGAGGTAATCTTACTTGAGAAGTCCTTCAAAGAAGTCTTTACCAAGGGCAGGCTTTGCTAAAAGGTATTTCACCCTTAAGATTTTCCATATTAAAAAAAAATACCAATTCAAAATACCAAAGTTAAATGTTCTGTCATTCCCATAACCAGTATACTCAATAAGCGACATTAGTAATGATGATGCAACTTGGAGGTAGTCATTTCACCCTAACGGAAAAGTCAACATTAAGATGAAAATACTTTAATTGCCTATACCAGAGGTTATCAAAGTTGATGCAGCTCTCATAACTCTCCTATGGGCCCAAATCAGATTAAAATATAATTGGGAAATGTTTAACACAATTAATAAAAATATAACACAGAAATGTTAATTAGTGGCTCCTTTTTGATTTGAGTTTGATGTGACTAGCCTATACCATAGTGAGGTGACTCTAGGTTATTAGAAGGTTATTCTAATGGAGATACTCTGGAAGGTTCCACATAAAACTAGAAAGGCTTTGACATACTAAATCTTGAATTTGTAGTCCAAGGAGAGCATAGATTAACCACTAAGTAATGAATTTTTTTCCCCTGTCCATTTATGTTCCCAATTGTTATCTTATTAAGATAACAGGAAACATGGTACACGGGAAAGGTAATTTGAATTCAGTCAGAAGACTAGGAAAGTAATCTTCACAAAGTACTGTCTTTCACTTCAAAAACACTTAGCTCATGTTGTTTTGTGTAGTATCATATCCCCCTTACAGTAAACATCACAAAGGCATAGATTCTAACCTAAAAACCTAATTCCAAAACCTATCAAATATACTAATATGTTTATAAGAGGCTCTTTGGACTTGGAGTAAGACGATCTCATATCAAAATCCTGCTCAGAGATACCCCTTCTCAGCCTTAATTTCCTCATCTGTAAAATGGGGATAATAACAACACCCATCTCTCAGAGTTGTCGTGTGGACCAAAATGACACAACATATATAAAATACTTCGCAAACCTTAAAGCTCTATATTATAGCTATTACTCCTTAGTATAATCATGTTAGAATAAATCACGTTTTAAGCTCCTTTCCAATCAAGGCTCTTGGATGAATAAGCCATTATAAAACATCTTAAAAACGGTTACAGTAGAACAAATATGAAAAACGTCATTTGACACAAAACAAAGTACCATGGGTGAAATTTCGCAAAATGAACTTCAGCATAACAAACTATCAAAAAAGTATGCAAAAGAAAAACAAGCTACAATCTGGAACTCAATAAAACATCAATGTGAAATTGGAAAAACCAGCTATTAATTCAATATCTCAAATGATACAGACGAAAGGCTGACTTTGAAATCTTTATTCAGTTTTAATATTAAATATGGCCCACTAATATTTGGCTATGTTAAATATTGGGTATTATCACACTTAGAAGATAAAATGGGTAAAGACAATTTTCTACCCTTATCATTTGTTTTGTCCTTAATTTCCCAAGAAAATAGATTCTATTTTTAAAATTAAATAAAAATTTTAAAATGATCACTTACAGTTGTCATAAGCTGCTCAGTAACAGCTGCTACTTCTTGCTGTTTCTTGAGCAACAATGGCATTCCCATCTCTAATGCAGTTGCTCCCCGCAAATGTACCTTTTGTGCTGAATGCACCACTAAAGGTATGATCAGCTTTGCCCACCTCACTGCTTCTTCTTCCATCTGAATAGGGGCTTGCTCTATTAGTCTGAAAAGAATAGAGATAAATGTTTAGGAAAAGAGTTTGTGTAATTGTAAATATCTAACTCTGAACTCATAACTCACTTGCAACTGATATAAATTTTTCTCAATAAAATTACCTTGCTGATATCAATATTACATAATAGGTCAGTGACTAAAATTGCCTATATTTCCAAAGATCTGTAACCTTCAAAAGCTACATCCAGATTTCAACTCCATTTGAACATTTATTAAGTACCTACTTTATGCAAGGTACTATGTGAGGTGCTGAGGATGAAAGACAAAAAAGTCCTTCTTGTTGTCAAGGAGTATGTCATTACATTCTAAATGAAGTAAAGCTACAACAGACATACAAGAAATGTATAATAAATTCAGGAGGAAGACGATACTAACAACTAAGGAGTGGAAGCAGGAATCAGTAAGACTTTTAAAAGGAGGTAGCATTTGATCTGAGCTTTGCAAGGTTGAAATGATGAGGGAATGAATACATTTCAGGAATAGAGGAAGTCTGGAAAAGTGGTTAAGGACAGCTACTGGAGTTTGCCTGGAATGTAGAACATGTGAAGGAGATTAATGTGAAATAAGGCTGGAAAAACAGGTTAAAGTAAGGCTATCAATGGGCATTTAAAACTACTTAGCAATTTGTATTTTATATGAAAGCAACAAGAAATTACTTAAGGTCTTTGAGCAAGAAAATGAAATTAGCCTTGTGACTTAAGATGGAAAGGGAACAATTAGGATCTATCTGTAGACAATGTATCTTTCTCTGTGTATTTATACACACATCTATACATACAAACACTTAGAAATCATATGAATGAGAAGAGGGAATTGGGGAGGTAGAGAGTAAGAGAGGAAAAAACAGAGGGAAAGAAAAGAGGAGAGACACCTTATGATGATCCAGTTGAAGACTAAGAAAGGAAAAGTCAGAAAGGAAAGAGAAAAAGCAGAGAGCAGTATCATGGAAACCACAGGACCATCAACTGTATAGAAAGAAGAGGTGGCCCACAAGGTACAGAAAGGCAAAGAGAAACTGAAGAAAGAAAATAAGTTACAAGATTTGGCAGTCAAAAAAGTTACTGATCTATCTGGTAGTCTTGCTTAATTTTTTAAGGATAACATTATGTAGCTGAGAGAATCAGAAACCCTGGACAAAGAAAACTTGGTAATTAGCAAATTCATTCTCACAATGCACAAAAAATATTCTGGGATCTACTTGGTACAACTCTGTCAACCCAGTTGAATAGCTATATGAGATTATCCAAACAACGTCAGCAAACATGCCATAGTACCTTAATCTCACAACTTTTAAACTTAAGCAAAAGATGTATTTTTAAGCCAGTATTATTTTAAAAACAACACTCTCCTATTTAACATTTTACAGGTATCACTCTTTCTCAGTCTACTTTGCTGGATCCTGGAGAATCATGCCTATTGACTATGGGTATCCCACAGGGCTCTCTCTTGTGCACTCCGCTCCCTCTTTTCTACTGGACTTAGTGATCTCATTAGCTCCCATGAATTTAATGATCATTTCAATACAGATGGGCAGCCAGGTGGTGCAGTGGATAGACTGAAGGGCCTGGAGTCAGGAAGACTCATCTTCCTCAGTTCAAATACTTATTAGCTGTGTGACCCTGGGCAAATCACTTAACCCTGTTTGCCTCAGTTTCCACATGTGTAAAATGAGCTGGAGAAGGAAATGGCAAACCACTCCAGTATCTCTGCCAAGAAAATCCCAAAAAGGGTCACTAAGAGTCAGACATGACTGAAAACAACCGAACAATGACAGTTCAAAACTATCTATCCTTCCCCAACCTCTCTGCTGACCTCTTGTCTCACACCTCAAATTGCCTTTGAGTCATCTTAAACTGGGAGTCCTGTAGACAATTTAAATTCAGTATGTCCAAAACTGAAATTTTTTCCCTCTAAACCCTCTTTCCTTCTAGACGTCCCTATTACTGTGGAAGACAATACCATCCTCCCAAGTCTCCTAGGCTCAAAACCTAGGTGTCATTCTCAACTCCTCACTATCTCTCACTCCTCACATCCAATCTATTGCTAGGGCCTGTCAACTTTGCAATGTCTCTCAAAAAGTCCCCTTCTCTCCTGATACTGCCTTCACCCTGGTACAGGCCCTCACCACCTGTCACTTGAACTATTACAATAACCTGCTGATGGGTCTGCCTGCCACAAGTCTCTCCCCACTCCAATCCATCCTTTATTCAGTTGCCAAAGTGATTTTCCTGAAGTGTAAGTCCAACCACGTCACCCCTCTACTCAATAAATATCAATGGCTCCCAATCACCTCCAAGTTCAAACACAAAATTCCCTGGCACTCAAATCCATTCATAAATTAACATCCCCCCTCCCCAAGTTTTCTTACACCTTATACCTCCAGCATACTCTGATCTAGTACATTAGTACCCTTGTTGTTTCACAATCAAGATACTCCCATCTCGAGGCTATGGGCATTTCCTCTGGCTGTCTTTCATGCCTGGAGAATTCTTCCTCCACCTACTGGATTCTCTGATTTTTAAGTCCCAACTAAAATCCCATCTTCTACAGGAAGCCTTTCTCAACACCTCTTATTTCTAGTTCCCTCCTTCTGTTAATTATTTCCTATATACCTAGCTTGTTTGTAGATATTTCCTTGTTCTTTCATTACGTTACGAGCTTCTTGAGGATAGGAACTGCTTTTGCCTTCTTTTTGAATCATCAGGGCTTAGAACAATGCTGGTACATAGTAAGTGCTTAATAAATGCTTACTGACTGACTAGGATCCTAGACTTGACAGCTGCACAGCAGATAACAGAATATAATATGTAGTACAGACAGTCTCCAACTTGCAGCCACCAATTCCTTACCTATATCCCAGGACTATATTTTACCATTCACTTATTTCCAAGTGTTTGATGATCAATATTAACAGGTCTTACACAACAGTAAGAAATCAAGTATTTAGCCATATTATTTTGATCACTCTCTTCTAATGCTGATCTTTCCACCAACTGAATAAGCATACTGTGTACAGGTGACAGAAAGCAAACCAGTGGGTTTCCTATGTACTGCTATGATATTTTATATTTTATTCAAGAAATCTCAGAGTCCAATGTTTGTGAAATGTTACCCTAGAGCACATTTCAACTAATAACTGAGACTCAGGCAATGGAATACCTTGCATGTTAATAGTCTACTATTTCAAACACCCTAAGTGTATTAATATTATTTCAATAAGCATGACATTCAAATATACATACCGTATGATAACATTTAGCGCTTCATAATCAACCACCATAGAATGCACATCCACCTTATTAAATACTACTTCTAACATGGTAATTATACTGGGTACCTAGAAAAGATATATATAGAAAAAATCAAGCCTAATTCCAATAAGCATAGCTAGTAGTATATAAAGGTACAAAAAAACCCCTACACCTACCACTTTGCCAACAGTTTCATTGGGAAATGTCTGTTTAGACATTACCCAAAGTGCTCGAGTACGTGTGTTTTTGTCTGTACTCTTTGTAGCAATATCAGTCAACTGTGAAAGTAACTCTTGCATTTCTTTTTCTGGAAAAAAAAAGACATTTAAAATTTGAGTTTTGTTGATTATGGAACATACTTTAAAACCATAAAACTCATTTGATTCATACTATTATCAACACTAAAAAAAAAAGATTTTCATGCTACTTCAGGTCTATTCCATAAACACCAAGTAAAACAATTAAATACACACAAACACATACAGATGACAGCAATGACAGGTTTAGATTTCACAGTTAAAACGATAGTTTTACAACGTGCAATTGTAATAATTTCAAGATACTTTTGGCACTGCAAACTCATAATTTCTAAAGCATGTTAAAAGGTCAAGCATAATATAAATATGTATGTCTTAGGTGATACCTGCTGTAACATGCATGGGAAGAAAATGTTTGTAGTAATAAGAACTACTACTTATATCTTCTTAAAACCAAAGATCCAAAGACAACACAGTATAATACAAAGAGGCAAAAAGACTTTTCTCTTATGAAATTCTGAAAATTCACAGTCACAAATAATTTTATACCTGTTAATCCTGAAGTAATTTGGGGGTTATATAAACAAAACCCCATGGCTTGTAGAGTAGCACTATTCAACTCTGAGTTTTGACTAGAAATGTGAGTCTGAAAAAAGAAACAACCAACATGTCAACTTGAAATTATGATACTGAAATCGAAACAAATTAAGAAAGCATTGTTAAAAGATAAATTATGACTAGACAAAAACTGTTGTCTAAGACATTAAAATCAATTCATAAAATACATCAAAATCAATGAGACAATAACACTGCTACAGTGTTCCCAATCATCGTTCCCAATTTGCAGTTCATATTAGTGTTACGAGATTTGAGCTAGCTCTCACTACCTGACCTTATCATTGCCATTGCAAACTCATATTGTATTAAAATCTATTTTGTAAGAAATTTTTAACAGAAAAGGAGATCTCTGCTAGTGACCTAAACTGAAGAAAGAAATCCACTAAAAGCTGCTCTGAAACCCCACCCACCCATCCCATTATACCTCAGAGGACAGCTCTCCAAAGAACTACATCACAGGATGTTCCATGACAGGACATCCGAATTGTAAGATATGATGGACTAATAATTAAATGGACAGGAGGGTAGGGGTTACTGAGAAAGGGAATATGCCATTATCCGATGTAAGGCATACTTGCCCCCAACGGCTGTTAACTGCCCTTCCCCCACCACTGGTTTTATGTTACCCAAAAAGGACTGCCCTTTATGCACCTAGATTGTGGTGATCTATAGACTAGTTTTTCTCTGGATCCAAGGTGGGGGGTATGACAGATGATTAATTGGACCATTATTTTATTCTAATCAGTATTAATCAGTTTGATATGATTCCATGTGGGTAGTGATTGTAAGTTCTGATAGTTGGTCTCAGAGCGATGAATTGCAGATTGTACGTTCACTTGCTTAATGATAAGAAGCTAACTAGAGGACCTCCACTCTTGTTTTCCTTTGTTATGGTGACCAAAGCCCAGAATAACAGAGGTGACTCAATTACATGGAAAGTACCCCAGTCAATTTTGTTGCCCCTCCATCCCTTGTCATCCCTCTATTGCCCAACACAGGGAGATGACCATGAGCACACAGCCAATAAGTGATCCTGGTTGCCAGCCTGCAGCCCGTCTTAGCCTAGGGATGTGCTCATCAGCTTGGTAGAACTTCCTGAAAGTTCAAGGTAAGTCTGTTAAGGTCTGCTCACTAGCCTGTTTGTCAATCAATGGAATTCTGTACTTTTGTGTAGACCCTCTTAGAGTCCCATGGGCAAGGCTTGATCAACCAATAAGATTCTGTATTTTTGTTGGCTTTATCTGTATAGTCCAGTTATCAAGTTAATATAAAATTAAGGCTCTGGAGGAAAGGGGCATCTCATATTACGAGGAAGATCTGAGGTCCACTTCATCAGTGGGGGCCATGGACCCTTTAATAAAGTGTTACTGGCTCAGAGCTCTGCCTCAGTGGTTTTTTTGTTTGTTTGTTTTTTGCAGATTGGACAATTCTGAAATCACCAGGAAATAAGAAATCTAAGAGAGCAACAGGGAGGAAGTATAAAGAACATTCTTGGAGATAAAAGGACCTGGCTCATAAAATCCTCTCCCACCCAGATACAGGACATTAATCCAAGTTTGAAAGCAAAGGAGAAAAAGCTAGCAGAGCAGAGAGAGGTAAAAAGTGAAGATGCAGAGAAGGGAAAAATAAAAGTATAAGCCATTTACTTAAGAAGCTGAAGCAAATGTACAAGTAAATTAGCTTTAGAGAAGATTAGAGAAATTCCTGATGCTGAAGGAAACAATGAAGAAGTATAAAAGATAAATATAGAAAATTCTCTTCCTCATCCTTTATATCACAACCAGTCACAATTCTTTTGATTCTTCCTTTGACAAGACTCATCATTCCTTCCTTTCCATTCCCATAAACTGGTCTAGGAATTCATCACTGACTACAATAACCACTTAACTGGTGAGCAACCTATTACTCTATAGATGTAAGATGAGATTTCTAAAATTTGACAAAAAATGTTGGAAGATGCCCCTCTACCTACCTCTAAGATGATCAGTCTTTAACATTCAAAACATAAATCTCACTGTCTTGACATACTTAAATTTCTCATTATTACCAGACATAAACTTTCTACTCTTCCTAGGCAAGACTTAGCACTGTCCATTCAAATATCAGCCACTCATTTTCCATTTTATCTTTCTCTACAAGGTCCAGGAGACACACAACATCTGTGCTTGGCCCAATTCAAAGCTCTTCCCATTAGTGTGCCTACCAGGTAGTGTGCCCAAGGAGCTCAATGACAAAAAGTCCCACAAAGTAACTTTTTGTTGAAGCAAAGTAGAGGAAATCAAGTAGATATTAACCAACTGAGGAAAGGCTAAACAACTGTAGTACACATATGTAATAGAATATTACTACATTTTAAGAAATAATAAATACAGAGAAGCATAAAGACTTCTAAGAAATAATACCAACATAAGCAGAAAAAGAAAAATACACAAGTTAAATGGAAATAACCAAAATAATAAAAAATGAATGCTGTAAACTTGTAATGACCAAGTTTGATCCCCAAAACAAAAACAAACAAACAAAAAAAAGAGGCATTCCTCCTTCATTGTAGAGGTTAGGGGGATGGGGAACGGGTGTGGAACATTAACAGCCTATCAAAAATTTCTGATCTATTAATTTTGCGGTACTTTTTCTTTCTTCTTTAAAATTTTTATCATAACAGATGGCTTTCTATGAGGAGTGGGAAATATTAGGTGACGTGTCTATAGGCTGCCCTAAAAACTTCCCCCCTTCCCCCCACAGTGGAGTTCTGTAGGATTACAACCCATTTGTAAAGAGTTACTTTAAAATGTTTTCCAACGTCTCAGTAGGCAGGACAGACACATTCCCTTTATCCAAGGCATTGGAGCAACTGTCACGTGATTGAGAAAAAAAAGGAGCCTGTGCCACCCCCCAAATCCTACATGGGAACAAACCAAGAAAAGGGGGCTTAGTAGCAAACAAACTGAACTCAAGACTTTGAGATCACCAGACTCTCCATTACTGGGAAAGCCCTTTACTGCAACTTCTATATTATGACTCTACTCCTCAAGTAAACTTTTAGTTCCTGGCAAACAAGGAGTAAGTTTTATATTTACATACATACAAAATATAGAATACCAACTACATGGTAGGCCCTCAAATGTCTGGTTCACTTACTGTTCTACTATATGTTGGGAGTTAGAAAGGATAGTAGTCCCTGCTCCCAAGGCGTTTCCTCAAAAGGTAAAACATATTAAGTACTTACTTCAGATACTTACAATATCTACTTGATATTTTATATTGATTGCCTCCTTCTTACCTCCCTCCCTCCCCCATTACAGAGCACTTCAACATTATGCAGGGCCCACCTATTCATATGCAAAGGCATCTAGCATATACAAAAGTAGAAGATAGTGAGCCTTAAATGTCAGTGTTAGTGTAGGCCACAGACCACCACTTTCAGTCTCTGAGAACTCAAATATAAAATGTAAAAACATAAAAAAAAGTTATGTTAAAATAAAGTACTTAAAGTGGTACAACTAAAACTAAATAGTTAGCAAATTCCCTATTTATGTGGATAGAAGTATAGTGAATATTTACCAGGATGCTTTGGTATTTCTCAAGTGCCCCAATATGCAGTCCTCAAAAGTCTGCAGTCAATGTCAAGACCAATCCTATGAGTAAGAGAGATACCCTTGTGCAGTGGAGAGATACTTGATTTGGAGTCAAAAATCTCAGCTCTGCCACTTAACATGGTTTAACTTTAGGCATGTCATTTAATCTTTCTAGGACTCAGTTTCCTCATCTACAAAAAGAGGTTGAACTGACTGTCCTCTAAAGTCTCTTAAATTCTAAATTCAATCCTAATTACAAAGCAAAAATGTTACCTTCTAACTTAACTTGCTCAACAGTATTAATAGTTTCACTTTGAAAATAACTGTGAAAATAAAGGCTCAAAGAATTTGTAAAATATTTTAATGAACTTCATGAGTTACAAACCTTAAATGTTTTGTAAAGGCGAGGAAGCTGTTTCTGGATTTCTACAATGAATTCTTTTCCTTCTTCTCCAGTCAGTCGACTTCAAGAACATGAGGGAAAAAAAATTTAATCACTCTTATACTTAATAAAAATGCTGATTTCTTTCTTAAATAAGGCTTATATTTTCATTCTTAACTCATTCTTGGCCTGAGTATATAGTGCTCACATTAGAAGACATTTAGTGACACTGACACGCCACCAAGATCTAAGACTGTAACCCTGCAAAATTAAATTTCAGAATATGCTTTTCAAACACATGACAAAGTGATAAAAACTTTAAATGCTATATGAAGATGGCACCAGGTTACAAATTAGAATTATTAAAATATAACTACTGGCTAAAAAAAGACATTTAGTAATGTGGTACAACTTCTATAAATCATCTCAAAAAATATTTTAACTAGTTTCGCAATTAAATTTTCAAAAATACTTTGCAACATTCAAAAACAAAGGTACAGTTGCACAAATAATTACAAATATGTGCGAATCTGTTCATCCAGACATAAATTAACCCTCTATAACCTTTAAGGCAAATCTTTTCCTGAAGGGGGAAAAAAAAACTAGATTCTTTTCAACCTCAAGAAATGAGAGAACACACACACACACACACACACACACACACACTCACTCACTCCTTAACAACCTCTCCTTTGACCTCCTCTAGCCTATCCCGATGATGAGCGCACAAGCTGGACCTTAGGAAGCTGACTTATGGACTGATTGAAGCTTCCCTTCTCTTCCCTTCCTGTCTATGCACTCTCCCCTACCTGCTCCATATCCAACCAAGACTTCGAGGAAATGGGCAGGAGGGGTATGAGGAATGAAAGTAGATATTGGCGCTTACATGGTTGCAGAACTGGGAGACAGAGCAGGAAGAAAGCAGGTAAACTGAGACTTACCTGGCCAAGGTCAGGTAGGCATCCACCTGCTCCCCCACAGAGGCGGCGGGATCCTCCAGCGTTTCCAGCAATGGGGTCAGAGGGCTACAGCCCTGGGCAGTCATGATGGCTACACTTTAGCAAGGGAGAGAGAGACCTTGACTATGAGACTCCCCCCCCCCACTGAATACCGACACCCTTCCTCCACCAGCGCCCCTGAAATGCGCACAACCGACCCCCACCCGCAGGACCCACACCCCGCCACGCGCGCGGACCAACACGCGCGCGCATGCACACCCACCACAGACACACACACACACACACACACGTGTGTGAGCCCGCCCGGACCTTCCCCGCCCCCTCCTTTCTACTCACGCTCCCTCAGGCCGCGTTCCCGCGTCCCCGCGTCCCGAACTCAGGCCGTGGGAGGTCAAGCGCAGCGGCCCCGCAGCCGAACGCCCTCCCGCACACGCGCCTGTCCCGACGCTGCCGCCGCCACTCCCGCCGCCAGCTGCGTCCGGCGCCGACGACGTGAGAATTTCCCGGGCTCTTTTCAACAGGGGGAGGCGCCCGGAGCGGGCATGGGGAGGGAGGAGGGACCAGTGGGAGGGCGCGAGGCACCGAGCGCGTCCTGACGATCGCCTTTCCCAGGTCCGGGCCAAGCGTGCGTCCCCCGCCCGCGGGAGCCCCGTCCTCCAGCGCGCCCCGCGTGGTCCCCGGGCTCGGCGGGAGCTCCGGCTCCGGCAGTGGGGGCGCCCGCCCTCTACTCCCTCGAGCGCGCCGGTCGCTGGTTCCGGCCCAGCCTAAAATGGCGGCGGGGGGAGGAAGTGGGGGGGGCAGGAGGGTTCTGGAGGTGGGGAAGGCTCAGAGTGCGCGGGAGCCGAGCTCCTGCGAGAGGAAAGTCTGGGAAAGCGATGTCCGAGCCAATCGAGGCCCGTAGCCTAAGGAGCAGTGAAGTCATCGATCGCTCCTCGCCAGCCCCGCCCCCACTCCATCCCCTTGGGTTTATGGATGCCCTGCGTGTTCATCTTTTGCCTGTAAGGCGCCGTTTCATAATTTTTTTTTTGCTTTTTAAAAATTGCCTTGGTGGAATGATTGAAGTTGGGTTATACCATAGGTGTAATACAGACCAACAGGTTGTTTGTTATTTTTTCTTTTCTAATTCATTCATTCTTAGAACTAAAATAGCATAGTCTGACTCCCGCGCTGGAAACTCGAGGCCCAGAGAGGGCAAGTGACTTTACCTTCTACTATACTTTAGTGAATGACAACTATGTGAAATGCACCTGTGAGTCTTTTTTCTCCTTCCTGTCCTTTTCTTTCCTCTTTTCTCCTTCCTATCTTCTCTTCTTCCTGTTTTATTTCCTTCCTTCCTTCCTTCCTTCCTTCCTTCCTTCCTTCCTTCCTTCCTTCCTTCCTTGCTTCCTTCCTTCCTTCCCTCTCTTCTTCCCTCCTTCCTTCCCTCCCTTCTGTTGGGAAGTATCATCCACCCAAGCACATCTGCACCTGCTCCGTAACTTCTAGAATTGGAGGATGGCCTTCAGTATTGACAAATTAGGCTACTAACCAAAAATCACCCTCTCTCCACTACACCGACCTCCCTTTAAAGCAATGGTTTTTAACTTTTTTTATGTCATGGATCCTTTTGACTGTATGGTGAGGTCTATGGACTCCTTTCCAGAATACATAAAATAAGATAGAATTACAGAAGAAAGCAATTACATGGAAATAGTTACCAAAATATTTCTTAAATCAATCAGTAAACATTTATCAACCATCTAAGATCTGGGGATACAAAAAGAGGCAAAAGACAGTCCCTGTAGTGAAGGAACTGACAAAAGTTTTTTAAAGCATTCATTTTGTTAAAATCACTATGTTTACAAGTGGCCTACAAATGGAGATTGTTTTCTTTAGAAAGTGTAGTATTTAAATACTTTAAACCTTATTCATGATATTGGCAAATTCTGAAAATATAACATAAACGTTATTTCTTCTAGCACTTGGATTTTCCAAAGCATTTTATTCATTCAACATAACATTACAGACAGCCGGGTTTGCTATGTAGGCTCTTGGTTATTGAGCCATGCCAGGACAAGCTGCCCAATGTAGTAGAAAAAAATATAGCATAGAGAGTCGGAAGACCTTAACTAGCTATAAAAGCAAATTTCTTCACTTTGGTAAGCCTATTTTCTCATCTATAAAATGCAGCTTAAATGCTAAATGCTGTAGAAGACTTTTCCAGGTTACCTCAGTTGCTACTACCTTCTGTCCCTCCAAAGTTACATTGTATCTACCTTGATCACATCTTGTATATACCTATACTGTAAATGTACTTCTTGTCTCCCATTAGAATGTAAGGCAACTCCTTAAGGGTAGGGATCTTCTACTCCATCCTACTCCATCTACTCCACCCTAAATGTAGCACAGTGTTTGAAAAAGAGTGCTTAATAAATGAATAGTGATTGCAGTCCAAGCACTAATATTATATGATTAAAACCTATTTAGGCCACCCGAATTCCTAAAAAGAAAAATATGAAACTCTGTTTTTGTTTACCTTCCACAACACGTTGAAACTGAACAAGAACCAACCATTTCAAATGGACATCTTGTAGTAGCTTAACAAGAGGAGGAACAGGGCTACGAAAACATGTAGAGAGAATTTGTTGTACTGAAAAGAATGAAAGTTGGAGTCAGGGCTAATTTCTCATTCCTACTTTGCCACTAACTGTGACATTGAACAAGTCATTTTTGCCTCTCAGGACTTGTGCAAAATAGGAGGGAAAGGGCAGTGTTTAAAGGGAATGGGGAAAGTTGGTTGTGATCGCTGGAACTCTGTAGCAGTACCAGAAATGAGCAATACTACACTGAAACATAAAAGTATAAATATTGTGTATATTTGGAGTTTTTAAAAAGGGAGTTGCACAAAAAAGTTGGTTGAAGAATCAGCTAGGCGTTTGAGTGCAATGGATAAAGCACTGGGCCCCGAGTTCAAATTTAGCCTGAGATATATGTTAGCTGTGTGACTCTGGGCAAGTCACTTAAACCCTACTTTGCCTCAATCTCTAATCTGTAAAATGGGGATGTACGTTAGAAAGAAATGCCAAACCACTCCAGTATCTTTGCCAACAAAACACCATGGACTCCATGGGATCGTATAGTCAGACATGACTGAACAACAATAAAAACATGAAAGTTGTATAGATTTGGAATCTTTTTTTTTTTGAGGCAATTGGAGTTAAGTGACTTGCCCAGAGTCACACAGCTAGGAAGTATTATGTGTCTGAGGCCAGAGTTGAGCTCAGGTACTTCTGACTCCAGGGCTGGTGCTCTATCCACTGTGCCATCTTGCTGCCCTTACATTTGGAATTTTTAAGAAGAAGGTTGTACTTAGGAAATAAGTTGCTTAAAGAAAGCTTTTTAAAGGCACTTAGATTTCAGAAAGATATTAAATGATCATTTGACAATATTATGGATTCACCCTGAGTTTTGTTTATGTGCCAACTGACCTGAAAAGATCTCATTTTAAAGTAAATGGTATTTTGTTGAAAACATGTATGGATAATTGAAGGGATTCTTTTGGTGAACCATAAGATATGAACTTCCTCAATCTTCCATACTTTTTGCTTCAAAACTTCCATATCATTTTACTCATTCTTATATCTTCCCTAGCCTAAAAAAAATTCTAAAACTTTTTTCCCCAGGTCACTGAAATTTAAATGACACAAATTTAACAGAACTTAACATCTAGTTAACAAGAATAGTTAAAATAGACAGCCATCTGTGAGCTAGTATAGTAATTGATAGTAACTCCCCTTCTTATTTAACAAAATTATCCTTTTTTTCTCTCCACGTTTTATTTTTATATCATGAATTGCAAAGCTGTTTTTTTGTACTGCTAGACTCAAAATTTTTCTGCTACCCATCACCCTACTCTGTGTTAATTACCATCCCATAACTCTTCTTCCTGTCACCACAGAATTTCTGAAAAGATTAGCTCACAATAGGAATTTGAAATTATTTACAAAAAAAGTTTATACCCTTTGTGAGACTGCCCCTTTTATAGCAAAATATTCGTAGAACTACTGTGTGGTAGGGGGAAAAATTGATAACAGTAGTCATCTGCAAATTGGGAATGGCTGAACAATCCTGCCAAAGGAATTTAATAGGATATTTTTGAATTATTAAAAAACAACAAATATGAAGAATTTAGAGAAATAGTGAAATATTTATATGAACTAATACAGAATGAAGTATAACTAGGAGAACAATGCAACCAATTAAGTAATCAGGACTAATCTGTGAGCAAAGAGAACAGAAGATGAAATGCACCTCTCCCTTTTCATTAAATGGGGTAGAAGATGGTGCCATAGAAGGTTGCATATATTTTCAGACATTGTCCCTGTACGTTGGTTTTGCTTAACTATATTAATTGATGAGACAAAGTAAAATAAGCAGAACCAGGAAAACTAATATTCGCTGTTGAAAAAAAATTAAAACTTATACATTAATGTACTCTGTGATTGAGGCTCAATTCTGCCAGAATACTTTTATTTAATTTTACATCCAGGTCATTTCTATCTTGAAGAGAGATGTCCAAACTGGCATGGTCACTCCTCTCTCCCCCCACAATACTGTTTGTTCCAAGAAGATTTTAGGTAACATTTATAACAATCTTGAACAAAGAAAAAGATGTGAAGGTACAGTTTGGGATTAACTTTCCAGAATAGACATTACTCAGTTCCTTCTTAGACTGTTTCCCCTTAGAAGTTTCTTCCTGTGATCAGTAGCTTTCTCTTGAATTTCAAAAGAGATGATGCTGTCCCCAGGTGGGGCCTGGCACCAAGCATTTCAGATGAGTGGGAAGACAATAATCAAGCTCTATATGGGAGTTAAGTTTAGTTATCACCTTTACTCCATTTTTGAGGAAGGTTCTTTGTTCTTCCCTTTTACCCAAGGGAAAAGCCTGGAAAGGATTTTAGACTATTTCTTAATATTTCTAGAGAAACCAAGAAGTTTAAAAAAAATATATATTTCTATAGCGCAGTGACTACAAAACTCTAAAGGGTAAGAATAACAGCAACAATGAAGCAACAAAACCTGTGCAGTTGTGATGAAGCCCTTGGAAGGTGCCATTTAGCAGAGTTTTGAAGGAAGCCTCAAAGGCAAAGAAACTGGCATTTATTATCACTTTAAGATCTGCAAAATATGTCACAAATATTGTCTTATTTGATTGTCACAATAACCCTACAAAATACTATTTTCCTCATTTTATCAATGAAGCAATTTAGGGTCAGAGGTTAAGTGATTACAGCTAGTAAAGGTCTGATTCAGGATTTGAATTTGAGTATTTCTGACTTTTAAGGTCACTTCTTTATTCACTGCGCCACCTAGCTGCCGTCAGATGAGACGGCGAAGCATTCCAGGCTCCTGGGGGACAGCCAGTGAAAAGGCAGGGAGATGTTAGGTGGGGAGCCCTCTGTGAGAATGGACAAAGAATCCAGAATTAGAGCTCAGGAAGGAGACTTGGGGTAGATGTATAGATTTGGGAATCATTTGCATAGAGATGGTAATTAAACCTATGGGATCTGGTGAGGTGAGTAAGTGAAAGAATGTTGAGAAAGGTACTTTACAATGACTTGGGTGTACATTCACAGTTAGGGGACATGATATGGATGAGGAAACAGGGAAGAACACTGGGTTAGAGTTTTCCTCATGTTCCTTAACTATGAAATGGGGATAATAGTAGCACCTACCTCTTAGGGTTGTTGTAAGGATAAAGAGTTAACATTTGTAAAGTGGTATGTAAATGTTAGCTATCTTATTACAAAAGACTATCAAGGCCATGCAGAAATAGAAAAGGAGCTATTCTGAGATACAGGGACTAAAAGATAACAATCAGAACCGTGCATTTGTAGCCCTGAGATATTAAAAAAACCCAACGGACAGCCTCTAGTGAAAAATATGTATCTTAGAAGCTGTGGCTAATAAGAACTGAACGGAATGAACATGTATAGAGGGATTGCAGTCTATACTGGTGGAAGGGTTTGTAATCACACACTTATAAGATCACAAATCCATTTACAAATATGAATGTATTCAGGGCCTTCTTAATAAAACAGGTATTTTCATTTTCAGTAAGTCCAAATGTCTCTATACTTCAATGTTTAAAAATATATTTTATTGATGCACTAGCTTTATATTTGTCAGTTCTGGGAGGAAAATCTCCCATCATTCCATATTGACCTTTCCCTTGTATACAACTTCTATCCTAGCCACTTCTCTTCTTTGACAGAAGTATGTTCCACTTAGATTTTTTCTTTTTTTGAAAAAAAATTTTTTTAGATTCTGAACTTCACAGACAAAAAAATTGAGCATTGCCATCTGTAAAGTAAAACAGAAAAAAACAGTCTACAATACAAGTAAAACCAGTACTCTGTATAACACACAGCTGCTTTTCAAAAAATATATAATAAATTCAACATGTTTCTTTCAAAGCTGTCCTGCTTGTCTGTTCTGTCTTCTGAATCTCTTTCCGTTTTCTTCTGTTTGTAAAATGTTTCAATGACAGCATTTTCTTCCTTCTTTTAGTAACGCTATCTCTCCTCTGCGACCTCATACCTTCTGCCCCAAACCACCCCTTCCATGGAAAAGAAAAATACAATACTTATAACAAGTAAGCTTAATCAAGCAAAATAAATCCAAACATTTGTGATGTCCAAAAATGTATGTTGAATTATTCATCTTATGTCACAGTCCTTCTCCCCTCTGTCATGACACAGGGAGATGGATAGTAGGTGTGCTTCCTTGTCTGTTCTCTAAAGTTTTCAAGTCAAGGACTCCTAACCTGAGATCTGTGAGTTTATTTTTTAAAATATTTTATAAAAGTATTTTATGATTCAATAAATTTTATTTTAAGATAGTTGGTTTCCTTTGTAATCCTATGTATTTTATTTTATGCATTTAAAAACATTATTCTTGGAATGAGTCTATAGGCTTCACCAGACTAACAAAGGAGTTTACTACACAAAAAGTTAAGAACATGTCTTAAGTTTTTCAATATATGATACTTAGATTTTAAAAACCATTCCTATATCATGTACACAACGGAAGATAGAAGAGACAACTCCAAGAATCTAGTTTCTGTATTAAATGAAATAGGTTAATCATTGTCTTCTATTAAAAAAAATTTTAATTTAAAAATACTGTCTTTTATTTCTCAAGAGGTTAAAACTAAGTATTAGTGAGAGTGTGATGTATAGTTGTTTGATGGGTTGTCTGAAATTATTATTTGACATATGCCAGCAGGTAGTAGTATTTTTTGTTAGCTCGTAATTCTAACTTTCCCCTCTTTAATTTCATGACCAGTTAATTATATATTTCATTAGCTTTTTTTTTTAAGACAAGGGCACTCAACTTTAAATAAGTCTTGATTTGTGGTTTGAAAATATTATTGATTAAAATGAATGAAGTTTTATGAAGGGAGAATAAGAAATTTCATTTCAAACTCCAAACATGAGTAATACTCATTTGATACAGCAGGGGTCAGAATTTCAAAAAACAATGAAATTAGTCAACAGGAAGAGTACATAATTTTTTTTTTAATGAAGACATCTTGATTCAATTAAATTTAGTTACATAAAACCACTTTCCAACTGGTGTTATGAGATTCACTGTGAAGTTATTTAAAATTAATTTTCCACCAAATAAAACAAACAAGAAAACTGCCGTTTCACTTTAAATTTTAACAAATAGTATCAGAAACATTGCTGCCTTTTTATTTTTAAGAGAGGACCTGAAGGAGTTTATGGGATTTCTTTCCTCTGGTGATTTTTTATTGGCTGGCACTCATTCAGACAGTTTTACAGTAACAAAACATCTGCAAACATGTATTTTAGAAATTTTAAAAAATAATGGGGAAAGGAACTAACCTCTACAACATAGGCACAAGAAAACTTTTTTATTAACATGAAACAATTGTAAAATATGTTACCAAGAAGTCACTTGAGATTAGTCAAAAAGCTTCCTTTTGCAAAAATCTAAAGTTCAAGTTAAGTAGAATTAATAGACCTGAAAAATAACAAAACCGGAAGATAAGATGTTTGAATTGAATGAAAATTTAAGGTTTCTTATTCCAGTAGGGGGACCTTACAATTTAGTGTAGTGTAATGAGGACCTAACCCATGGAACCTCCCCAGTATCCTTAGAATATGAAGAGCTAGCTAAGTATTCTTGAAGCTGGAAGCCAGGAGCAAATCTTGAAGTTCAAGACCTGAAGCCTGACCATTCCCAAAGGGGACTGGCCCTGAAAAGTCACAAAGGGGACCCCTCCTGAAGAGTCCCAAAAGGAAAAGTGGCCCTGAAAAGTCTTGAAAGTGGAGTAGCCTTTGAAGATTCCCAAAGAAGACGAGTTCAAGGCTGGAGCTATCTGGCTGTCACCAACTCCTCCCTGCCCCTCACAGGGAGCAGAGCCTTTATCTTCACCAGTAAGGAAAGAGTCCTGTACAATGGGCTTTGTGACAGCATTACATATAAAGATATTAACAAATGTTTATAGCTTTCAAAACCATCTCAGATTGTATATTTGAAAAATCAGCAAACAGAAATAGGGCACAAGGATTCATAAGACGGAATAAGAAAAGATGGTCAGATTGTCCTCTCCAAAAAAAAATTTTTTTTGACAGTATTATTATTCCAGGTATCCACTCTGAGGAATCAAAGTACACATTGAGTAGATTTCAGTGGAATGGAAAAAGGTAACTCACATGTATTAAGAAGTACTAACTACAAGTCACTAAAGATATGACACAAATCTTGCTCTTAAGGACCTTACAATCTAATGAAAAAGGGCTGGTGGTGGATGAGTAATGTACACAAATGACAGTGATCTTAAAGAGAGGGAGATAAATGCAAAAGAGAGGTCCAGGCAGAGTGCCAATGGAGGAGAAGTGAGGGCTGTTGTCCAAGAGAGCTTCAGGAAAGAAGTGGTACCTGAGTTCGGATTTGAATGGAGCCAGTTAATAGATTTGTCAGTGACTTATCAACTATTAAAAAATAAAAAAAAACCACTGTAAATCTGATATTAAGTGTACGTATCCTTGTGCTAAATTAATCACATAATTGCACAACATAACTATTGACATACCACATATTAAACAATTTCAGTTCAATGAAAATTCAATTCTAAAAATAATTTATTAAGCATCTATTATGTGCCAGGCACTGAGAATACAAATATAAAAATGGGAGTCTTGGCCCTTAAGGCAATTACGTTCTTTTAGGGGGGAAGAACATGTACACAGATAAATACATACAATATATATACAAAAATAAATACAAAGTGATGGGGTTAGGCAGTAACAACTGAAGGAATCACAAAAGACTTGAAGACAGCGGCACATAAACTGAGCCTTGAAGGGAAGTGTGAGTTCCAAGAAGTGAGGAGGGAGCACGTCTCATAATTAAATGCTTATGGTACTTACTATGCTAAGCACACAGGCTTTAAATGAATATTTATTGACAGTAGTATTCCTTAGGGTTAGAGTACCAGAAAAAGTGTTACAAATGTGATTAAAAAGTTATAATTTTTCTGTAACTTAAAAAAAAATAATGATCTTGATGACCAGCTATCTAAAGCTAATCTTGTTAACTTATTACTCTCAAGGTCTATAAACACTCTATTGAAGATTTCTTTTCCCTTTCCTCTATTCTCCTCCCTTGTGTCCCACATTTGTAATGATAGGGACTTTGGTCAATTTTACTGGATAAATGGGAAGGAATAGAAAAAGGAGGAAAGTAGAAATTATTGCTTTAATGATATCACTGATCAAATTTGGAATTGAACCTATCCTAAAAAGGCAACATTGTTTATAAAGATATACACAAATCCACAGTATATGCAAAGTTTATGGAAATATACACTCATATATCTGGATGTAGCTGATAGGAAAATCCTAGTTGGTGTATATCTACTACTAATGATACTTTACTTTTCTGAATTCCTTTTTATTTTTTAAAATATATTCATACTTTATATATATATATGAATAAGCATATTCATATGCATTATCTCATTTGATAATTAAACTTCTTTGACATTGATTAAGATTCCTAAGACTCCAAGGTATGGAAACTTTGAAGTTGTAAAATCACATTGTTGCAATTGAAAAAAAAGAGAAAGCTGTAAATCAGAATCTAAGGGAGTGGATCCAAAGTGAATGTGAAAATTACAAATGTTGGGTCTAAGTAACACAATACTAATCATAATAGGTCACATTTATATGTGGAAGAGAGGGGAAGAAAAACAGGAAGAAAATTGATAGGTAAATTAATAGTAACGGTCACTCAGGAGATTTCTTGATTTCCTTGGGTTCAGAAAGATAAAGTTACTTTCTCTTTAATGCTTCTCACTTTTATTTTTTAAGTTGGATTTTTATCTTCATCCACTAAATTCGATGTTCACCAAAGTAGTGCAAAGATTAGCATTAACAAGGCTTTTGGCCCCTGTTCCTCTGGATGACAGCAGTGACTTTAAAAGTGAGATACAAAGAGAGTTGGAAAAAGAATGCAAACACCAAATACTGTCATTTTTGATGATGCTGTGTTGGTTTACAAATGGCTGAATCTTCCAGGTAAAAAGTGTTTATTTCCATGAGAACTTGTGCTAGCATTTTTTCCTTCGCCAGTTTTGGATGTGGGATCCACTGTAACATACTTGAGTTGAAAACCTCCTGCTGTCACTGAAGCATCAGATAAAAACTTCAAGGTCATGACATTTCCTATGGAAAGAAATCACAAAGATTACTTCCTCATCTGTTAAAAATTCCTCAGCTTCAACATTTATTTGAGAACATCAATATTAATAAATGAGGTTTAAACTATCATACTAGTGCAGTTTTCTTAATTTGTAAAGGCTGTCTACTGTACTAAGGGAAAAAGGGAAGTTCTCTCCAGTGAAATCTTATTCTACTGTAAGTCCTACTTGTGTGTGGCTTTTGTCCTACTGAGTTAAAACAAACAGGATTTAACTCTGGAAGTAGCATTCCAAGGACCAGGGCACAACTTGGCTTGAGCAATCATTCTTCCAATCAGTGCTTAGGTCGCTGCTGTGTATAGGAAAGGTCAATAAATGCAGGGTGTCCCAAGAGTCTTAGTGTAATTTCCAGTTTTAGTTGTTTAGGTCTTCTTGACATGGGTGAATCAGCAGATTCTAAAGTCCTCGAGATTTAAGGACAGGGTTTTGTTTTGTTTTGTTATTAATCTTTGCATTCCCAGCACCTGGCATGGTGCTTGCACATGGTAGACACAACTTTGTTTAACTGAAGCCTCTAAATTGTAGACAATTCCTATAACTGTCATAGAATGTTGGAGTTGGAAGGGACTTTAGAGACTAACTAATATTTAAATAAGAATTCCCTCTATAATTTAGGTCACTGGATAGAATGCAGGGCCTGGAGTCAGGAAGTCCTATCTTCCTGAGTTCAAATCTGGCCTCAGACAGTTACTAGCTGTGTGACCCTGGTCAAGTCGCTTAACCCTATTTGCCTCAATTTGCCTCATTTATTGGCCTAAAATGAGCTGGAGAAAGAAGGGCCAAAACATTCCAGTATCTTTGCCAAGAAAACCCCAAATGGGGTCATGAAGAGTTGGAAACCACTGAATAACAACAACTATAATTTCTCAGACAAGTTTTCAAGACCATACTTAAAGAGAACAGCTCTACTTGTAAGTTTATTTGTTTGTTTGTTTTCCTTAGACCAAGTTGAAGTCTCCCTTGCAGGGCCTTCCATGCATTTGTTCCAAGTATTGCCCCTGGGTCCAAGCAAGAATAAATCTAATTCCTCTTTAATAAGATAACCTTTCATACACCTAAAGGCAACTATTAGAGTCTCCCCCAAGTCTTCTTTTGTCTTTGCTACCTACTTCCTGGTTCCTTCAAATGATTCTCATATGGCATGCTTTTTACTCTCCTCAGTCATCTATACCAATATGATTAGCGATATCATTTTAACTTATGAACTACTCTTAGGGAAGCTGATCACATCTTCACTATAACTGATTCATATGCCATAGTACCTTGAACACATACTATGATACTTCAAGGATCTCTGTGAGTAGTCCCTCCTTCAATGCTGACTGCAAGCCTTTTATAACTCAGTAAATGGTCATTAAGAGATGATGTGGTAATGGGCTTTTCTAGTCTTAGTTAGGCTGGTCCTATCTTCTCAATTGAACTGGACCTGTAGGAGCCTGTGCCCTGTTGCTCCACTTGCATAGCCTTTGGGGACTGAGGATCACCTTCATATCCAGCTTTGTATAAGTAGATGCCAAATAAACAGTTCATTTCTTTTCTAAATTCAGAACTACTGGAAAAACAAAACAAAACAAAACAAAAAATTCAATCCCAGTCCATTTCCTGGCACACTCTAGAGAGTCAAGAAGGGTTGGGGGAAGTGTCCAAAAATTGAGGAGTTGGTTCTAAGGTAGATTTGGCAATAACTGCTAGGGTAGGAATCTTTCACCGTCTCAACTCCAATCAAAGAACCATGTCCTAAAACTGTGATATTTACTACACTAAGATGAAGCAAATGTAATAGGGATTTGGGGAATGTCCAGACCACCTAAAAAGGCATTTCCTATGTGGAAGACACTAGGGAACTGCTTTAAAGCGTCAACTGGCAATCACCAAGCGGAACTGGAGGCTTGGAGCATGCCTGGACATTCTGTGGTAGCCTGCCTTGTGGTTGGGAGTAGACTTTTTACATTGGCTGTGTAGATGGAGTTGTTGGTCTTTAAAATCCGTATTACTCAGCAGATGTGGAGGCTTTTGCTACATTGGTGTCTGACAGTGAAAGGTCTTACTCATAGTAAGAGCGAGAGGTAAAGGGGAAGGATTTTTCTACTTCCCTCCCTCTACCCCCCTATTAGGGCATGTAGCCCAGAAAAATGGGCCTAGTTTTTTGGCTTTTTGTTTGTTCTTTTCAGTTCTAGGTGCTAGATATATAATCTCCAATTTGGCCCAGAAGTGTGAGCCATGGGAATCCAGGAATCCAGGTTGGGTGTTACAGCCAGCTCAGAAGAAACACGCTAAGGAACAAGGGTCCTGGACTCCAGCTCAGCAAAAGCCTGCACTGATGCTGGCCTTGAATGTGTGTGTGTGTGTGTGTGTGTGTGTGTGTGTGTGTGTGTGTGTGTGTGTGTGTGTACTTTGAATGTGAACTTAGTGCTGTTTAGGAACTGAGCTAAGCTAAGCCCACTCTTGCCCCCCTTACTATCCTATTCCCCAAGATAGTGAAGGTGGCCTAAGGGAGATTATGCCACTGATGTGATGGGTGAAATGTTAGTATTTTTGTTCTTGCTATATTTGTGAAGTAAATATTCCTTTGTAAAAGCTAATCCTAAATTTAGGAGTTTAAATAGCACTAGGGTGCTAGTCATTGGGCCCCTAAGCATAGGGGAGCGAAGCAACAGCTTATAGGAACTTGAGCTAATGTTAGGAAAGACAATTCCAATCAGCTTAGTGCCAGAGAACACTGAGAGAGGAAAATGCCGCAAGTCAAGTCCCAAGACAGTGGGATCATGGCAACTATGTTACAGGTAAGGCTTCCTCTGGATTTAAATTGGGCCTTTCCCATTTGCAAGAACCCTGGAGACATTTTCTACCTGAAACTTTAAACATCTTTAAAACATAAAGATGTGAATGTTCATGTTACATAGGCCAACACAATTTGTATTTGGAGGCAAAGAATGAAACATTATGTATTTTTCATCTCTCAAGTTTCGTCTCCTGCTATCTTTTTCAATCTGGAAGTCTCATTTTGTTTTCTATAAAATTATTCCCCCACTTGTTTATTCATGTTAATATTTTGTTCCTCTTTGCAGCTAAATTTTATTTTTTTCTGTTTTTTATCATCATGAAAATAAAATATTCTTCAGCCTTTGTATTTTCTTTTGACTTTGCATTTAGCCTCTCAGTGACCCTGTTTTTGAATTTATAATCAGAGTAGGCCATGAAACTGTGAATATAGTAGGCTGCATTTTTTTTTGTTTTTATTTACATAACGCTCACACCATTCTTTAAGCCTTCTAGAACTGATGCTTAGAAGCTTTTTCTACTTTTCCTCTTCCCATCTCCCCAATCTAAACATGCTTTCAAAAGAACCTACTAAAACAACAACAACAACAAAAAAGAACCTACTAACCTTATTCCTAAAAAACAGAGTATAAATGACTGAGAAAGTTTAAGCATTATGTTTCCCAAAGAGATTTGCAGCAGACAAATCAAGTATAGAATTGCAAGCTTTGTTAGTTTGGTTGGGGGGGGTATTTTTTGGTCTACAGGGCTCTTTAAGGACCTATTTATCTTGTAGTAACAACGAGGCTCCAACTATATCTCTTTGTGACCAATTTACCACCCAGGGCCTCAGTTTCTGTGTCTATAAAATGGTCCTTGCTCATACGAAATCTTATAATGCTGAGAATGAAAAGAAATAAGAGATATATAAAAACTCTGAGAAATTGAAAGTGCCATATAAATGCAAGGTATTAGAGCAATAAGGGAAATTCATTTTCATGACAACCTAATTCATGTTGAACCTAGTTCATCTTCTGAAAGGCAGCAGTGTTAAGAGTATCACACTGTGGGGGAAAATTTGGGTTCAAGTCATAATCACATATTGCATAGAAAGTGATATCCTGGGGGCAGCTAGGTGGCGCAGTGGATAGAGCACTGGCCCTGGAGTGAGGAGGACCTGAGTTCAAATGTGACCTCAGACACATGACACTTACTAACTGTTTGCCCCAGGGCAAGTCACTTAACCCTGATTGCCTCACCAAAAAAAAAAAAAGTGGTCTCCTCATAACAATCCTATAAGATTGGCGCACAAATAAAATTATATTAACACCCATTTTGCAGATGAAGACATCTAGTCTCCAAAGGTATGACTTGTCCAAAGGGATATGACAATATGAAACAAAACCAATACTAGAACCTAGGCTTTCAAATTTTAGGTCCAAATCTTTTACCATTATTTTCTGCTCCTTGTAAACCTGTCACTGTCACTTCATTTTACCTGGATCTCAGTGTCTTCATTTGTAAGATAAGGAGGTTGAACTAGAATATTGTTAAGAGTCCTTCTGGTTCTAAAATTCTGTGATTCATTAATTTCTTCTGAGAAATTGTGTCTCATTCTCAGTGACCCAAACTGGACCCAGAGAGGTACATTTAGTTCATTCACAAATATATTTTTGTCCCAATAATTTGCAATTACCTGTACTAATGATATCTTCTGGTAGCTCATCTCCACAGTATCTGGAAGGAAAAAAAGAAAATAAGTCATTCACAGATTATTATGTAGTCCTTTTTATTACTAGTAAAAATTCCTGTTTTTCCCTTAAGCAATGACTCTTTTTTTTCAATTGAAGTAATTTTTTTCAGGGTATACCTTCAAAAGATTGAGTAATTAGGCTTAAAAGTGAGAGGAGGGACAAGAAATGAGAGTGTGGCATTTCAGTGAACTGTCTGTCAAAATGAAGGACACAAGCAAAAGAAAGGCATTTCTTAATTTGTGTTTTTGTAATTGTTTATGTAGTAGTCATTTAAAATTCTTTGGAAAATGCAAATGCATGGCTCTTATTTATTCCATACCATAAGCTGCCTTTGTAATTACTGGTGTCAGTTAAAGAAAAGTGATGATATCATTCCCCTTTCTAAAGATATTTTTGCCAACTACAACTATGGGAGATTTTTGAATGGAAAAAGTGTCAAAGGCCCCACTCAAAGATTTCCCTATCAAAAGATGAAAAGAACTACTTGGAACCATATAAAAAGCAGGAATTATGTAAGTTTCTAGGAAATTAATTAATTTAGACAAGACATATTACATAATATAATTTAAGTAACAGAATAGGCTTTTGAAAATTACCACCTGAATAGTATCTTAGATGTTTTTAGTAGATATTTGAAACTGGTTTAAAGGGACAAAAAGGGCTTTTTTGTGATCTTGAGAATAAGGGACTTTGTTTTTTTTAAAATCCCATCCCTCTTGGATATACTTCTCCTTCATGTCTTCTTAAAAATTATTCCAAAAACCAATTTTCCTACCCAATAATAGTTTTCCACCAGTTTTTAAAAATACCCTTTTGTCACTACCCTAAAACTACAGTTCCCCTCATTTCTTCTTCTTGAGTAGACATTCTGTTTTAAAGGAATTTTGGATTATTTGACATTGGATTATCCATACTGTAATTTCTCTCCATTCCTATGGGAAATTAGCATGGAGATTTTGAAATTTGCCATACTTTAAAGAAGGTAGGTATGGAGAAAGATTAATGTACCACGAATGTGAACTTTTATAACATTTGGTGAATATGAACCCTATAGCATCAGAACAACAGATTTTTATTACTGTGTTCTTTTGAGAAACAAAGGAGAAAGAATTGCTACACATAAAGACACCTTTAAAGAGAGAAAGGAAACTTTTTTTTTTAATAATGGGGCAACCTTAATTACTGAGGTGAGTTTTAGTGATTTTTTAGAATTATTTAAACAAGATGGACAGGAGGGGAGATGGTGACATTGAAACTATAATGGATTTCCCATAACACATTTTCCTCAACTTTAAATCCATTGCTAGGTAAACACTTGAATTTTTTTTTAAATTGACTATAAAACTAATTCTTAATAACAAAGAACAACTACAAAATGAGGCTACCAATTATTATATACTATAGCAGCAAGCCAAGATTTTTCATTCCAAAGGATCCTTCTTTGTCAAAACAGGATGTTGAGTCAAGGAATATTTCAGCAAATGGATATAGGAAACTAATGCTGCAGAAATGCAGAGCCAAAAAATGACAAGCTGTTACTTCTCAATTTAACTAGACGTATGAAAGTCATTTTTACCTTCCCACAAAGCCATGAATATCATCATAGCTGTCATATATTTCTAAGTAGTCAGCAAGGCAAGCTATGTCATCTTCAAGATTGAAGTTCAGAAAACTCAGATGAATACGTTGATCATACTTTAGTCGAATATGCCAGTAGCAGATTTGGTTATCTTCATATTCCCTTGGGTATCCTGGAGATTTAATGATTCGTTTTGGGTCTGTGAAGACCCCTCCACACTCTTTTGCTGAAAAGGAAAATAAGTGCTATTAGGTAATAAAACATCACCTTGTGTCCTGAATGAAATTTGCTTCTTAGTTCCCCTACATTTATGGGTTTTTTTACCCCACAGAATCTAAGTTGCAAGGGACCTCAAGGACATCTAGTGCAATGCATCCCTTAATAAGAATTCCCTTTGCATCATATATGAAAAGGTTATTCAGCCTTTGCTTAAAGAATTTATATGAAGAGATACCCATAACCTCTTAAGGCAATCCATTCCAATGTAAATAATTCTAATTAGGATGTTTTTCACATAATATTGAGATGACCCAGTATATTGCCTAATATAGCATAGCAGCACCTATGAAATATATGGTGCATACATTATATAGTTAAAGATTGGATGAATGAAGCAGAAAAATGAGCAATTTAATTGATTGTGCTTCTGTTTATACTTTTTGACATTCTTCATCAGTTTTAATAGTCTCCCTCCTGCTTTTTAAGAAAACATTTCAGAAAATTTCTTTGCATGATTGGCAGCTATATGGGGCAGTGAATAAAGTGCTAAACCCGCAATCAGAAAGATGTGAGTTTCAATTTTGGCCTCAGATACTAGCTGTGTGACCTGGGCAAGTCACTCGCCTAACTGCTGTCTGCCTTAGTTTCCTCATCTGTAAAATGGGGGTAATAGCACCTACCTCATACAGTTGTTTGTGAGTATAAAATGAGAATATTTGTAAAACTCTTTGCAAATCTGAAAGTGTTACATAAATGGACAAATAATAAGCATTCACGAAATGCTTTCTAATTTATTGGCTCTTTGAATATGTACGAATCATTACAATGACTTTTCTATCATAGAATCATTGAACTATGGGGCAAAAAAGTAACTTTGGAAAAGCTCCTGCTCCTTAGCTGGGCATTCCTCAAGGCCTGGTCGTTGGCTCTCTGCTCCCCTCTTTTTTACATTCTTTCTCTCTCTCACTTACAGACCTCATTTATTCTCATGTCTTCAAATCTTACCATTATGTTTATGATTCCCAAATCCATTTCCAGTCCTGAACTCTTACCCACGTATCAGTCCTATATTTCCCATATTCAGTATTTTCATTCCATTGTCTGTCACCTCAGACTTGACATGTCTAAAATCAAATGTCTGTTTTTTCATCCCTTATACATACACAGTCACCAATCCCTGTCAATTCTTTTGTAAAGTAAAAAAAAATCTATTGTTCCTCCTTCATTCTCACTGTGGTTATACTAGTCCAGAGCTTCATCACCTAACATCTGAACTACTGTTATAGAACCCTTCAACTGGCCAGCTTCCCTGCCCCAAACACTGTGTTATTGAGTTAGAGCTGGTAAGGATCTTAGGGTCATTTAATCTAAGCCCTTCATAGACTTCCCTTTTTTTTCAATTTGTCCTACCTACTACTTCTAGACTAATCTTCCCTAAGCAAAGTTTTCATCATGAGAAAACACATGTGAAAAGAACACTGGATTTGGAGTCAGAGGACTTGGGGTCAAGTCTCAGCTCTGCCATTTACTGCATGGCTTTTGGCAAGTCATAACCTTTCACCCTCATTTCCCTTTTCTATAAAATGGTAATAATACTTCTACTAAATGGAACAAATTTATATAAGTTATTGAATAGGAAGTCAAGCTACTTCTTGTGCAGAGAAATACCATAAAATGCTAGTATAAGAAACAATTTTGTTTAGGATAATTGTTTTCCAACTACCTGCTGATAGAATGTTTAATATCTTTATATTTAGATATTTGCATTTTCAAGTTATACTACTGGGCTACATTTTAGCAATTTGTCTTCTCCAGTGACGTGGAATCTAGAGTAAGATAGATTATGCATAATTATATTGGTACTATGGTCCAATATCTTGACATTGAGTTCAGATCAAGAGTTTCCTTTCTTGTATTTTCTATTTCTCCACATATTATTATCGGATATATTATAGAACTTAACAGGTTTTTTTTCTTGTTGGTGAGGCAGAGTTAAGCGACTTGCCCAGGGTCATACAGCTAGCAAGTGTCAAGTGTCTGAGGCTGGATTTGAACTCAGGTCCTCCTGATTCCCAGGCTGGAGCACTATCTACTGTGTCACCTAGCTGCTCTGATATATTATAGATATGGTTATATCATGGGGATATGAATAAAATAATGGACAATGGTAAGATCAATCTCTGTGTCCATTTTGGGTGTCTGGGAGACTTGGTGAAAAAGTATGGACAGGTTATTGCAACACCATACTACTACTGTGAAAAAGAATTCAAAGTCCTTGTACTACTTACTGCTGCCATCTCATAATTTCATTGATAAAGGATAGCACAAGGAAAACGCTGAGGCTATTGCAAGATTCATGCAGCTGAGTTCGCTCAAGAGATGGAAGATTGCAAGGAATGGAATCAGCAGGGTGGGAAAGGGAGGGGGAACCATATAGAGGGAATAGAAGGAATTTTAGAAACTATCTAGTTTAACCTCAGAGTAGTACTTAAAGAGTGTACAATGTCTTTTGAATTTTCTTTCCTTATAAATAAACCCTTTGAAAGGTTGACATGGTGGGAAAAGGACTGGATATGGAGTTGGAAGGCTTGGGTTCAAATTCCAGTTGTATGCTTATTGCCTGTGTACCTTGAGAAATATCACTTCCCTCTCCAATTCTCAATTTCCTCATGTATAAAATAAAAGGATTGGACTAGATGATCTCTAATGTTCCTTTCAGCTCTAAATCTGTGTTTGACAAGCATCCTTACAATCATGAAATTATCAGTAACTGTTATACAGTTCCTCTCTGCTCCCCTTCTCCCATCCATGTTTCTGAGTGGAGGCTTAAGCCAAGAGAAGTTATGATATCTCTCAAAATTGACTGAGCTATTCATGACAGGAGAATTACTTTGACACAAAATTTGCAGCAATTTAAATATTATAGTTAGAATGCCACTTTCCTGATTGACTACCTCAGACCAATCATTGATTAGCACTTCTGTGCAGGAGTATTATAAAGAAGAATCTCATTCCTTATTTTCTTGATCATGATTCTTGGGACAGTCTACTTATGACTATTCTCAATACCAGCCTCAATACTAGAAGCAAGATATAAAGAATTTGAACATATGTTCAAAATTTTACCACCTGTACTCAAAAGTCTTTAATCCTTCCCTGGAAGAGAAGTAATGACTTATCACAAAACAAATGCCTATACTGTTATGGAGAACAAGTTTTTTGGCATTAAAAATATGTGAATTAGCAAAAAAGTCTTATTAAAAAACCATCTCTCTTGTCTGGGTCCCTGTTCTCTATCTGATGTAGGATTACGTGACTGCTGAGGATTCCATCTTTTTAATAAAAATATATTAAAAACTCTCCAATAAAAGTAGCCCTCAAAGTGCTTTTAAAAAAGTTCAGAAGGATAGAAACAGATAAAAAGGCTCTGACAAGGAAAAAGCAGGTGGTAAGGAACAGTAGCGTCCTGGTAAATGCTTAACAACTGGCTCTCAGGAAAAAAAAGTTAAGTACAACACACTTTTAAGTTTAATCTGCATTATAAACATTTTCTCCATCATTTCCTTAATTCTAGACAATCAACAAAATAGTTAAATTCTGATTTGTAGTTTTCAACCAATTTTAGAGCATGCTGAAAACCATCACCCCCTAGCAAGATATCCTAGGGTCTCAGCAGGCCTCTACCAAAGTCCTACAAATGCTTTTATACTCTTCTTGCCCAAAAGACCCACAGTTGAGTCACAGATCAATTTACCTGGGAGCAAAGTTAGCCCAAACTCCCCAGATCTACAGGACAACTTCTTTGATGACAGTGGTCCCTAATGTTGTGAGAGTGTGAGAGTTAACTCATGCCTCCCCAGTTCCGCCAGTCTCCTGGACTACAACAAACCTCTACTAGAAACTTGCCAACTCTGCTTACCTTCTAGTCTTACAGCTACTTCATAGAAATATAATTCACAAAAAATGAATACCAAAGATTGCTATATTGCATGTTCTTTAATTTCTCATATTCATAGGTTCCTCTTCAATACCGTTCCAAATTAAGCAATTGTCATACTGCATTCTATTTTAACAAATTAACTTTAGAACATAACAAATATGATTGTGCATGTTTTGTCCATTTTTCCCCTGGAGAGCTAATACCTTTTTAAACATTAAAAAATTATCTCTAGTTCGTATCTATCTATCTATCTATCTATCTATCTATCTATCTATCTATCCACACACACACACACACACACATATAGTCATACTCAGTCTATGATTTGAGATAACTACTCAATCCTAATTATAATGGATCCATGATTGGACATGACCAATGTGGGAATTTATTTTGTTTGACTATGCATATTGCAAGGATTTTGTTTTTCTTTATTTTCTTCCAGTAGAAAGAGATATTGGAAGAACAAAACAAATGCTTGTTAATTGAAAAAAATTATTGAGGATGGAAGATTCCTTCTTGCTCTAAATCTATAAGCCTACTTTTGATCACTTAATTCCATTTTATGGCCTAATTTCAATAAAAATTAACTTGGTAAAATAAGTTATGATTAATAACATATATTTAATTTTTTGATGATACTTTAAAAAGTAGTCTTTTCATTCAAATTGTCCATGATTGACTTAGTGCTATTTCAGATGCATGCTAGTTACACTCCATCCCTATACTCCCTCAGGCTAGCCACTTCCTTTATAATTAAGTAATCCACTAAAGCCAAATGTAATCTAAGTACTGAAATTATGTAAGAAGTAAATTATAATCCAAAACTTCTAAGCCATTTCCTAGAAGAGTATGCAAACTTTTGAAAATATTTTGTTGTTCAGTTGTTTCAGTCATGTCTGTCTCTTCATGACCCAATTTAGGGTTTTCTTGGCAGAGATACTGGAGTGGTTTGCCATTTCCTTCTTCAGCTCATTTTACAGATGAAGAACTGAGGCAAACTTGTCTAGGGACACATGACTAGTAAGTATCTGAGGTTGTATTTGAATTTATGAAAATGAATCTTACTTCAGACCCGTGCACTTCAGGCCCTGCACTCTATCCACTGCGACACTTAGCCACCCTTTGAAAATATGACATTCCAACTTGCTAAACTCTTGTTCAAAATTTTTTTTGGAATAGTATGTTTTTGTCATTGTTGGTAGCTATAAAGAACAGATAGCTACTGCCCATATTTTGCATTTAGTCCTAGCCCAAGTACTACCACAGATAGAAGTTCCTTATAACTCAAATTTTTCTAGAGCACTTTTTCTGATTCTTCCTTGGTTCTCATAAATTGCATCATGCTTATCTGTACATGTTGTATCTCTGTACCTTCCTTCCTCATACACCATTTCCCAGTGAGCAGCTATATCATATTGAATCATTTCTGTCTTTATGGACCCAGTACCTACTTAGCATAGGGCTCTGCACATGTGGTAACTTGACAAATGCTTGTTGGATTAATTGAATTATATCTGTGTGTATAGATAGGATTTTGAGGCAGGTGATTGCCCAAAGTAAATTGCTGCAAATCAAGGTAAAACTAATTCTTTCAGGAAATTCCTTCTGCAATGGCAAATCAAAATGATCTCCAGGACTTGGCTGGTTTGTACCCAGACCACCATAGCTCAGGCATAATTTGTTCAGTCTTTTAAAACTGAAATGAATACATGAAGTTCACCAGGCCATTTCTTGACATTTGCTTTAATGTCTAATTCTAACCCCCCAAAAAAAATTTAAAAAAAATGTCTAATTCTATTCTAAGAGGCATGGGGAGATTTGCAATGGGAAGAGACTTACTATTTCTTGGCAACTGTGGGATGGAGTAAATAAAGGGCATATCATCCACCAAAGGATGCTATAGGCAGGAAATAGTCCCTTCTTAAGATGGGAGGGCAATATAATTAGTTTAATCTCTTCCAGTTTACCTTCCCTAACACCAAAAACTAAACATGAAAGACAAACATAGATAGCAAACAAACATTTATTGAGGCAAGTAATAACATGTTACTTGCTGTAATACTGTTTTGTGGTATGGAGATATAAGGCTATGCTGGGTTATTGTAGTGAATGTCAGCAGATTGAGCTCTGGCCCTTCTAGAAATACTTTGAGGAAGGGCCAACCAATACAATGACTATAATTTGTACAAATAACTTGGTTTTTATCTATTTTCTTACCTTTCTGACTCCTTTTCCCTATTGCAAAAAAAAAGCCTTGTAACAAATATGTCTGGTTAAACAAAACAAATTCCCACATTGGCCATATTGAAAAAATGTGTAAAATACTTAAGAATCAATCAATCAATCACAATCCCAGAGGACAATAAGAAAGCATACAGTCAGTCTCCTGACAGAGAAGTAACAGACTCAAGATGCAGAAATAGACATATTTTTGGACATGGCCGTCTGATTCTTTTATGTCCCATAGCCTAACCTTGTCTGTATAATTATTTTCCTGATTATTGTTTTGTTACTTGCATCAATAAATATTTGTTTGCTATCTATGTTTGTCTTTCATATTTAGTATTTGGTGTTAGGGAAGGTAAACTGGTAGAGATTAAACTAATTATATAGCCCTCCCATCTTAAGAAGAGACTACTTCCTACCTGTAGCAACCAGGGAAAGTGATTTCTATCCTGAAACCCTCCAAAGGATTGTATCCCTAGACTGCAAATATGGCATACATGATAATTAGTTGTGATTCTAGCTCCAATAACCCATTTGAAGGTAGGAGAGTAAGGAGTGAACATTTAATCACAGCTGTCTCCTTACTCTTTTCACAAAGAGAGAAAACGCAATCTCTTTTAGAGATATAAATAATGATAAGATAAAAATTTAATGTTTACAAAAAAATATTATTGCATAAAAACTCTGGGATGTAGGTGCCATTATCAGTCCCTTTTTGCAGAGAGAATTTACAGAGAAAATGGAGGCTGAGAGAGACTGATTTGCTCAGGGCCACAGAACTAATACTTGTATGAGGCAGGATTTGAACTCAGATTTTCTTTACTGCAGTTCCAGAACTCTATCCACTAACAAACCTAGCTGTCTCCTGCAGAATGAAGCATTCTAGGTCATATCTATCTATATAAATCCCTGCTGCACTGTCTTCTTCAGATCCTTGTGTCTCACTTTAAATTACTACACACAAAAGGTATGAAATAATGTTCTTTTACAAACCATGAGGGTTGTAGCAGTAAGCATCCCATCTTTCACTTCTGTTGAGACGGACTCCATAATCAATAATGCCAGTTTTTCCAAATCCACAGTTGGGCCCTGGCTTCACAATGGGATAACCAACTCTACCCTTGGCCATCCATCCTGCAGCACACACATGGAATCCTGCAAGAGAAAGTTATATCGCATAGCTTCAATTGGTAAATTATATTACAGATTAGCTAGCTAAAAGCAAAACATAACAAAAGCTGTGATTGCATTCAATTTCATGACAGTTTCCCAATTACCCAATGCATTTTGTGAAAGAATACTTTTTAGGGAGTGGTATCAGTGAAGTAATTTTCTCTCTGAGAAATGGAAATGTTTATGTGTAAAATATTATCACTATCTTTTACAAGAAAAAAGATCATTTTTACTCATTATAAAATCAGACACAAATGGACCACAAATTTCAATACTATGAATCTGTAAAGAATGTAAATTTAGGCACGGCATTTTCCATGGAAGTGCCCGTCCTCCTCCTCCTCCTCTCCTCCCCAATGTTAATCAATAATAAAATGATCTTAACACAAATAGACACTAATGTAAGTTATCATTCTAGTCTCCTAGCTGATATTTTCTAGACTAGGCTTTGATTTTGATCAGGAGACATAACAAATTAACTTTAGAACTAACAAATGTGATTGTGCATGTTTTGTCCATTTTTTTCCCCTGGAGAGCTAATACCTTTTTAAACATTAAAAACCAAGATATATGTAAGGAAAAGCAATGTGTCATAAATCAATCAATCAACAAACATTTATTAAGCACTTATTCTATGCCAGGCATTGTGCTAAGTACTATGCATACTAAAAGAGGCAAAAGATAGTCCTTATCCTCAAGGAGCAAAATCTAAAATATATAATCAACCTTATTTTCCATGACCTACTTAGGGCACTCTGCTTTAAGGATACACAAGCTATCCTGAAATTCAATTCAACAGTCATTTATTACTTTACTACAGGGATGAAGCATATGACCTCAGCAGTGGTATATACTATTCACTGCATCGCGTATTTCTTAAAAGAGGCTCAGTTGGAAAGTGTGCAGCAAAGTAATGAAGAAAAGTCACTCACTTACCTAAAGGACTAAAGTAAGAACAACCCTTAGAAATCATCTAAGCAAATCCCTTCATTTAACAGATGAGGAAACTGAGGACCAGAGGTGGAAAATTATTTTCCCAGTGTTACATAGGATGTAACACAACCACAGGATTTGTTCCTAAGTTTGGACCTAACTCTAAATCCAATGCTCTGTCCTCCATATCATGGAAGTCATGACATGAAAGCATAAGTGGTTGCCAGGCATTTTCTCTTTCAACAAAGGGCAGTTTTTGGATTGTCTAAAGGAAATTAATATGATCCTACCATCCCAGGAGAGCAGATAGATTATCAGCAACTTGATGACAGGGCTGCAAAAACAGCACTATTTATTGTAGTAAAAGTTGGAAACAAACTACATGCCCAGTGATTAGGAAATATCTAAACAAATTGTGGTATATCGATATAGTGGGATATTGTTGTGCTTTAGGGAATGATGGATATGAAAAATTCAGATAAAGATGAAAAGACTTGTATGAAGTGATGAATGCAGTTTGGGCCCACCCTCTCCAAAGAAGAATGTGGTATAAGGGGAGAGTCTTATGCCAGGTGTTGGGAGGAAATGCTTTGTGACATCTGTTCTTGCTATGTATCTTTGCAAGAAATAATCTCTGTAAAACTAAGTGATGTTAAGTGGTCAAAATAAAAACTGGAATAATATTCAGTGGTGGTTAACAGTGGGGAGAACATTTTAGAATGGGGATTCATGTGGATAACATTTGAGAAAGATACCTCCCATTGTCCCTCATGTGTACCCTAGAACCCTGAGAGGGATATGTAATAAGCTTAGCTCTAGGCTCCTGACCTGCTTGTTTGTGTGTGTGTCTGTGTGTGTTTGTGTGTGTATTGCATGTATTGCAGATGGAGAGTGTGTGTGTATATGTATGTGTATGTATATATGTATATGTGTGTATTTGGAAATTAATGTGATGTGACAATAAAATATGTCAATAAAAATAAGATTCAATTAAAAACAAACAATTCTCCCTTCCCCTCCAAATAACGGAGCTGCCAGATCATGGCATCACCAACCCTAATTTTCCCTCTCTTAAAACCAATATCATTGCTTTCTTTGTAGCATTGGAATATTACATGCAGGTAACCAATTCAGTAAGTCAGTAATGCTGCATTTGTCCTACCTTAACAATTTCACCAAATGTAATGACATATTATGTTAACTATTACCATAGGATGTGAAAAAAAAAGCAGCAATCCAAAGATAAAATGAGTAAAAAAACCTTAACTATATAATTCTAACTACTTCTAGAAGTAATACACTCCATAAACTTGAACTAAGCTTTGTTTGGTTTTTTAATAGGCAAAAAAATATGCTTGGAGAGATTAATAATACTGAGAAGGAAAGATATTTCAAGAGGTCTGAAACTGTTGTGGTCTGAATCTTAGGGGAAAATCCAAAAGGTGCAATAGATAAGCCAGGGGCTTGTATTTTCTTCTCTTCGTGGTACCTTTTGCTTCACAAAGGCACTGTCTTTCATATTCACATACTGACTTTGCTTGTGTCCTGAACCCAAGAAGTAGCTTAAGCTTTGTGTCCAGGCAGACGTGAAGGAAGATGATTTCTGCAGTACTTCTCTACCTCTTCTAGCTCTAAGGCTGAGCTGGTATAAGGCTTCTCTAGGAGAGGTTTGAAAATAACCTTCTTGGTTATTGCTATTCAGTAGAAGCTTTTAGAGGGATACATAAGACAATTCTGCTTGAAATGAATACCTGCATTCTATGGAGAATGAAATTTTCTGCCATTGAAAAAGTTCAAGCAATTTATCAAAAGGAACACGAAGAAGGGTCCCTTGTTTCACCTCCACTGCATGGTATTACCCTGGACAGGTGTCTCTCTTACCTGTACCTAAGCCCAACTCTGCTCTAACATTCTATGAGACTGAAGGCATTAGAGAAACTTTGAAAGGGGATTATTGAGAGAAATGGAGGGGGAAGACTTGCTGTTGAGAGCAGGGCAGGATAGACCATTTTATCTCAAGGGAGCAAACCCCCTAAAATCCCACACTTACTAAGGAAATTACATACCAATTTTTCTGGCTGCCTCCAGTTGTTTATAGGTGGCAAGATGCCCTCCTTCATATTCACATACTGCTTTTGCTTCTGCATAAGTAAGCTGATATTTGCCAGCACGTGCTTCTCTGTGATAGACGCCTGCTGCTTGTTCTGTGAAATGACAAAATTTCAAAGTCAATATTTCAAAATTTCAAAAAGTCAAAAAGTCACATCCAAAGGAAGGACTGATTATATTTCCCATAGGGCTCTGGACCTCAAGGATGAGCTTGACTGAATTTCCCAGGACTCCATTTCCTGCAAGCCTGTGTTATCACTGCTACAGGCATATTGTATCTTAAGGACTATATCTGAGGGGAGAGAAGAGCCGAAAGTCACATGGAAAGGATCATGGAAGTTCGTGGCACAGGAATAAGGGTAATAGAAGCGGCATAGTCTCCTAAATGGCTAAGTGAAGTTAAAAGAGAAAGAAGACCTCCTGTTACAGCTTGGATGGTGGAAAGTGGCAGGTGCTGTGGGCAGTTTCAGATTTTGTATTGCTGAGTCTTCTCTTCAGTTTGATTCAGTTATGACAGTGACTTTGCCATGGCCTGCCCAGAGAGGAGTCTTCCAGGATTGTTTTCCAAATTTCCCCAGCAATTTCTGTAGGGATCAGATCCCAGTAATGTGTTCTTAGATTGATTTCCTATTCTTTTGCCAATTTAGTCCCAATTAAACATTTTATGCCAGTTACTTGATTGGTCTGTCAGTACAAACTGAGTTTAGATGACTTTAGAAATTCCTGGCTGGCCTGGGATTGATGCGTGAACCAAAGAAAGTATTCTTTAATATCCATTATGCCTCATATTCAATGCAGTTGTTTATGTGGATCCAGGGCCATGTGGAAAATGGACTATATCATTATCATTCAGTCTTGTAATTCACTGGAAATTTTTTGTCTAATGTTACAACATTACATCAGCTATTTTAACTGCCAATTTGTTTTCCAGAACTGTTTGCTTTGGGCAGTTGACTTTTCTTTGTTAGAAAGTTTTTTGGGAAAAAAATGAATGAGGGGAATTTTAGGGAAAGAGGCAAGAATTTTAAAATGAATATTTTTTTCTGAACTATCAACGTGAAAGTAAAAAAAAAGTGATGTACTTAGCACATGCAACTCATAGTAACACACTAATAATGTGCATAAATGTGTTTCAGATAAAAAGTAAAAATGAGTTGATGCAACATTTTATCAACTAGAAACTCATACTTACATGCTAGTACAGTGATAGCTGATGTTGAAAATAATGATCCTGTGATATCATAAGACCCTGAAGTACTATTTGAAATATCAAAGAAATAATAAATTGTGTTCAGTATAGATTTACTATTAAGCATAATTTCTTTTGTACTAATTCTTTTTCAGGCAATTGGGGTTAAGTGACTTGTCCAGGGTCACACAGCTAGTAAGTACCAAGTGTTTGGTATGAGGTCACATTTGAACTCAGGTCTTCCTGACTTCAGGGCTGGTGCTCTATCCACTGCACCACTAGCTGCCCCTTATACTAATTCTTTTAAAATGCTTAGGCATGTATGACATATATACTTGGCAACAGAACCTTTCTGTTCATTGTAAATAGAATGGTTATATGAGAAAGTCTGGAGGAGTCATTGGAGTGAATTTTTGGTCAGATTCAGAACTTTTGAAAATTAGGTTTCTTTCCTATATCTAAAGTCGTATCAGTTCAATGAAAGATGCTAACTAGAAAAGTAGTTGATGTGTGTTGTACTGAATTTATTTTAACAATAGAACTATACTGAATATATAGCCAATGTGACTGATTACTTAGAAATTAGTCATTAAGATTCCTGAAAAAAAAGATTTACTAAAAAATAGTCTTTTCAGTGACCTTTACAGAGAAAGAACACAGCCCAAATTTACTTTTTGAAAGAATGAAGCTGATGGTAGTAGTCAGTATCTCCATGTGAAGCTTAATATGTGCTTCATAAATGCTTACTGACTTGAGGTACTCAAATACCAAGGTAACAATCACTAGCATTGGTTTTATCTGTGAATATGATATGTGAAATCACCAAACGTAAATTTAGCATCAGTAAATGTGAGAATGGTATATGCTGCAAAGAAATAATTTTACAGTTACGGGTGATTAATGTGAGTTTTAACCATACTGCTCTATCATAGTGATCCTAACTATTAAACAAGAAACATGAGATGCACAAATTTAGAGACATCTCCACTCCAAATGTTCATACAGACTGTGCCTGACCTGTGACAGAGCCTTTTGAGCACATCTTGGTCTGATCAGCTGCAGTTAGACACATTGTACCTTGTCCCTAACACAGTGCTGTTATTTTGGTCCCTTTGAAGGTAAAGAACAACAACCAACCAACTGTTGGACTGATCCTTCTCAGGAGCCTTTACTGAATTAGCATCCACTTCCTTTCCTGTATATGGGGGTATGCCCCAGAATTCTGTCCTGGACTTTCTTCTTCTCTTACTCAATATGTTTCGTCTTGGTAAGCTCATCAGCTCCCATAGATTCAGCCATCTCTATGTAGAGAACTCCTAAACCTATATACTTAATCATTCTTTCATTCTCCTAGCAACAGTTCAGAATATCCAATTATCTGCTAGGCATACACATGTGGATATTCCATAGGCATCTCAAACTCAATCTATCTAAATCTAAGCCAGTGGAATTCCCTGAAGGAGCACAACTATAGATTTCAAGTGCCTTTCAATAAATAGAAAAATAGTAACTTCCTTTGGACTTTGATTTTACTTATGAAATGTGGAGAGGGAAACAAGCAAACAAAAAAAGAATATAATGAAGGCAAAAGAAAGTAATGAAAATTGATCCATCCTCTTGACTTACTTGGAAAAATATCAGACATTTGATGAGAATGACTAACAGTGCCTGAGTGTTAAATAAACAAACTGAAAGCTGGGCAAAGCCTTAAAGAAATCCAAATGAAACAAATGTTGTATTGAAATTAAAAAAAAGTATTCCTTTATATATTAAAAGATAAGGAAAGCATAAGATGAGAGGCAATAGGGAGTAATGGAAAGAGTCTTGAATCCAGAATCAGAGATCCTGGATTTGAATTCTGGCTTTATTTTTCACTTGAGTAACCTTGGGCAAAGTCTTTTAGTTTCCAAGTCTTAGACTCCTCTTCTGTAAATTACTTCCGTGACCACTTTCCCTATACTCAATGTACCTTCTTTCATGCTTCCAGACCTCTTGGGCCAGGAGGAAGTATAAGTAAGCTATTTGCTCCTCACTACCACTTCCAGAATGCTTACCATCATCATTCAGAAACTACAATCCTGGTTTAGTCTCACCATCCACCTTTTCTCTACTTTTGTTGTCTGATAGTGTAATTAGAAGTTGTGCTGACTGGATTCACTACAGTCTGATTTCATGTAATTTCAACTTATCGCTTATTACTGCACACCAATCTTTTTACCTTGTCTGATTGACTCTATCATACTCCTGATAGTTTCTGTTCCAAAAGTTTCTTCTCTCCTCAATCTACTTATGCCAATCCCTCTATCTTCCTATCTCAGGTGAAGAATAAGTCTCATACTTCCCTAATATTGAGGTCATAGGCCCAATCTTCTTCTCCTTGGCAATTCCACATTTCAAATTACTACAGCATTATTCCCTCATCCTCTCCTCATTTCCCCACTCTCAGAAGAGGTGACCCTTCCTTGTTAATATTTATCTCTCTACTAGTGCCCTTCATCTCATTACCTCCCTCCCACTTCTTCTAGGTGCTTGACCCTTCTGTGATTTTTTCTCACTAATTTCCATCCCTTCTTATCCACTATCTCCTTTACTGCTACCTACAAATATGTCTAAATACCACCTCCTCATTGTTCAAAAACTTTCATTTAATCCTACCATCCCCTCAAGCTATCATCTTATATTTCTCCTCCTCTTTACAATCAAACTCTTAAAAAATGTCTCAACTCCTTTTCTGTACTGCTTTCTCTATCCCTTTTAATCTGGATTCTATTATCTTCGTTTAACTGAAATTGCTCTCTCAAAAGTCACCAATGATTTTTTTCTTGCTAAGTGGTCTTTTCTCAATGTTCATCTGTTTGACTGCTCTGCATTGTTTACCACTGCCAACTACCCTTATCTTCTAGATATCTGCTCCCTAGGTTTTAACCACACTGCGCTAGCCTAGTGCTCCTAACTGTTGGACTGATCCTTCTTAGAAGCCTTTACAGGATTAACATCCATTCCTTCCCCGTGTTTGTGAGTGTGCCCCAGAGTTCTATACTGGGCTTTCTTCACCTCTCTCTCTCTATGCAGCTCTCTCTCACGGATTCACCCATCATCTCTATGTAGATAACTCCAAACCTACATATCTAACCATTCTTTCTTTTTCCCAATACCAGTCCAGAATGTTTGACTGCCTGTTAACAGGCATATTCACCTGGATATCTCATAGGCATCTCAAACTCGATCCATCTAAAATCCAACTCCTTATCTTACTTCCTAAACCCATCCCCTTCTCCTAACTTTCTGAATTTTGTTGGACATCATTCTTCTGGTCCTCTATTCAGCTCTCATGGATTCACTGTCAGTAAAACTCTATTAACCCAGAGTCCATGAATTTGAAATATACCATAGTTTGAAGATTTCCTCAGATAAAGGGTTTGACAAGCAAATGGATAGTTCATACCAAATTATAAGAGGCACATTTAACCAATTTATGTGTTTTACTTGTAAATTCTTCTGCTAATTATAGATTAGACTTAGCCATTAAGGAGGCATCCTGTGGAACTTAGAAAAATTGTTAGAAGTTAGAGTTACTGCAGTACTTGACTTCTTACTTCTTTTGTTTAAACTTTATTTAAATAGCCCAAAATTTAGAATTTTCATACATTGAGACTGTTCTTCATGCAGTCCTAATTAGCCCAAGATTTTACCAAATAGCAATATTATATATGTATAATAATATCTAGCATTTTATAGAGCACTTTAAGATTTGCAAAGGGCTTTTTAAAGTTTTTCTTATTTGATCTTCATGGAAACCCTGGGAGGTAGGTGCTATTACAGATTTTTTTTTTTACAGATGAGGAAACCAAGACAGAGGTTAAATGATTTGCCCAGGGTTACACAGTTAGTAACTATCTGAGGCAGCACTTGAATTCAGGTCTTCCTGATTCCAGGTCTATCATTCTATTCATTGGGCTGCCCTAGCTGCATATTATTGTTGTCGTCATCATCATCAACATATATACATATATAATATATGTGTGTGTACATGTACATATACATATACACACACACATATATATATATTCTAGCAGGAGCCTTGAAGACATGCAATATATTTGTTGCCTTCCTGCCAATAAATATCAGCCCAACTCCATCAAAAGAATAACATTTGTTCAGTGAGAAAATGGTTCATAGGAGCAGAATAAAAATGAAGAGGAGAAGGTAAGACTCTCCGTTATAAGTCAGGCTTTTTAATGAAATCCTCATTGAGGCTCTTATTACAAGCATGACATATTTTGAAAAGGAAAAATGATCTGGACCCAGCTTAGCTAGTGTGAAACCAAGATCCAGGCAGATCCTATTACATTTCATGATAATTATTATTTCTATATTTGCAGCACTATTCTTTCTAGTTTCCTTTCTGAACTTCAAAAAAAAAAACTTTCCATTATGACAAAGAAAAGATAGAGCAATAAAAATGTATTTGTATTTTGAGAATTAGGGAGAATATTATCTAAAAGTTAATATTTGAAGTGGTTTGAGAATTTGAGATATTTTCTTTGTTCTGTCGATTTTGTTTTGTTTTGTTTTGGTGGGATGGGGCTTTTTGTTAACATTTGGTGTCACACCACCTTTAGTTTTTACATTTATTTTGCTAACCCACCATTCCTTTTTTTTAAATGAGATAAACTCTCATTTAAATGTGTACCAGGAAGGGGAAAAAGGAATGAAACAGAGTATTGTCAGAAAGATATCCTTCTCTTTGTTTCCACATAACACATGTAAATTTTGCTAAAACTCAATAAAAACTGAGAGAAATATAAAACTTATAGTATCATCACTGTAGAAAATAGCTTGAAGATTTTTGTATGTTACAGTTTTGAGTCCAAACTACATTTTCTATTTATAGCAGAAGCAAGTTCAGGCACAGAGGAAAATTCAGGCAATGTAAAAACAAAAGATATCACTTCAAAATAATTTTTAAAAATACCAGATAATAATTCACCCCACCTCCTCCAATCTTTTCTAGGATCTTCTCCTGAAAATGTAACACACATATTCATATGGAGAAGAAAATAGTCAAAACACTTATGTTAAATGTGTTCAAAAGTTAACTATTTTCTTCTCTAGGAAATTTATTCCTTTAAAACCACTTCTAAGCTTTAAAGGAGGGGAATAAAGCCATAAAAATGTATCACCAACATAGTAGTTTCAGAATATAAATCTCATTGAGATCTTTTTTAATAACATTTTCTTTATGCAACATTCACCTATAAATGAATTGCGGGAGAGCTTGCTGGTTTGGCATACTTCTCTACAGTTTGAAAAAATAAGACTTTGTTTTCCTAACAAAAAACATATGAATGAAGTTTCTTACCAAGCCAAATGGAGTTATGAAAGATTCCATCCTTGAATCCCCAGCCCTGAGATTCATCCCACAGCAAAACAAAGAAATAAATTAAGGCGATCATATCTTCAGTTGTAGAAAATGGGTAACAGTCTTTTGGGAGCTACTCAGGGTAAACTCTTCAAGCAGCTGCTGAAATTTGACTGGAACATCTGGTTTCCAGATCTTTTAAATAGTTTTTTCAGCTGTGAGGTCAGCAAGTTTGCTCCAATTGCATTCGCAGCTGCATAGTAACACAATTAAGACAGTGTCTGAATCTATTAGTCTGACTCATTTGCGTTGGAGTGTAAAACTGAGAGTATAGAGTAATTGTGTAAATTCTAAAACTGATAGGAAAATTCTTGCCCATCCAGATATCCTTTCATCCTCAGAACTGACAGATATTTTATTGCTATTGGGAAGTTTATTTCACTTGGTGAACTATAGTAGATATAATTTTTGTGAGTTAAGATTCAGTGCTGATAACAAACTTTCAAAAGCAAAACCCCAATTTTATTTTCAATGCATCAATCTTGGTATGAGGACTATTATTCTTTAATTTACCCAGGTAGTTACTTCAAAACTGGGATACCTTGTTAGTCTCTCTCATGTCAAAGAAATTTAGAAATGTTTAAACCAAAATTATATGAATTAGGCATACCCTAATTTCAAGCACTGCTTCAGTGATGGACTTGATGAGAGAATAAGGATTTATTTATGTAGTGCCTCCTATGTTCCAGGCACTGTGCTAAATATCTTTTACAATAATATCTCATTTGATCCTCACAACAATCTTGGGAGGTGGGTGCTAATTTTATTTCCATTTTTACAGAGAAGGAAACTGAGGCAAAAAAAAATTAAGTGAGTTGCCAGGGTCACACAGTTAGTAAGTATCAGAGGCTGAATTTGAACTGTTTTTTTTCTGATTCCAGTTCAAACACTCTATCCACTATGCCACTCCCTGCCTCTATGAGGCCTAAGGATGAGGGAAGGATCAGTTTGTTTATTCCATTCTGCAGTGAAGGTAGGGGACAATCCAGTTCATAACTAATGAGTCTTCCTGCCTCAAATCTTTCTCTTCTCTAATTGATCTTTCATACAGTTTCTTAAGGTGATTTTCATAAAGTATAATTCTGATCATGTCACTCTCCTACTAAAGAAACTAAAGTGGTTCCTTAGTACTTTTAGGATAAAATATAAACGTTTGGCATCGAAGCACATCACAGTGTGAGCTCCTCTGTTTACCTCAAGAACATTCCACCACCTGCTCTTATTTGCCTGGGCTGTCCACCTGAAACGCCCCCCTTTTTCACTCCTATCTCTTAACACTAATTTTTTCTTTGAGATTCAGTTTACAAATGCTTAATGCTCAAATGCTCCTACAATACATCCATCTTGATTCCCAAGTCATTAGTGCCCTTCCTGGCCCTGGAAAATTAGATTTACTTTGTATACATCTTGTGTTTAGGTATCTAAATACCTCCCATAACAAATGTAAACTCCTTGAGGTCAAGGACTTTGTTGTGTTATCCCCAGTGCCTGGTGCATTGCAGGCAATGATCCATGCCTTTTGAATGAATTTTTAAATGAATGAATAGCTGATGTTAGTCTTTTGGAGAGTGGTTTAGTTCAAGGCTTCACTTCTCTCCTGACCAGCTTTCATCCACCAATTATAATGGAATCTACAGGTAGGCCCCAGCAAGAAGTCATTTTCTTAGGAGCAGTCTAAACTGGTGCCTATGAGAGAAATGATTATTTCTCTCTTTACTAATAACTAATTATTGTATTGAGACCAAGGTTTTCCCTCTTTTCTACTTCCTTATCCAGAAATGAACCAATGTGGGAAATTTCTCTCAAAGATTTACCCAGTCTAAGATCTAAGTAAAAGAAATTCTAAGTGGAGGCAAATGTGTGCATTCCTGCTCATTGTGTTTGCTCAAACAAGTCTGAGAACATGTGGATACTCCCTTTTGTCAGAGAGGTGATATGGAAATTGATAAGTCTTTTTGACCAAGATTTGGGTGATCCAACTCATGTACCCCAAGGCTTTCAATGTAATATAGCCCAGCTTCTCATTGTAAAATTCATTTCTCATTAATTGTTGTTTTTTTTTTTCTTAAGGCAATTGGGGTTAAGTGACTTGCCTAGGGTCACACAGCTAATAAGTGTCAAGTGTTTGGTCTGAGGCCAGATTTGAACTCCGGTCCTCCTGACTTCAGGGCCGGTGCACTATCCACTGTACCACCTCGCTGCCCTTCATTAATTGTTAATCAGAGTTGATTGCCACCTCAGGAACACCTACTCTTCCAAAAACATATAAACTGTGAGCCCACTGTCATGAGGGGTCTTTGGTCTAAAAGAGAGATGGCCAAATGACCATCCTTTTATTAATAAACATGCTGACATCATTAACAAAATGATTGAATTACCTGAAATTATGTCTCTTGAACTTTTTAAATGTCACACAATTTTAAAATTGGAACACTTCTCACATTTTTCGTAATCAGATTTCTTAGACTTACACAAATCTAATCCCATATTTCCAGAGCTGTTATCACGTTTTTAATTCCCAATGATAGATAATGCTCACCATCTGTTTTATCCCCACCCATTCCTGAACTACTGAGTGTTCATGTCTATGTGAACAAAACTGTGCTAAGTCTACTATAATTTTTTGCTATCAAACTTTGGCTAGGACCTTGCTGTTGTAATAATCCTTTTACTCATGTCTTATTGACGCCTTCTCAGATTCACCACAGAAATTACTCCAAACTTTCTCACTCTCTTAAAAAAAAGTCTAACTTCATTTTCTAATTCCTTTCCAGAGTTGGCCTTGATGAAAAGATAGAGGCTATCTGATCTAAATTCCCTTAACTCCTGCCCTTTATATACCAAAATAACTATCTAAACTTAAAATACCACTTTAATGGACTGCAAAAAAGTTCTGTCTTACCTGTCCATTCCTTCTTACCTTTAATCTTAAACAATGAAGTAATTTTTATTAGTCATTTTGCTCTATCCAAAGCCAGTCCGAATACCATTTTCTCTGACAGAGGAAATGGAATCAAAAAAATGAGAGACAAGCTTGGGAAGACACTTGATACCTCTACAAACCAAGGAAAACAAGTTTGAAGTTAGGATGCAAAAATGAAAAGTAAGGATGCAAAAGAATGAAGTTAGGATGCAAAAATAAAAAAAATATATAGAGATCATCTAGGAAAAATGAATAACTAAAAAATTCTGAATAATAGATTTCAGGAACTATCTCAGGAAAATTGCTTAGAAATATGGAAAATGGAGGGTAAAGAACAGATTTTTAAAAATATAAATTTATTTATTTTTAGTTTTCAATATTTACTTCCACAAGATTTTAAGTTCCAAATTTTTGCCCCATCTCACCTCTCCCCCCACCCCAAGATAGCATGCATTCTGAATATCCCTTCCCCTAGTTTGTCCTCTCTTTTATCTCTCCCCTCCTTCTCTTATCCCCTTCCCCTTCTATTTTCCTATAGGGCAGGATAGACTTCTGTACCCCATTTCCTGTATTTCTTATTTCCCAGTTGCATGTGAAAACATTTTTTTAAACATATGTTTTTAAAACTTTAGGTTTCAAATTTTCTCCCTTCCTCCTTCCCTCCCCACACACCCTCACTGAAAAGGCAAGCAACTCAATATAGGTTATACATCCGTTTCCCTTAATCCTATCCTGCCCTCCCATTTATTCTATTCTTTCTTTTGACCCTGTCCCTCCTCAGAAGTAATTGCTTCTGATTACACCCTTTCCCAATCTGCCTCCTCTATCATCCCCTGCTCTCTTGTCCCTTCTCCCCTATTTTCCTGTAGGGCAAGACAGATTTTCATACCCAATTGAATGTGTATGTTATTCCCTTCATAAGTCAAATCCCATGAGAATAAGATTCACTCACCTCTCACCTTCTACCATTTCCCCTCCACTGTAAGAGACTTTCCTGTTTTTTTTTTGTGAGATAATTTACCCCATTCTGCCTCTCCCTTTCTTCTTCTCTAAGTATAATCCTCTCTCATCCCTTAATTTTATTCTCCAGATATGACCCCTTAATCTTCAACTCACCCTGTGCCCTCTATCTATCTATCTATCTATCTATCTATCTATCTATCTATCTATCTATATACTACATATAATTTTTCCTCCAACTACCTAATACTGACAAAGGTCTCATGAGTTATAAATATCATCTTTCATGCAGGAATGTAAACAGTTCAACCTTAATAAGTCTCTAATGATTTCTCTTTTCTGTTTACCTCTTTATGTTCCACTTGAGTCTTGTATTTGAAAGTTAAATTTTCTATGCAGTTCTGGTCTTTTCATCAAGAATGCTTGAAAGTCCTCTATTTCACCATTTTTTCCCCTACAGGATTATACTCAGTTTTGCTGGGTAGGTGATTCTTGGTTATAATCCTATCTCCTTTGCCCTCCATAATATTATACACCATGCCCTGCGGTCCTTTAATGTAGAAGCTGCTAAATCTTGTGTTATCCTGATTGTGTTTCCACAGTACTTGAATTGTTTCCTTCTGGCAGCTTGTAATATTTTCTCCTTGACTTGGGAACTCTGGAATTTGGCTACAATATTCCTAGGAGTTTTCCTTTGGGGATCTCTTTCAGGAGGAGATTGTGGATTTTTCAATTTCTATTTTGCCCTCTGGTTCTAAATATCAGGGCAGTTTTCCTTGATAATTTATTGAAAGATGATGTCTAGGCTCTTTTTTTGATCATGGCTTTCAGGTAGTCCAATAGTTTTTAAATTCTCTCCCTGGATCTATTTTCCAGGTCAGTTGTTTTTCCAATGAGATATTTCACATTGTTTCTATTTTTCATTCTTTTGGATTTGTTTTACAGTGTCTTGATTTCTCATAAAGTCACTGTCTTCCAATTGCTCTATTCTAATTTTTAAGGAAGTATTTTCTTCAGTAATCTTTTGGACTTCCTTTTCCATTTGGCCAATTTTTCTTTTTAGGGCATTCTTCTCCTCATTGGCTTTTTGGACCTCTTTTGCCATTTGGGTTAGGCTATTTTTTAAGGTGTTATTTTCTTCAGTATTTTTTTGGGTCTCCTTTAGCAAGCTGTTGACTTGTTTTTCATGATTTTCTTGCATCACTCTCATTTCTCTTCC